CATGGCAGCGCTCGTACCTCCTGCCATTGAAGCTGACAAAGTTCTCAAAGCAGCCGAACTAGAAAGAATCCGCGTGTTGGAAGAAGAGAAGAAAAAGCGACTAGAAGCAGAAAAGCTGGCTAGGGAAGCCAAGGAGGCAGAGGAGAAGGCAGCCAGAGAGAAGAAAGAGGCCGAAGAGAAAGAGGCAGCTGAAAGAGCTGCAGCTGAGATGGCGGCTGCTCAAAGTGCTCAGGCCGATGAATCCGTTGGAGAGCCCGTCGAGGCGGATAATGCCAACGCAACTGATGCCATGGAGGGTGTCCAGAGTGAAATTCCAGGAGCTACCAGCGCAGAAGCACAAGAAACAGAGGTTCCAGCAGCTGATCGCCCTAGAGTTATGACTATGATTCGAAACACGCCATATGATATCACAGACCTGGGCATCGACGCAGAGTTCCTTGCAGAGCTCCCAGAGGATATCCGTGAGGAAGTCATCATGGCTGCCGTTGCCGAGCGACGTCAACAAGCCACTGCGACAGGTTCACAGCCAACCGACATTGAACAGGAATTCCTTGATGCTCTCCCAGATGATATTCGAGAGGAAATTATGCAGCAAGAAGCACAAGAACGCCGACGTCGTGAACGTAACGAACGACGAGAGGCTGCTGCAGCAGCTGGCGGAGCTCCACCAAATGGAGACATGGATCTTCCAAGTATTCTTGCAACCTTCCCACCAGCTCTTAGACAAGAAGTTCTGATGGAAGGAGATGAAGATTTCATGGCATCCTTGCCTCCGGACCTCGCTGCCCAAGCACGCCAATTACGCAGAGGTCAGCCAGATCATGCTGCCCACCCTGGAAGAGCACCTGTAGGCGTTATTCGCCGTCCAGCTCCTGGTGAAGAAAGTCGAGGGGCTCCTCAGCAACCAAGAGCTCGTCGGGCAATCGTTCAAATGTTGGACAAACAAGGTGTAGCAACACTTTTGCGGTTGATGTTCATTTTCCAACACAGCAGTTTCCGAAGCACACTCAACTCAGTTCTGCAAAATGTAGCATTGAACAAGCACAACCGTGCCGAGCTCATTAGCACCCTTCTTCATATCCTTCAGGATGGCAGTGCCGACATGACCGCAATTGAGCGAAGCTTTTCGTATTTGTCCGTCAGAGCCAAGCAACCAAGAGAAAAGGATCCAAAAACTCCAACACAAACTCTTCGACGAACACTTACTGGTCTCGGCTCTCTCGCACAGACAAATTCCGAGGCATCGCCACTCATGGTAGTCCAACAATGTTTGACAGCTTTGGTCTATCTTGCTCAAACTAATTTGCATGTCGCATCGTTCTTCTTGACCGAGCACGAGCCATCTGGTGGGCTCAAGCGAAGTCTCAGTCGGAAGGGAAAAGGAAAGGATAGCAAAGCCCCAAGATACGCTCTTAACTCTTTGCTCAGTCTTCTAGATCGTGATTTAATTATGGAGAGCGCAACCATCATGGAACAACTTTCACTCTTGCTTAATCTTATCACTAGCCCTCTAATTGCGCTGGAACGAAAGCAAAAAGAAGCTATCGAAGAAGCAGAAAAGGCCAAGGCGAGTGCAACTGCAGCCGAGACGGCCGAAACGGCCGAAGCCACCGGTTCCACCGATGCACCTAATCCTGACAATGTTACCGCAGGTGAGAGTGAGTCTACTGAACAACCACCGGCAGTATCAGATGCGACTGCTCCTGTAGAAAATACTTCCGCTGGCGCAACATCTGCACCAGTACTTCCGGCACTCGTCATTCCTACAAGCGCTGATGCCGATGAGGCCTCTGTCGTTCCGGATACTGAATCTTCGAAGCCCGAGGATGCTTCTAAGCAAGAACAGAAAAAAGTTCATGTTTTCACTCCTCCCGTTGTTCCGGAACACAATCTTCGCCTGGTTACGAATATCTTCTGCTGTGAGTGCAATTCAAAGACCTTCCGCGAGACATTATCAACCATTAAGAATCTTTCAACGATTCCTGGCGCGAAGGCCATTTTCGGAAAAGAACTTATCGCCAAGGCTCGAGCATTGGGAGAAGTCATATTAGTAGATCTCGAGGACCTTCTTCCTCAGATTCAGAAAGCCAGAACCGGAACTGAAATTCAGGGTGTCGCATTAGCCAAGTTCTCGCCACCGGCATCAGACCAGCATAAACTTCTACGTGTTCTCACTGCGCTAGATCATTTGTTTGATCCTAAGCGCGAAAAGAAGGACGATGCAGCCAGTGAAGCAGAGGTTTCCTCTGAGATTGTTGAAAAGCAAGACCTTGTGTCTAGCCTTTATGAGAACTCCACCTTTGGCCCAATGTGGGAGAAGTTAAGTGCCTGTCTCAGTACAATTAGGCAACAAGATCACATGCTTAGTGTCGCCACTATTCTTTTGCCTTTGATCGAATCCCTCATGGTTGTTTGCAAGAACACTACCTTGAAGGACACACCACTTAGTCGAAGTGCAAAGAGTAAGGAAATGGTTCTTGCTAGTCCCGTTCCGGAGTCTCGAATGGAGAACTTGTTCTTCACATTTACTGAAGAGCATCGAAAGATTCTGAACGACCTAGTCCGACATACTCCAAAGCTCATGTCTGGTACATTCTCTCTATTGGTGAAGAATCCTAAGGTTCTGGAGTTCGATAACAAGCGCAACTACTTCAGCCGCAGCATTCACAGCCGAAGTCAAGGTTCTCGTGCAGTTCCTCCACTACAATTGTCTGTTCGTCGAGAGCAGGTATTCCACGACTCTTTCAAATCCCTCTACTTCCAGACTCCTGATCAAATGAAGTATGGCAAGTTAAGCATCCGTTTCCATGGAGAAGAGGGTGTAGATGCAGGCGGAGTCACTCGTGAATGGTTCCAAGTTCTCTCTAGGCAAATGTTCGACCCTGGCTATGCTCTTTTCATCCCCGTGTCTTCTGATCGTACTACTTTCCATCCAAATCAGTTGAGTAGTATCAACGAGGAGCATCTAATGTTCTTCAAATTCATCGGTCGTATCATTGGAAAGGCACTATATGAAGGTCGTGTTCTCGATTGCCATTTCAGCAGAGCAGTTTACAAGCGCATTTTAGGCAAGGCTGTTTCAGTCAAGGACATGGAATCTTTGGATCCTGACTATTATAAGTCACTCATATGGATGCTTGAGAATGATATCACGGATATCATTACCGAAACCTTCTCCGTCGATAACGACAAATTTGGCGTTGTCGAGACCATTGACTTCATTGAAGATGGACGCAATGTTCCAGTGACGGAGGAGAACAAGCACGAGTATGTTCGATTGATGGTCGAATGGAAACTTACAGGATCTGTCAAAGCACAGTTAGATGAATTCTTGAAGGGCTTCCATGATATTATCCCTGCTGAACTGGTCTCGATTTTCAACGAGCAGGAATTAGAGTTGCTAATCTCTGGACTACCTGAAATTGACGTTGATGACTGGAAGAGTAACACTGAATACCACAATTACTCGGCATCTTCTCCACAAATTCAGTGGTTCTGGCGTGCCATTCGCTCATTTGACAAAGAAGAGCGAGCCAAGTTGCTGCAATTCGTCACGGGAACCAGTAAAGTACCCCTTAACGGTTTCAAAGAGCTTGAGGGTATGAATGGTTTTAGTCGATTCAATATTCACCGAGACTATGGCAACAAAGAAAGACTTCCATCTTCTCATACTTGTTTCAACCGTAAGTTACACTGCCTAAATCATATATCTAGTCATATGCTAACCCAACCTCTAGAACTCGATCTTCCAGAATATGAAAGTTATGAGACCCTTCGCGCGCAAGTTCTTACTGCTATTACAGCAGGCAGTGAATATTTCGGTTTTGCATAAACATCGATTGCAAGGTCAAACATCTTTTTCCTTTTAATTATGATATCATGCATGGCAGGCTTTTGATCAGCATTTGGCGGCGTCAAGCTTTCTTTTTTTGACGATATTCATGAGGACAAGGTGGTCTTCTAATAACCAGAGCGATGGTTCTACGGAGGATAGGTTTGCTTTTTTATGGGTTGGAGGATATGAAACTATGCGATACTAGGTAGACAGATAAGGTGATGGATGAGGATGGATGGTTATATTTGGTTTGAGATCTTCGGGGAAGGATTCTTTCAAAGCGAAGTGCAGGTCGTTTAAAAGATGATTTCCCAGGGAAGGAGGATTAGATAGATGACCCATCAGAGACAAAATTTTCCAAAAGGGAAAAATGGCAGATGTAAAAACTAGATAGCTTTTAGTTAGCATACGGAATTATCATAGATTGATGAGTTCGAAAGATGTTGACTGTATTTGGTTTGAAAATGTGAAAATAAGATAACGTGACTACCTAGTATATAACGAAAATCCCTCTACCATAGGTACTCGTACATAATCTCATAATATGATGTTATGGAGTTTTGATTGGCCGTGGTTGGTTACCACAGGACTAGAAAACGGAAAAAGCCGATCATTCGGCACGGACGTTATCTTTTTCGAAACCCCGCAAAAATTATTTCTCTCAAATGTCAATGTCAAAGGGTTCATTCATTTCTTACTCAACGGCTTCCTTTTTCTTCATAGTTCGCATTTCAGACATTTGACTTCGACGCAACACACAGTAACGTCAAGAATATTCTCAATCATAAGAACTGATTGAATTTCTGTATACGACCGACAGGACGAACTTGCGCATATTAGAAGGAGGGATCCAATAGGACGTTGAAAATTGATTCTGATCCTTTCAGAACAAATATACACTCGAAAAAAATTATTTGCATTAGAGATTATTGTGCAGGTACAGGAAAACTGTAAACCTTACACGGAATCTGCGAACGAACGGACAACGAATAGGACGAAGCGAAAGGAAACGTGCGCTACCTAGTCTGGAGACTGCATTTGCGACTACAAGTACGATTGCGCATCTGAGAGGAGGCTTGTCTATAGCTGCGACTGCGAGAGTTAGTCAACGAGTCGAAGGAATTATAGAAGGCATAAAAAGAAACAGAGAAGAAAAGAAGATAAAATGGCGACAAATTCTATTAAGTTACTCACGGGTAACAGTCATCCTCAGTTGGCGAAGTTGGTTGCTGATAGGTGGGTTATTTTTATTTCTTGCTTTCGTTATTGGGGATGAGTGGGTTGTTTTGGTGGGATCAGATGAAATATATTTGCTTCGGGATGGTGGGATGACGAGCGCTTGGATCTGTGAATGAATATCTGAATTATTGACGGGAGATGCGCTATTAAAGTGCCAATCTTAAGGATTGAGATGTAAAAGAAGATGCTAACGAAATTCATTCCGCAGATTGGGCATTGAGCTTGCAAAGACTATGAGCTTGAACTACTCAAATCAAGAGACCAGCGTCACAGTAGGAGAGAGTGTCAGAGATGAAGATGGTTAGTTCTCCTCGTCCATCATCCCATCGCATACTCCAAGTCAAATTTCTAAATTCTACTCTCTAGTCTTCATCCTCCAATCCACCGCACCCGGCGATATCAATGATGGACTCATGGAACTTCTCATCATGATCAATGCTTGCAAAACCGCCTCCGCACGTCGCATTACAGCTGTCATCCCCAACTTCCCTTACGCACGTCAAGATAAGAAAGATAAATCCCGCGCTCCCATCTCTGCGAAACTTATTGCAAACATGTTGCAAACGGCTGGCTGTAATCATGTTATTACTATGGATTTACATGCAAGTCAAATTCAAGGGTTCTTTAATGTCCCAGTCGATAATTTGTATGCGGAACCAAGTACTTTGAGATGGATCAGAGAGAACTTGGAGGTTAGCAAGTGTGTGGTTGTTAGTCCGGATGCCGGTGGTGCTAAGAGGTGAGCCATTTCTTCTCATATTCTACGAAAGGGTACCAGTATATCTGCGAGATGCAGGATCTGGACAAGACGGGGCAAAGTTTTTCTAAACAAGGATCAAAATGATTAACGCAATCCTCAGAGCAACCTCCATCGCCGACCGTCTTGACCTCGGCTTTGCCCTTATTCACAAAGAGCGCGCTCGTCCTAACGAAGTATCCCGCATGGTCCTTGTCGGTGACGTCGTAGACAAAATTGCCATTCTCGTAGACGACATGGCCGATACCTGCGGCACCCTCGTCAAAGCCGCCGAAACCGTCATGGAACACGGCGCCAAGGAAGTAGTCGCTATCGTAACTCACGGAATCCTGAGCGGAGCAGCAATCGAAACATTAAACAAGAGTAAATTGAGCAGAGTCGTTGTTACAAACACAGTTCCTCTAAAAGGAAAGGAGGAGACTTGTGGAAGATTGAGAGTTATGGATATCAGTGCGACGTTGGCTGAGGCAATTAGGAGGACGCATAATGGAGAGAGTGTGAGCTTTTTGTTCACTCACGCACCTATGGATTAAGGGGCTATAAGATGTGGTAGCAAAGACACTGGAAGATAGATAAAAAAACGGGTTCTTGGGTTTAACTTGGGGTTTGTGGGTAGGCATGTAGATAGAAATTTACTAGGAAAGGAAAAAACAGCAGTGCGGATTGCAGAAGATGGTATTCTCTTTCTTCTTTTTGCAATGCAACATCTGCTTTGCATGGGGCTGTAGAGGGCTTACTCACTTACATAGGTACGTTTAAATATGTTACGTGGGGTCTTTTCCATATATACATAGGTGCGCGGGAATCAGAGAAAATGTAAATGCATCAATATCGGTCTCTTGCTGTGTGTATGTGTATGTGTATGTGACTAGGTAGGTACTCACGCATGTGCCTTGATAGGGGAGAAGAGAAAAGAGACGACATCTAGATTGTCTGTCTGGGCTCCTTGTATTTGGCTCTACTTGACAATGTTCTCTATAACCCATGTTACAAGCAAGCAACCTTTCCAAAGTTGCAATGGAATTTCCAAATGCCATGATAATTGTGTGAAAGATGGAGTTTCAAACAAAATTGGAAAGACAGATCATTCGTTTGTTCTCTTTCCAATAGATGTTTCATTTGGAGGCGTTACAATCCTCAAGTCATCGTCAGTAAAAGATTTTGAATGAAGAATATGTGGATTCGATACTAATCCAGTTCGGCAATGTGTTAGATTCTGGCCTAGCATTCATCTCAAACAGTACCAACCGAGTAAGAGTTCGGCATAATATCGACAAGGAAAAGGTGGGCAAGAGCAACAGGATTGGAGGATGGGAGAATGGCAAAGAGTAGGACTAATATGTGCAAAGTGAAGCGAGTCGGGAAGGGGGAGATGGTCAAAAAGGATAAGCCGAAGGACAAGATTTCAGTAGGAGGAACCATCCACTGCATTTGATAAGATATGGGAACATCAAAACATATTAATAGCACATCATTTGCATTCCAGAAACGCCTTCCTAAGTAGTAATATGCAGTCCATTTTAAATTGGTATCTAGCATCCTGGTATAATGCTTTTTTGACCTGTTGAACCCGGCTGAGAATTCATTCCACTCGCCAAACATCCAGAAAGACTACCATTTTATTACCCATCGTGAAAACCCTCTACTTACGCATAGAAGAAGCTCTGCGCTTGCGGGCATCAACCTTGGCGTTCTTGGCCTCAGAGACACGCTTGGCAAGGATAGCGGCGTACTCGTTCTGGAAAAATGTCAGTTGGCGAGTTATTGAAGGATAACGGTTTAACTTACGGCAGCATCCTTGGTACGCTCAGCGTTACGACGCTTGAGTGCGAGTCTATGACGCTTGTGTTGGAGACGTTGAGGGGTGACCAAACGTTGGATCTTTGGTGCCTTGGTGTAGACCTTCTTGCCCTCACCCTTTGGTTGAACCTCACGACGGATAACGAATTTACGGACCTAACCCAGATATATCAGCATTACGCTTTGGATTTACTTCTCACACTCCATCCTCAAGCACCAGCACGAAGCGGTTGAGAGTGATGGGCGGAATGATGTAGGGAAAACGTACATCATCCTCCTTGGTGAGCCCAAAGAACTTTCTAATCTTGGTGGCACGCTTGGGGCCCAATCTCTTTGGGTGGACAACGTCGGTGACACCTGGGATGTCGCTCTCTCCTTGCTTGACAATGCTCAAAGCGAGAACGGACAAATCCATGGCGACGATGCATCCACGAACGGATTTACGCTTGCGCTCACCAGTTCGGCGTGGGCGGTAGCAAGAGTGACCCTCGGAAAGGAGAAGTCTGACACGGGTTGGGTGCATAACACCTTGCTTCATTGGGAAACCTTGCTTGTCGTTACCACCGGTAATCTTGAAGATGTATCCCTTGAACTCGTCTCCGACGGAGTCTCCTGGAACCTCAGCGCCCATTCTGTCGAACAAAAATTAGATTCTTTCGGTGTGTTCGGTGTCGCGAAAAAGATATACCTCTTGTCCATGAAGACACGGAGCTTGCGCTCGTCTTCGATATCGATGAGCTTTTGACTGCCATTGGCAGGCTGTTGAATATTGTCAGTTCGAATTCTTCGATCGTGTTCATTTAAATGGGTTCGAAACGTACGAATGAAATGTTCTATCAATCAAAGTTTGTTAGCAGATACTCAATCAATCAATTCCAGCATAATGGAATACATACCAACTTCATCTTGACGGTGGTAAGTGGTCAAGTGGTCGAGGTTGTCGTCGGTGATTTGTCGCTGAGAGGAATGAAGACTTCGAAATTTTGGAAAGTTCGAAATTCTCAGTGCGAGACGCTAGTATCCTTAGCGCGAAATTTCAATGTGGATCAACAACCGAGATCATGTGATCTGCAGCATCGGATCGGTCAAACATTCTGCCAGGCCCTACAAACATGCTCGATAATTTCTTGAGATTTTAATAATTGTGCTGTTGACTTTGCGTCGCGCGAATAATGAACTGTGATTAAATCTTTTGTCGAGCACAAACTATCATCTCAAAAGTCTCAATCATGATTTCCCTTCATACGAGTGTCGATCGACCAATTGAAACCATACAAAACCCACTACCGAGGCTTCTTCAAACCCCATCTGGACTCGCACTGCTAGAGCTTCAAGGAACGATAAATCTTCCAGAACCGGACATTGAGGATGATGACCCATCGAAAATTTCAAATTCTTCAGAACAAAGTTTCCAGACTCCGATTGGTCGCCTGATATTCCCCGAATATGACCCAGAAAATCCAGATAATCCCAAGTGGATGAAGCGTGTCTATCTCTACGTGGGCAAGCACCAAAGACTCACGGGAGAGGTCAAGAAGCTTCCAAAGGCTTATGCTGTTATTAGGAAGAGGGACCCTAAGATATCATCACAGACAAATGGTGATGTCTCGATGCAAGAGTCCGAGTCAGAGGTTGGGGATGAATTGGAAATCGTTGAAATCGTGAAATGGAAGATTCTATTTTCAACAAGACCAGAACCAGTAGGAGCTATGGTCACTGATACCACTTGAAGTTTGGAGTTATCAACTATTCGCTCGAGAAAGAGCAAGTGCAATCGATGCAACATTGCCGTTTCAATTACCATGATTATATACCCAAAAAAAATCATGGACATACTACGCGCCACTCAGCTCTCTCACACTGTGGACCTCTCATTACCCACAATCCTTGCCCAAGATTGACTTGGTCTTGGTACTTCGATGTACAATAGCATTACCAGAGAACCACCACAAAACAAGCGTGTCCTTGATCGGGATCTTGCAGTGAACACCTCGCCAAACAATATATAGGGGCAGGAATCAAGTTCCCGAAGCTTTAGACTTTGATCTTACTAGCTTGGGAAGCCATTCGACCTTTTTACACGGAACCATGGACAGTGCAGAATGATCTCGACTTGGGGTGAGATCGGGCGCACTCTTCGAATGATTTTCGTTCTACGAATGGAATTCAGTGAATAATGGGACAGATATTTTCGAGCTCGCTTCATGCCATGATGCTTTTATATTTGATGTATTGAAACACAGTCACATCTACGAAATATTTTCTGTAAGAAAGTAATGATGATTAATAAATCCCATTTGAATTATGATTCAAACCAAATTGCTGTAAGCAACGGACCAACAGGCATTAGGCAATAAAAAATATATAGAAATCATGGAATTCGGAATCATTTTCATTCACATGTAATCTTTTGGAGATCTCTTTATTGAGCTATTTCAAGGACACTTTCTTCATTCTTTTCTTACTTTCAATCTTCAACCGAAACATATCCGACAACCCAAATCATCGAAGAACGGATAAATAAAAGCTCTACCACAGCAGTATATCAAGCACCCTTCAACATGAAATTCATCCTCCCACTATCGTTATCCTTTATTGGCCTCGGCCTTTCTTTTGCACATAATTTCATGGAGTCTCATGCTGGAATCCTTACAACTACCCACCTCAAGCAATCCTCCATTATATCAACATTATCTTTTCTCCCAACAATCCAAAATATCGCTCTTATAGCCACCCTTCCGGCACTAGGTATCTATGCACCAGCTCTGATCGGTATTGGCATCATGTCAAGCAACGTACAAGCAATCTCCTTTGGACCAGCTGGCGGTCTGAATCGTGCGCCACATTTGCCGCCAAGTCCATTCGCGTCAAGTTATAAGCGACGAGCACATCCTAGAGACATTTCTGTTGTAACCACCAGCATTGAACACAAAAATTCTTACCATGTAGCTGAAGTTTTGATCAAGAAATTTGGAGACCTTCTCCGTCGCATAAATGGACAGCATGCCGAATTCGAGAGTTCAGGACATCTTCTAAAGTTTGCTGCTTCGAGTAGGGACAATGCAGATGAAGGTGAATCAACAAATATCGACCCACATGAATCATCCACAGACTCTGAACAATATCATGGTACAAAATCAGGTCCGTATACCCAGTCTTGATCTTGGCATTGCCAATACTAACGATCCATGCTATAGATCTCAAAATTCGGCGCAATGGCAATACGCTTCTGTCTAGAGGTTCGTGAGAAAGTTTTTTAACGCTTTAAATACTTCCAATACTGATGAGTGTTTTCTCACAGATGTGAAGTCTAGATCACTCGTTTCGAGAAGCCGCTGGCAAGATTTTATACATCTTTGCTGGGGTCTAGAGGCGCATTATGACCTGCATAAAAATAGGTGTGATGGTGACTGATTATATTTGTATGGATATGATATTGGGAGATTTGGCGGTTGGGAGAATGGTGAGCGGCTTGCTTGGTAATCTATATGGGGTGGTTTTCCGATATGGTGTTACTGCTGGACAGCAATAAAGGCGTGTAGTTGACAATCCAGTCATTATCCTTTGGGAATAGCGTTGTTGTTAAATTTCAATATTTCCAACACAATTTTGAGTTTCAAACGACAAATCTTATATTGCTCAACCAGAGATCAGGTATTGAAAGGGTTGGATTCATCATGCTGTCTGGTGCGGTGCTTCTACATCAGTACTTTCATTACCTGATGCACCTCTACTTCATTCTATCGCCACTGGATCCCCGTTTAATATACTTGTCAATTCAGACGATACTTTTCGGATAATCACATGATTCCCAATCACAGAAGTAATTTAGTACAGGACTTTATCTTATTTCGCTTTTAATTTTCAGTGACTTGATCTCTCCCACAAATCCCAACGTTTTATTACACAAAATAAGTCCTTCACCAAGCTCAGCCGATGTTGCATTGAACGGGCAAATACTCGACAAAAAATGGCCAGTACAAGTCTTTGTACTCATGCGATGGAAGGTATGGACAATATGAATATCGATGGAAGTGGTATAGATGGGGTTGGTGAGGACGTAAATGCGACCAACACAGTTGAGATGGACAATGATATTTCTATGGGAATGGATCAATCCGCATATGCCGAGGGCGCAGAATGTACATATTAATCAAGTGGACAGCATAATGGTCTGTATGGCACATCTCCTGCAAAATAATGTTTGCAAAGCTTGACCATCACACGTACGTAACTCGCACTTTTCTCTCTTTCGCAATGACATTCAACTGACCTGCAATAACAGCGGCCATGGCTTCTGCAAACATAAACTATGCACATAACATAGCACAACTATCTTCTCAGCCTGGAACTTTCCATCGATCCAGCGACTTTCCAGCAGAAGTTCGCTGTACGATATGGAAATATCACGCAGAAGATGAAGAAGACTTTGGAGAACCACACAGTCTCACCATCATCGCAAAGTATACCGGCGAGAATCCTAAGAAAAATTCACGCTGTAATTACGTTACGGAATTGTTACATCACATGGAGCTTACCGACGATCAAAACACTCGTTCCTTCCAAAAGAGTGTTAAATTCCCATGGACAGCACAACCCGCACCATCGTACAAGATTCCCGCTTCCCTATACGTCAACAAAGAAGGTCAATACGCTGGTCAAGAACTCTATTCAAAGAGTCATTTCCTGATGTCTATTCTCGAAACCGAGAAACCGGTCTATTTTCGCGAGGACCTGGATACACTTCATTTTTCGGATTGGTTCACTTTCAACACTTTCTGTGTACAATTCGCATTTGTGCAGACGGATCAGACATCCATCCGACTTGCGATGGAAGCAAACCGTCGCGTCATAATTCCCGAGGATGAGGTAGATATCTCGTTACATCTTCGATGTGTCGTTTGCAGACATAATAATCGGGGTTGGCATCGTCCAAATCCCTGTGTAAAATGTCTAGACATGAATCCGAGACAACGTCTAGATGATTACATCAAAAACGTTGCAATTGGTACCGAATCGTTTGGACTACCCGAGAAAATCAATGCCGAAAAATTCGCAGTCAAACAGACTCAAAGAATGCAAAAACTGCGAATAAAAGCACTTCAATACATGGACTGGGGCTTTAATAAGCTCGATAGTTTGGTGTTGGGAATGGATAGTCATTTGGTCTCGGATACGCTACATCAGAAAAGACCTAAATGGGTGGAAGACCGCTGGAAGTTCAAAGAGGATATCATGAGACACTTGACATACAAGGCGTTTGAGGAGGTAGAATTTTTGTCGAAGAAGGAATTCATAGAGAGGTTTGGAGAGAGGGATCCTCGGATTGAGCTTGGCTGGTAAGTACTGGGAGTGATGGATGATAGTGAGATCTAACGAAGAGATCAATATTGTATCGGGATGGTCTACTAACATGGGAAGGCTCAAGAAGTTTTTGATCAAAGAACTAGCATTAGACGTATAAATCAAAAGTGAAGAAAACTTATCCAAGAAACTTTCCCTCTAAGAAGAATATCAAAAGATATTTGTGACCAACAAGAACCCTATATTGTAAAGAATACATTCTTCCCTTGTGCATTCTACATCAGAAACCCAATGATTTTGGCCCTTTATATTGTCAATAAGTTTTCAGCCCTTCAACGATATGAGTTTCATGGCTTACTTGATAAGTTTCCAACCTTGAAAGAATACGTGATGTATCCGCCTACACCGTTCGCTGAGACACCCCTGGCATATGTCTAACACTTCACGCTAGCGGTGGATTGGGTTGATTAACATGGAGTCTGCATTGGTTTGTCCGCAATTTCTTTTTTGCCCCTTTCGGTGTAAAGTGACGCGGATATCTACGTAGTATTTTTGTATATGGTATGTACATATGGATGAAGTTCGCTTAGAGTTGGGTTTTTTCGAATCAACACTTTACGCCCCCAAATGATAGAACAGATTTGACCCTGAAGCTCTGAAGAAGTATTGCAAGTCTTGCAGGTCTCTAATCGAACGCCCAACCACTGGCTTGACGTACAAAGTTCCCACAGTAGTAAAAGAATACTCAGCATTGGATTTTCGAACTGACCAGAAGGAATGATGTGATATTTTCGGTCAAAGTGAATGCAAAGCTTAAGGATTCGAGGTTAGACGTACATTTACAGTTTTGATTCGTGATGGGAGGGAAATTCAGATTGATTTTGACCATTTCTAAGCAATCCAATCATATTTTCCAACCCTCGTTCGCACATTCTACTGACCTTGATTACGTCGTCAAACCTCGACAGAAGCATTGTGCTCTATCTGTGTCTGGCAGAAAGATGCCTTTTGAGGCAAGATTGAATCCTGAACTTACCTTCATCATTGTCACATGGTCGACGGAGTGATAGAGCCGCTCAAGAAAATGTCGAGAGGATTCCTAATCTTGACACATACCAACTAACCTGTCAACCTCATTAGCCGAGGCCTTCTTCACTGTTGGATTCTACTTTCCAATGAGTAGGTGATGTATGCCAACTTGATCTTCTATCATGTGCGGACCATGAATTGGAAAGAACCTCGTGATTAAAATAATACGTGTCATTATAGAGATCTATCTCGTTTACGTCACTGCGGTATTTGTCAGCCCCAAAGGGGGTTGGTGGAGGTATACTAAAAATTAGCTCCCACTCACAATCTATTTTATTCTCTCAATTCATATTCTCTCAATTCATATTCTCTAACCAAACACACCCCAAAATCTCAGCTCACAATCCGGCAAAGTTTTCGAAATCATTGCATTTCTTGCAACATTCTTTACATTCTGAGACTCTAAGCGACATCAAAACATATCAACCAAGATACAGGTTCGAACAGCTGCACGAAAGCTGTATCATAATTTCCAAATTTCTACAACGTGTCAAGAATACTGTGAGTTTCAACCTCGAGCTCGAAATCTCGTGTCCCAAACCCTAATATTATTTTACTTGTCAAGTGATCACCCTTCACCGTGATCATACCCTAGGACTTCCAGACTTTATGGCCGATTCATATCCTCATAACTCCTACCCGAAATAATTTAAATCAAATAAAGCTTGCCAATCACTATGTCTACTCAAGTACCACAAAGTCATGCGCAAGGCGCTGCCCAAGTACCTGACTCATTTTCGAGACTTCCCCTTGAGGTTAGCACCAGGATTTTCACGTACGCTTTACCAGGTCCTCGGATCATCACCATCGATGTTGAAATTAGTAAGATGGAAGATTCTGAAATCTGGGATGACCTTGCTCTGGAACTAGAATCATCCCAGAAAACCTGGGAGAAAAAGCGAGAGGACAAACATTTTAGAGAAAAGCAGGGACTTCATGATCCGAAAGATCACCACATGATCTTGGAGGTTGAGAGGGCTGTTGCTATTCAGAACATTCCAGCATTGTTACATACTTGTTCGTTTTCAAGACAAGTAGCCTTGAAACATTATCAATTTTTGAACCGAGGCAAAAAATTGACAGTTTGCATCGATTTCAACGTTGATACTCTTCACTTTCGAAGCCGTCGTGCGTGGGGACTCTTCACGCAAAAGCCAGGAGAATTAATCGGTAGACGACTCCGAGCCATTATGATCGCCTCAAAAAGCAAGTGGGGATACGAAGATGGAGATCGATACAATATAAACTACAATGTGTTTTTGAACGATCTCTTTGAAACAAGATACTGTAAAGAAAGAGATGATATCAGCTTAGACACCGCTTTTATCGACGAAATGGCCGAGAAAGTCAAGTTTCTGGCTATTGGTGGAGAATCGGATTGGAGCTGGAGCCCAGACTGGATGATGACATTAGTAAACTTTTGGAAGGTCAAAAAGATATGGTGGAGATTCTTGGACTATAGGCCTGGTACTAATACCGAAGATGATTTGAAACTGGAGTGGAGAAGACTAGCTGCAGGTATTGACAATAAAGAAGAGTGGCTTGCAAGAAAGGAAGAGTTCATCCATATTACAATACCAAAAGTTGAACGCATCAGCTTCGAAGATTTACAAACCAGGCAAAGACTCGGCGAAGGATTCGATATCGAGTAGAGAGGTACATGTCCTACCAGAATGCAGGGTCTGGGATAGGGATCTGGAGGGCTATCGAGCTGTAGCAAGAAGTGATGTTTATCTTGATATATAACTAACTGGGATCGTGTGCTTTTCGATTCATCTCGAGGTCAAATGGCGCAATCAAATGTTGCTGCATTAATGGGTTTCGTGGTCTACATGCTCGGGACTGCAAAAAGGAGTTGTTGCCATTTTCGGAACAAATAATGTGTAATGGGCGCAATGGGTGTAATTAGTGTTTAGCGAAGGCAGGAGATGCCAATGTCATGGTTTTGGGATCCCACGGAATTTTGCATATGCAAATTCGAAATTGACTTATCCAAACGGGATCCTAAATCTTCAGAATAATAATAAACAATGAATTAGTTTGAATCTTGAAGCATGAATAGTGCAACTCGAAGTTTCGTGAAGAAGAAAAGATACCAAGAATTACATTCGAAGTCATCCCAAACAAGAAAAGGCTTTGTAGCATATGGTGAGAACTCATGATGTTGCGGTCGAATTACATGTGTGTAAGCACTGACTAATCAGCGACCGAGTGATCCACTACATTGTTCACTTCCCTCCACAGTCACAGTCGACTTATTGAATACTCTATACTATTCTTACCATGTTCCATTACAGATGTACAGATGAATCGATAATTCCGAAATACAAGCTCCATGCAACATCTCAAGAATCCAGAACTGAAGCGGGAAATTCAACATGAAAATTGGACCAACAGTTGGGCTGGCCAATCGTTGGTTTTTGAAACGGTTTGATATTCCACCGATTTTCAAAGAGAAATTCCGGGATTCAATATATCATACGTGCTTCATGAAGAGTTTATCTGTATTCTCTTACTTCCACATTTGCATATCGTTCTCGATATTCATTGTTAATTTTGAAACTTTATCCTATGTTATATTATCGCATTCGCTCCAATCAGACACTTCACTTTCTTCGCCAACATCATCTAGTGATATCCACCGCAGCACAAAATCATGAGTCATCCCTCTCTCATATTTGGTGCTGCATCCTTTGGGATGGATTTCAGCACCAAAGAATCCGTCCAAGATGCTCTCGAAGTTTTGAAAGAGTTGAATATTTCCCAGATCGATACCGCAGGAAGATATCCACCCACAAATCATGGAAGATCCGAAGAGCTTCTTGGAAGAGTAGGAGCTACATCTCAAGGCTTTTCTATCAGTACGAAAATTCTTGCTACAAAGCTTGGCTACGGGAGCGGTGAACTCGAAGCTTCGGCTATAAAGAAGTCGCTTGATACAAGTTTTAAGCGTTTGGGCGTTGATCAGGTATTGTCCTGATATAATTGCTGTCTTTGAACGGTATTGATTTATTTTACTACAAGGTCGATATTTTATACTGTCATCAACCTGACCCGACGACTCCATTGAAGGACCAAGCAGAAGTCCTCAACAATCATTTCAAAAATGGGTCCTTCAAGAGAGTGAGCTCTCCGTACCATTCATGAATCTAACAAGTCCAGATACTAATTACACAAAGCTCGGAGTCTCCAACTTCCCCCCTAAGTTACTCCAAGATTTCATCCAGGTATGCGAGGAAAATGGCTTCGTGAAACCGTCTGTATATCAAGGAGATTACAATCTCATAACTCGAGGCATGGAGAAAGAATTGCTCCCTATCTTCCGAGCCAATTCGATGTCTTTCTTTGCGTTCAGGCAGGTCGCTTGTCTTCTTCCTATTCGACCTACTACTAATCAAAATCATATCAGAGCTCTAGCGGCTGGTTTCCTGACCGGAAACTACAGCGCGGGAAAATCCAACGGCACCAGATTCAGCGACGATCATCCACTCGGAAAAGCATTCCAAAACCTCTACGGAGCTCCTAAATTGCAACAAGCGATGAAGGATCTAGAGAATAATTTAGCACCATTAGGTATCTCTGGAAGAGAAGCCAGCTTGAGATGGATTTATCATCATTCGAAACTGGGAGATGGGGATGGGATTATTCTGGGTGCTAGCAAAATTTCTCAGATAAGAGAGAATGTTGAGAGTATATCTGTCGGACCGCTGTCTGAGGAAGTGGTGCAGAAGATCGAAGGAATTTGGGATTTGTTGGCTGAGGATAGAGGTGGGATTTTGTAGATTGTGCAATTTTGGATTTTAGTAAGAGAAGAGATTTGTGCTTTTTTCTTCAATCAGAAAATATGGTGCTTATGGGTATCCTCTACATGTCTCAAGAATATAAGAAAGTTTCGTGAAGACAGGTAATCTTAAATTTTGGTATATATCAAAGACAACATGAAAGGTTCCAAGGATAAACAATTCTCAAACACCTACAATGACGAAGTTCCCCCAAAAGTTCAATTGCTTTGAAGAAATGTCCATCGCTTGTCATGGAGGTTTTTAGATACTAAATATGAGACATAGCACAGAAAGTTTTATCCCCCATTATTACACCAACTCCTTATATCTAGAAGTCAGACCTCAACTTCACCCTTTACCCAAACTCTCAAAAGGCCCGAATACAGATGTGCAACAAAACAAAACAAAACAATCTGTACCCCAGATTTCAACTTCAGCCCATCCCATATCCAAAAGTGACAAAAGGCCCGAATATAGACATGCAACAAAACAATCTTGCTGATCCTTCAACCTCAACAAAGAATCCTTCCATTACTTTCACTCTCACTTTCCAGGATATTTTTAATGAGCCCGAAGTCTAAAAGGGCCGAATGTAGATGTGCAACAAAATGGGATGGAATATTTGGTTGGGAGAATCTGACTAATGGGGGCAGGCTTATTTTATTGGCTTACGGTTTACTGTTTACCGTAGAAAAGATTGATGTAGGATGCCGGATGATGAAGTGTGTAGCTCTTATTATTATGAAGCTTTGATAGTTTGCTTTGCATTATGTATAGATAGAAATTCTGTTAGAAGCATAGGGTTTTTATAAAGAGAAATATTATACTGGGCTAATAGCAATGGAAGATTTGCGAGGCATAGATGAGAATCAATATACTGTTCACAGTTGAGCTGGACTTTTCATCTTTGGTTTCCAATGACTACAGGCTGTTTGCACTCGAATTAATCAGTTCAAGAATTCAAAAACTGTTGAGAAGCTTTGTTGTATGTTTTGTTTTGATAACAGTGCCCTAGTTCAACTAGAGCCATCCATTCGTTTCAGACTTAAGTCTCTCGGTCTCCATCTGTAACTATATACTTTAGATATCGTGACCTGTCTAGTTCTGGATCAATAAAGGGAGACCGCAATAGATACCAATTGTAGCTGAGTTTCGAAGGTTGTTGGAGAGAAATCAGTGCCTGGAACAGCTTACGCAGTAACGCGGCCAGACCAAGTTTGAAGATATCTATTCTCTTATCCTTGATTCTTAGAGGGCGCTCTCTGCAGTTTGCGTTATTATTGTTGGTTGAATTCTTTACTTCCCATTTTATTCATCGCCTAAACGACCGTACCAAGAGGATTCTTTTTCATCGCCCCTTTCAACAAAGCAATGACTTCTGGATGCGGACCTCTATTTCTCAATTGCCTAGCCAAATTCAAAGCTGTGTTTCCTTCGAAAGTCTTGGCATGGAGATTAGCATCCGCCTCAATGAGAACTTGTACACTATCATCACGGCCAACCTTTGCAGCCTTATGTAACACGGTTTCGCCCTCATCATCTTTTGCTTCGATATTAGCACCTGCCTCTATTAAAAGTTTCATGACAGAAGGGTGCAAAGCAGAATGCATGAGAACTGTTTCTCCATTACATACAGCATTTACATCCGCACCATGCAGAAGAAGTTCCTTGGCAACAAGGACATCATTCTTGTGGCCCGAGCTGACGGCACGAATCAATGCGGTACCAGAGAAAGTATCCTTGCCAGCATCAACTTCAGCTCCTGCTGCTAGCAATTTTTTGACGGCCACAATATTTCCTGCCGTCGCTGCCATAGATAATGCAGCATGTTCGCGAAACCCTTTCGCATCAACGTATGCTCCCTTTGAAATAAGCTGATCAATGGCATCTGGAAGATTATCTACTACCACTTTCATTAATGGAGTCAAACTCAATTCATCTGATGCGTTGACGTCAGCTCCAGCTTCTATCAAAGCTTTGATAACTCCTTCATGCCGGCGATCGATGGCAATATGGAGTGCTGTCTTGTTGAAATGCTCTTCAAATGGAATTTCAATCAAAGACGGCTGGGCAGAAACAAGTTGCTTTACGATCTCTACATGTCCCTTTCGCGCAGCTTTGTGGAGAGCATTTTCTTGTTGATAATCTTTAGCGAAAAGGTTGGCTTTGAAATGGATGAGAAGTTGAACCACAGAAAAGTGGCCTAATTCCGCTGCTATCAACAAAGGTGTGAAGTCCTTGGGGCAGACTGCTTCAATATCTGCTCCTCCCTTAAGCAATTCGCCGACGATTGTTGGCAAACCGAACATAGCAGCAGCGACAATTGGCGGAGGAAATTCGATCGTATGTCGTATGCTGAAAGGCATCATAGCAGCAGATGCACCATTAACGAGCGTTCTTTGGTTGAGGAAATGTAGAATATCGTCCATGAGCTCTAGTGCCGCTGCACCTTGAGCATGTACACCGAGATACTGGCTCGCATATGATAATAGAGAATACTCCTTGAGTCGAGTCTTGATTGTTTCGCGGTCCGGACGTTCGGGCTCTTTGAAGTTGTCCAAGGATAGATATCTGATGCAGGCTTGAGTAATCAACACACCAGAATTAGGAAAGAACTTTGCACGATGGCGCTCGAAGTATTCCTGGAGAGTAAAATGACACAAACGGATAACACCGCTTTCTGGGTCGACTACCACGAGACCAGCACAGACTGTCAAAAGCAAATCTTGATCGTAAAAATCATCTTCATCTAATTCGCTCTCATCAGGGTCGAGTTCCATGATAGCCACAGCATGCTGCAGCTCGCGCACAGTCAGGGGCTTTTTTGCACAAGAGAGCCACATCAAAATATTCATGGCCAAGATTTTGCGGTTCGTCTCTTGCCCCTCCATGATTCTTTTCATGGCGTCGTCATAAGTTTTGTCAAGGATTTCTGGCAGGCCAGTCAACGCTTTTCTAACACGACTGACCTTCAGTTCTGAAGCTATAGCTTCTATGTGCATATGGGCGAGAAGGAACCTAGTTGGATAGATCAGCATATGTCATGAAGCAGGGGGTCTCGGCTTGACTGACATTCCATGAGCTTTTTCAGCTATTTTTCCAACGATTGTCTTTCGTAGCGTCGGATCTTTCTTGCAAAATTTTAGGATATTCTCCTCCATATCTATGCGTGCCTCCAAATACACTCGAACATCATCATCACTAGCTCTAATCTCGAGATGCGGATAGTCAGATAGCTTCTCTTCAATATCCCCGAGGCGACGTGAAGTAAGGAGGAGATGTGCATTCGAGGGCAAATTCTGTAATTGCCGAATGAGATTCGTCCTTGTTTTCTTAGTTTCCTCGCACTCGTCTAGGGCGTCAACCACAATATACAAGCGAGGGAACTCGGATATTAATGTGTGCAGCAAGTGAACAGCTTCGGCGGCATTAATATTGGTTCCCATAGACCTATGTTTGTGATATAAATCAAGAATGTAATCCGGTATTACATATCGTTGTCGGATAAGCTGCTGTATAATGCTAGTGAGATATTCGGCGATGCTTATTTTCTCTGCGTAGTTGCAATATATGAATGCTATTCCGACATTCGATACTGAAAATCTCGTTTCCAAATCATCAATAATGGCAGAGGTAAGCACTGTTTTGCCAGCTCCGGGGGAGCCTGAGCACCACAGTAACTTATCCTTTCCACCTAGCCAATTTTGATATTCTTGGCTTTTAAAAAGCCATTCTCCGGTGCCCTCTTGTCTTCGACTTAATGTTTCACGTTGCTTGGAGTGGCAATCTATTGCTGATAACCATTTCAGAACCTTTAAACTCTCTTTATCCATCTGTTGAGTGATAATAGCGTCTACACTGTCACTAATCGTTGTAACTTGTTTCGAAATGTCGACGACTTTCTCTGCAGTCGCCGATACCGTAGACCTAGACGGCGATTAGCTTTTTTGAAACATTGAGTGGATTCAAGATATACAAATTCAAAATATCCATAGCAAAAACCAGGTTACTCCTCACGTGTTCGATGCTCTCTTGTAACCTCATCAATGTACTTTTCCGGAACGGATATAAAATTCTTCTTCCCTGTTCCGTCATCTTGTCTCTAAAGCGCTGGTTGTCATGACTTTTTCTCACGATCAGATCATCTGCATTTACGACAGAAGGTTTGCAGACCATGACCTTTTTCAATTCATCGCCCAACTCTGCGATACTGTCTTCACAGTCCAAAATCTTAGACTCCACAGTTATCGTCATTGTCTTATCGAAAGCCGGACTTTGTAAGACTGCTTTCAGTAGCGCAAAGTTCGCCAAAAGGCCTTCGATAGACTTAATCATTTCGGCATTCTCCTTTTTACTACCTTTCCAGGCATTGTAATAATTGATTAGCCCCTCGCAAACTTGTATTCCGGCGGATAAAATGCCAGCAATGTTGCTGATGGTTCCTATTGCTTCCATAATTGGAAGTTGGGAATAATATCGAAGTTTTCGGGAAAAGAAATGAAAATGACGGGAGGCCGCTCTGCTTGAGGATATATATTGTGTCAAGGGATGGAAGTGTGACCTTTATGTGTGGCTGACAGGAACACACCCATGAAGCGGACGAGTTTCGAATCCTAGCGAAAGAAGTGGAAGTTGATCGTAAAAAAGTTGACGGGACACAAATTCCAAAAGAATAATGGTATCACGTCAGAGAATACCTATTTGTACACTCACTGTGCTGATTACGGTCGGCCACTTGGTTGGGTGTTAGATTGTGGCAGAGTGAGTACCTTACAGGACGGCTGTGTACGTGGAGCGACTCCAGAAAATGCATCCTTCGTGGATATGTGGCGACACTATTAGATAGCGAAGTCATGAGCCCAGAAAGAATTAATTCCTTCATTGCCAGTTTGAAGTACGATTGAAATGAGTTGAATTGAGTTGAGTCTCTCACGGGATCTTTGCTGGGATCCTAAAGACAGTAGACAACATAAATCTCCGCGTGATTCGAACCCCTTCATCGATGCCAGAATAGCCGCAATTAGAATATCATAGCAGACCGTCAAGAAGTGTAACTTATATAGACACTTGATGAGCTTAGCATGTAATTGACAGTAAGGAACACATTCTAGCTAAATTTTAAAAATCTCAGAACGATCTAGGGAGGAGAAAATAGTTCATGAACAAACGCTCTGTAATTATAGTCACGTGCCAGTAGCTCGGTACCTTTACCCCAGATTTCTCCATTCCCGGAAGCGGGCTGGCATGTGAAGATGCGCCGAGGACCCAAGGAAACAGAAACATCAACGCAATACAACAATGGCAACATTTTTAAATGCACAGCGACGACATCATACCTGAAATATTATCTGGGCCTTTGATCATTAACTCATTGTACCTCCTCATGAAGCGACTTAATCTGCAGACTCGTTGAGCTGCTTGCAACAGTATATCCGGAGTCTATTTACAAGCTCATCAAAATGGCTGCGCAATCCAAACTCAATTTCCTGCCACCCGATCGAACGATCAAGAGTATAATATCGGATCTCACATCATTATACCTTAAGCATCGAACGAAAATTTCACGGACGGTTTATTTGACACTATTCTTCGCTCTCCTTAATCGAATTCGTTCTGCCATTTCTGAACAAAAGGCTGCAGCTATTCGTCATGCGGAATCACGAAGAAGAGGTCCAGTTGCACTAGGCAATGGCGCGCAGGGAGCCGGAAGAAAAAAGGTCGAGTTGAATAGGGAGTTCTTCAAGAACCTGATACGGCTTTTGAGAATATGTATACCTGGATGGAGGAGTAAGGAAATGCGATTGCTTGTCAGTCACAGTATCTTCCTTGTCATTAGAACTTTGATCAGTCTGAAAGTTGCTGCCATGGATGGTGCGCTCGTTTCAAGTCTAGTAAGAGGGAAAGGGAAGGATTTCTTGATTGGGATTGTTTGGTGGATGTTGATCGCGGTTCCTGCGACATTCACGAATTCTATGGTATGTGATATATTGCATTTTGCGGTAATCAAGCTAACACATTATGCCTACAGCTCTCATATCATCAATGCAAGCTTGCCCTTCAGTATCGAACACGATTGACAGATTACATTCACGATAGATATCTATCCAATATGACATTTTACTCACTTTCCGCTCTCGACGATCGAATAAAGAATGCAGATCAATTAATAACTGTGGATGTATCAAAATTTGCGAATAGTTTGGCGGAGTTATATGGAAATCTTGCAAAACCAGCATTAGATATGGCAATTTACAACTATTCTCTTTCCAAAAGTGTTGGTGGCGAAGGGCTTCTTTTCATGTCGTTACTGGTACAACTTTCAGCAAATGTCATGCGAGCATTGACTCCACCTTTTGGTAAATTTGTGGCAGATGAAGCAAGATTAGAAGGAGAATTCCGGTTCCAGCATTCAAGATTGATAGATTACAGCGAAGAGATTGCATTGTATAATGGACATGAAGCGGAAAAAGACACTTTGGATAAAGGTTATTTTACACTTATCAAACATGTAAACTGTGAGTATCCTCATACGCTGTTCCTGACTACCAACTAATATCGCGACAGACATATTGAGACGAAGATTCACACATGGGATAATGGAGGTATGGAACGCAATCTCTTTTTTGGAAGCCAGTTCTAATTTCTATAGGATTTCGTCATCAAATACGTATGGGGAGCTTTGGGGCTTATCCTTTGTAGTGTTCCGGTATTCTTTAAGATACCAGGTGCAACTGCAGCAACTATGGGTGACCGAACGGAAAGTTTCGTAACCAATCGAAGGTTACTGCTATCTAGTTCCGATGCCTTCGGTCGAGTAATGTTCTCTTACAAAGAGGTTACCGAATTGGCTGGATATACTTCACGAGTTGCAACTCTCATGGAGGTTATGGACGATATCAAAGCTGGACGATTTGATAAAACTCTAGTATCTGACGATGATTCTGGAGAACAGCTAGAGTTGATGAGAGGCAGAGGTACTGTCATTGAGAGTGAAGATATTGAATTTGTTGATGTGTATGTTCTATCTAAACATAAAATTTACAATTGCTAACAATTCTTAGGCCAATTATCACTCCCGGTGGAAGTATTCTCGTCCGAAAATTATCATTTTCCATGAAACGTGGTGATCATGTTCTAGTAGTTGGACCAAATGGATGTGGTAAATCATCTTTATTCCGGATTCTCGGAGGTTTATGGCCAGTCTATGGTGGTACCGTTCGCAAACCACCTCTCTCCCAAGTTTTCTACGTGCCTCAACGACCCTACCTTAGCGCCGGATCCCTCCGACAGCAAATCATCTACCCCGATTCTCTCCGCACTATGCGCAGCAAAGGCATAACTGATTCTGACCTCCTTTCCATCCTCTCAATCCTCGATCTCGATCACCTCGTGACTGCTTTCCCCAATGGTTGGGACGCCGAAGCCGAATGGCGTGATGTCCTCTCAGGTGGCCTTCAACAACGCGTAGCTATGGCTCGTCTCTTCTACAATCGCCCCAAATATGCTATCCTGGATGAATGCACCAGTAGCGTCACTCTAGAGATGGAGAAAATCATGTATGAACATGCCAAAGCATTAGATATCACGTTGATGACAGTAAGTCATCGTAGAAGTTTATGGAAGTATCATAGTAAGATATTGCAATTTGACGGGCAGGGGAAATATATCTTTACTAAATTGGACGCGGAAAAGAGATTGAAATTGGAGGACGAGAAAGAGGAGTTGGAGGCGCATCTGAGAGCTATGCCAGAAGTGAAGAGGAGGTATGAGGAATTGATGTTGGGAAGAGGTGAGTGAGAGTTTAGGGAGGGAATCAGTCAAGGGGGGCAAATGAGAGGAGAGCGAAGAATGCATATACTTTGCACATATACTAATCCTATTTTATCTGCCCATTTCTGAAATTGGATTGTCATTTTCATATCATATTTCTTCTATAAGGGAAATTATCTACCTAGACATTAAGACGCCATCTCGCCAGTGTTTCCTGATATTAAAGCTTCATTTTCTGTATAAAAAAAATTAAACATTGAGCTTTCGTTGTCCACAAGCTAGCTAGAACACACACAAATTTGAACACTCTCAGCTGTGGTTGAAAACTCATGAATTTAGCAGAGACGATGTAGATCACTTCTATGACATAAAAATTGATATGCACCAACCAGATCCCCTCGTCCCATATACGCCATATTTATATCCACTTTATTTATATACATCGCGATCGATACAGTTTATGATACATTCTTTTACTCATTACCTACATAATACATAACAATCCTTACTTGGGTATATAACAAACCCAGTAATAAGTACACCATACTCCTTCTTCCCCAAAGATCTTGACTATCCCATCTAATAATCTCCAAAGTAATGTCATAATAGTACCCTATAAATCTATTTTCCATCTTTGCTCTTCCTCTCCCTGTTGCACCACGTCCGAATCCCTACTCTTCTCCTCTTTCTCTTCTTGCCCTTTCCCCTCAGGAGCACTCATTTTCTTCACAGGCCCCTCACTCTCAAAGTCCATTTCTACTCCCTCAGGCATCTGCGCACATTCTCGTAATATCTCCCTTCCGCTCTCATCTCTCGTTATTCCGTAGTATACCCACGTAATCTTGTACGAGAAGGAGATTTCTTCTTCCTCTTTTCCCTCTCTCTTCGTTTTCAATTCCTGTTCCTCTTCTTCCCAGTTTTTGACCACATCACGTGGATATGCTGGTTTTTCCTCTTCGTTCTCCGAGGGAGAAGTAGAAGAAGAAGAAGAAGAAGAAGAAGAAGGAAAAATAATATCCGAAGGCCCCAACTTCTCTCTCCTCGCCCCTCTATTCCCACGTCCCTTCTTCTCAGAGTAAGGAGTTTTCAGAAAAGGAAACTCCCCTTCCATCGCTAAACTTCCCCATCCCGTTCCCTTCATTTCTCTCTCCAATCCCTTATTAACCCCATGAAGCAACCCCATGAAACTTCTCCATTCCCCTTTCGATATCCCCGCGATGCCTGCGTGAGAAGCGGGGGAAATGAAGATGTAGAGGGAAGACTTGAATTCTGTTCCTTCGGTTTTGGTGGGGAGGAGAATGCTGGAAGAGATGGTGTAGGTGTCTTGTGATGGGGAGGAAGAGGATGAGGATGAGTCTTGAGCGGGAGTGCCAGGAGAAAATGTGTAATAGGGACTAGAAGTTGGGCCGGAGGGGTAGAGGAGGAGGAGATTGGAGAGGAGATCGGTGGTGAGACAGGTCCAGTCGAGGTGAAGGTTGGGACAGGTGGATGTGAGAGTGAAGGGGATAGAAATGGGTGATGGTGAGGTGGAAAAGTGGGAGATGGGTGGACGGACGTTTATGGTTCCGGAGCGGGAGGGGTGGAGATCTGGAGAGGAGGAAGATGGGGTTGTGTAGAGGGTACGGGGAGTTTGGGGTGGTAGTTGTGATTGTGATTGGTGGTGGGTGGAAAGTGAGAGCGCTGGAATGTATGTTAGTTTATTTTTGAGAGATGACTAGAGGTAGGGGAAATAAAAGATTAGGGTACAAGTGTAAGTATAGAAATATAAAACTTACATTCCGGCGAACTCATCCCAAGAAACGATTGTGTAGGATACGCATCCATCTTTCCCAACAAGCTGGCCAGCAGCGCCAAACTCGACCATGACGAATGCGAATACATGATTTTATCTTTTGTTCCTTCGTCCGAACTCCTCTACTTAATATCAGATGGAAATAGAAGAACAAAAAAGATAAGACGAATGACGATATCAAAAGATTCCCAAATCCTTCCCCAATAAACAATCCGATATATATATATAAACCGAAAAAGAACAAACAAACAAACAAAATCAAGGAAATAAATACGACAATAAAGTTCCCAAAAATGTAACGCGCTCGAAACTGGTGGTATATAGAGTTTGGATACGGATATCCACTTGAAAGAAACACAATGAAACGGAGGGTTTTATAACGTACACAGACCTATTCAATATCATAGCTTTAGTGTTCCTGCCAACATCTCGTGTATATATACTTTCTTTCTTTCTGTTTACCCTAATCTATTTTACTTCAGTCTCTCGTCATACTACAATACTACCATACTAGCATTTCCCCCCTCCCCTCTCCCCCAGCTGTCGATCAATCAGTCAATCAATCAATCACCTATCTCCCTCACCAACCATTCATCCATCATACCTAGTCCCCAGCCCCCAGTCTCCAACATCTCATCTCCCATCTCACATACACAATACCACCCTCCCCCTCCTAACCCATACCAAGCTACAAACCCTCCGAAACACCAACATCCCCATCAACACCCCCCATAAAAACCCCCCAACCCATCACATCCCGCGTCCCAAGCGGCTAATTCTGAAACCGGCATCCCTTCCCCTTCCCTACCCACACTACCAAAACAATAGTACAATACAATAATACACAAGAAAAATCGCAAAGAATATGCACTCACGCACCGACATAAGCGCTGCGCGCTGCGTGCTGCGCATGAACCTAAATATTTATATTTATATGTATATTTATACACCCCAGACGAGCCAGGTACATACCTCATCCTGTGCATAGAATGTAACCTCACCCAGTCTACCAACAATCAGATTACAATCCAGCAACTGCCCATAAAGACCTACAAACCTATCAATATACCAACATACCGTTATGATTACATACCAAAAACACAATCAAGCTAGGCCAAGGTAGTCAAGCTAATAAGCGCACTTCAATTTACTTCACTTCACTGCCGAGTACTTTGTGCATTGAGCCACTCACTCTCTCACATACACATGACCATACAATATGCACCAAGCACCCAACACCCAAACCCGAACCCAAAACCAGCCCCAACTCAACTAAAGTAATCAATCAACAGTTGTATGTATGTATTAATGATACTACAGAGTCACCAATTCCCTAACCCGATCCCACCCCCATCCCTACAAACCATCTCAACTTCCCAACTTCGATTCATCCTCCCCCCCCCCCTCAAAAAAAAAAAGTACATCCACGAATCAATCAATCAATCTACACGCGCTGCCTACCGCAAGAATCGTACACCCACATCCACACATCCATATACCTCCAAACCCACAACCAAACCCACAACACCAAACCCACCACCCAAAAACCCCAATCACAATCACAAATCCACACCCACACCCACACCCAAACCCTCCAACCTAACCCCTCAACGGATTATCCACGGTTGCGCATATCTAACCTACCCAACCTACTCTACATCCAACTTCCAACTTTGTACTTCGCAAATAAACACTTCCGCATTTCATGGGTACTCGTATAAAATATACCGATACAAACAGCCAGCCAGCCCTGTAGTAGACCAGGGTCACCGGCGGTTAACCATCACTTTACCTTACCCGTGCATCTACCGATGAGTGCCGAGGTTGTTTTATTTTACACTCAATCACATTGATACTTATATTGACATCACATGATTTCATTCTGACCTTTTGTCTCGATTTTTCAATCCCCAGTGAAAATAGTGCAAGAAGGAGGAATCAATTATAAGTTTCCTCCACCCTGTAATGTATTTTGCTATCAAGCTTTGTCTTCATGGCTTTCAAATCACAAGCCATGATGATTCATCTCATTTGCAGACAACTGTGATGATTCTTCCTTCATCTTTCTTCCTCTGCGCTCAGCCTAAATTCGCTCTTTGGTATCTCGTTTTCCCCAAAGCTCAAGCAATTTCCTCAACCCATTTGTACCTCATCACCACTTGTTATCGTATTGATCCTCCCATCTACCCCATTTCAACCATGCAACAGCATGATACAAGAAAAAAATCCGATGCCGAAGCCCAACCGAATTTTCACCACGAATGTGACAAAGTCTTCATCTCCAATCCTCCGAATAATACCCATTCATCTGAGTCCATATCTACCATATGACGTGAAACAAAAACCAAAGAAAGGAAAGACGAAACAATGTGTCGACATTCCGTTTATAACAAAAGGTCCAGAGAGAAAATCGAATCATGTAACGCCAAATCGCTATGCATTAAAACCTAGGCAAAAATCATAGTGTAGATGAGACTTGCTAGTCCGCTTAAAAGATTGGTTGTATAACAGAAAGTAAACGAAGGCGTGCCGTTGGAAACTCATTTAATGTCTGCCACTATTAAAGGTATGAGCGAAATTCTTGAAATAGGCGTAAAAATACATACCAACTTTAGTTGCAATATCCGAAGCAGGAATAGGGTCTTCATGCTTTGCAACACTACCCTTACCACGCCAAGTACTGACAGCAGGGATCTGTGCATCGTAACGTACTTCTTCTGTACCATACGCACGCGGGGTGAGCTTAATGAGGGTGTGAAGAGGTACAGCCATCCAGGGTGATTCATCTTGGGGCTTCTTCATAAAATAGGCGTAGATGCAACTACACATTGTTAGTAGATCATAAGTAATCGGAAAAACAAAGCCTACCGAAGAACAGCCTGGTGAGTAACAATCAAAATATCCTCTGATCGCTCCAATTCCATGATAATGGGTTCGAGACGAATAACAACATCGCGGTAAGACTCTCCTCCACGATATCTGTAGTTGTATTTATCCTCGTCACGGGCCTCGAAATCATCTGGATATCGCTCTTTGATATCTTGATAAGTAAGTCCATCACAAACACCAGAGTTGAGCTCATCGAGTGCTTTCCATTGAAGCTGATTATACTCATTGGGAAGGTGACGAGCAGTGGCGATAGTGCGACGAAGAGTTGAAGTCCAGACCGTTAAAGGGCGATTGTCCTACATAAATTAGTCATGGGATTCGACTAGAACTAGACCTCGATGAGAAAGTACATACTCCTACTGATTCGAGTACTAATGAAGGCAATTTCTTGGCATACATCTCTCCACGAGGGGATAACTCGGCATCACCACCAATCTTTCCTTCGAGATTGTACATAGACTCTCCATGCTATATATCATTAGCAAAATGAGATTTCATGAGATCCAATGATTTCTTACTCGTGACAGCCAAATAGATCTCGGCTTAATGTGTAAATTCATCAAGTAATAAACCACGCGACTCTGAAGATAGTCTTGAATTCGATTGATGATGACTTGTTTTCCAACATTCATGATCTTCAGATAAGTAAGATCACTCTCTTCGTCGTCAATCGTCTCGTAAACCTTCTCGTAGTTCTTGATCCTATTCCTAAAGTCTTGAGCTGCCTTTTCCGGGTCTGAGCCGGCGTAGTCTGGGGATGTTGTCTTGACTTCTAGAATGTTTGACATGATCAAATCTTCATCGTCGCATTTCGATTCGACAAAGAGGGTCTCGATTCCTTCGGCATCGCAACGGTCTTTGATCCATCTCCGGCGTTCTTTTGTACTGTTCGTAGCATCGAGAATGGCAACAATTCCTTGTTTATTCTTGAACCAATCGATCATATCATTGACGGCAGCTTCAGCGGCAGCTCTACGCATCCGTTCGCCCTCTGTATTGGTTGTATCGAAGAAATCGGCAGTCGGATTTGGGGTTGCATTTCGACGATAGTTACCGACGTTAAAAACTTGAGCATCGATGGATAACCATTTGAGATAACGTTGAGCTGTAAAGTATGCGATGTTAGCGTTTGTGTATTCCCAAATCGATTGAAGTTTGTACGTACCTTTTTGAGCAATGAGCGATTTTCCTCTTGCAGGAAGACCGACCATTACCACGCAGATTTGAGTATCCTCAACCTGTACACCGAGGCCATTAGATCTTGTCTTGAATCGCGTCATGGTTGCTGTGAAGAATCGGCGGATTTGAAGATCAAAATTCAACGTAAGAAGAGAAGGAAGAAGTAGAATAAAGGTTCAAATGGCAAATTATTGAAGAGAGAGAAAAAGATGATCGCGTGAGGTTGTCAACGGCGGTCTCTTTAGTTTATTAAGGTAGGTAAGGAACGGGTGAGTTCGGAGGGATAAGCTATTTTTACACGGGGAGAAGCAGAATTAGATTTTCCCGAATGGTGCTTTTTGATGTCTTTTGTGTCCAAGTCAACTAAGAAATAAGCAGAGTGGATGAAGGATGAAGGATGTGAGGTATTTGTGTATATATCGAGAGAGGTTTGATTTTGGTAAAGTGTAGAAAAAGGAATTTATGATTTCATCCTATCCTGCGCTGTCCTGTGCTATCCTGTGCTATCCTATCCTGTCCTGTCCTTCTAGAAAGAAAGAAGGAAATGAAGAATCAGGGGGAGGAAAGAGCCCCTGTAGGCTGTAGGGTACCTAAAGTAATGCTTGAGTGTGTGTGCTTGGGCCCTTCTAAATTCTAAAACATCGGGAATCCCCTCCAAAATCCCGGTTTTCCGACAAATTCCACTTCTAATCACAACAGCTGAACCTGGTCTGGTCTGCTGTGCTATGCGTAATGTACGAGAAATTTCATCCTATGACGACTTTATAAGGGCAAGTCCAACTTTTGCATCCACTGGGAATCTGGATGTACAAGAGCATTTGATCCTTCCTGCAATTGGAAAATGCTGCAAAGGTAGACAGACACTCAGTACTAGGTAGGCCATGAACGAGGTAACCTCAGAATAATTCAACCCCGCACAAGGCTGAGGAATGTAGAGGCTTGTTTCGACCCCTCGATCGGTTTGACATCTGAGAAAATGGTTTACAAGTAAGGTGGCATTGCATTATTGACCTCGGGAATTGGTTATTAACCGGCTAATCTGCCACTCTCTTCAGGATCAACATATTCTCTCTTCCCAAAGAAAAGAAAGAAAAGAACTTCAAAAATAGCTTCGAGGCCGGTTGGGTAAAGGGAAAAAAAAAGGAGAATCATCATATTTGGGTCGAAACCACATTGTGGATTGGCTTCCCACTATTCCACCAGAGATCCTCTTTTTTCTTCGGAATTTAATGCGCTACCTAGCATCTTCTTATTACAACCCAAGACCAACGACCTCAATTCATCACAACTACCACGCCAGAATTACTGGTCATGTCATGTATGGTGGAATGAATGATTAATACAGGGACATCTAGAACCTCTTCCCAAAACGTTGGGTTCATCGGGAAAAGGCCTTGCTAGCTTTTATCCATCCACCCCATCCCACAAAGTCTGAATGAGCGTTTAAAGTTCGCAAAAACATACTCTCAATGGTCTTCTTGATTGTCGGTTGGTCTGTCTTACTCGTCCTGTCTTCTCATTGGCACATAGTTGTGTCAATTGTGTCAAGCTTCCCTGAGCCCCCAGATGCACTCGTATAGGAGCCAGGAAAATTCTTTACCAATAGGTCGAGAAAATTCTTTTTCCTGCAAGTTACTTCAAATGCAGCAAGTTTGTCTGGCTCGCCTGGTTCATTCGTTGGCTTCTTCTCACCGCTGATCTTGCCACTTCAAACCTAGACTCCCAAAACTAGACTCTGCATCACGTGGATGAGATCTAAGTCTAAGATCTGTCTGGTTGCATGGTTGCATAATTGCACCATCTTTCTTTGCGTTCACGATCTTATCATTGGAATGAGTAGATCAAGTCAAAACTTTGACTTTGATGGATTGCTTCGATTCATCAAGAATTTGATCATTGTGAATGAGATCTTGAAATAGAGAGTTCTGAAAGTTCTGAGAGTTCTGAAAGAATTATTTCACATACATCGTTTCCCGCAGAATACATTTCCCCTTTCCTTCTCAATGGACCTCCTCCGGCTGCAACTCCGTACATATTTGCTTGATTAGATAAGGATGCGTGTGTTATGTGGAATAAGATGAGGACGATCAATGATCAATGAACCAGAGTTGTAGGCAGGAATTAGAATTTGAAGAAACAGTTTATCACACTGTTGGAAAATAAGAGGAAGTGATCTTTTAATAATGGTGTTGGAAGTCTTGTTGATGTGATGGACTGTATTACTTTCTCTTTTTCAAGCCTGATGGTGGGTAGTGGAACAAGCAAAGAGCAGTCATTATCTGCTTTGTTATTCCCTTGCTTATCCCTTATCGTAAGATTGATAAGACTTTGCATGCTCGGAAGCTGTATTGAGGTACATAAAGCGGCGTACTATCTTGACAAATCAGAAGTGGTGAGATTAAACTTGTGGCAGTATTGTCTGGTATAATCTGCTATCACTCAAGTATATGATTCTAATTTGCTGCTGTATCTTTCAATCTTTGATTTACCAAGATGAAAATTGATTTCACAAGCAAGAGGAATAACAATGCAATCAAGGGCAGTAGAAAGTGTCTACTTACAAACTATTGTTCAGCAAAAGCAATTTCATACACCATTGGATAATTGGCTGATGGTTGGTCCGTGCTCTACATGACCTAATCCTCAATGCCAACTTCCATTTCCAACCCAGTATCGTCTTGCCAATTCACACATGACCTATTCTGACACTATCGACCTCTTTGTACCCTCTGCTTCGGCAAGGCTTAAAATCTTCTGAAAACTCCTGGGAACTGCACCATCTGAAATCATCGTCGTACAAGTCAAAGATCAAACAGGAACGTAGTGGCCGAAAACGAAGTGATAATCTGGAGAACTTTAAGTGAAGCTCTCGAGCTATTGATAGGGAGTTCCCATGGTTGTTAACCCTGGTCACTTCTAGAGTAGGGTTCTACTTGACCCCTTGCAACATGTCAAATCGGGGTTGTTTTTGGCTGTTGGTTCGCAGATATTGGGCGTGGTTATGTTTTTTTCTGATGGAGTCGCTTGTTGAGATATTACTGGGCTAACGGGAGGCGGCGGTGGGAGGAGGAGCTTTGCATTGATTTCATACTCGACTTTACGCTTATATTAAGAGATAATCAATTACAAACACCCAAGACTAACGATGTTGCAGCAGACAGTCCGCTCTGATTCGATTGAGGAGACTAAAGTTGCATTTATTCATTGAGCCTCGGAATACTAAGCGTGCTGAAATGACTAATTGGAAGGCAGTGGATAGCCGAGTAAGAGGAGCGGTTGTAAGGGGAAGTAAGATAAGGTCAACGCGAAGTGATAGTGGAAGTGGTACTGGAACTGGAGTGGAAATTGCACGGGTTAAGGGAGTCGATATAGAGGAGAAGGTTCTCATATTAGATCTGGAAGGAGAAGGAATGGAATGGAGTGGGAGTGGAAGTGAAAGTGGAAGTGAACGTGAAAGAGGTAGTCTGGCTAGCAATTAGCAGGCCCATACACTTTGAGTCTCAACCGGCAAGGTACCCAAGTTATATTAACCTTTTTTTCATATCTGATTCATTAGCATTATGCAATTGCGAAATCTGGTGAGTCAGCCAGAACTTATTGAAGCTCTATTTAACAAACTGTCCTAAATTAGGGATTAGATTCAATAGTATTGAAGCTTGATATGTTACCTGAGTAAATGCTTCCTATGCGTTCAGTTGGAAAGCAATACCGATATCTAGGTAGGTAAAGGATGGTATATTATTGACTTTAAAATTGGAGTGGAAATGAATTCGAAATATTGAGATGGATAGGGATATAAATACTTATGCGTATAGATATGGATTCGGGTATGGGTGGTTGTGGCTAAGCCAATCTATTCGTTTACCAGTGGGTGCAGGACAGGAAACTTAGTTGCTAATATCTTCCGAAGTCTAGATTTAGATAATTTGAAAATCTGAAACAATGATTCATCACTGATTGAACAATAAATAGAGAAGTTCTGGTATCAAATAATTGAAGAATACATTTATTACAAATTTCAAAAGTTGAGAAATGTCTTGTTAGTCTCCATGCACCCAGTGGTGAACTTAATGGTCTGTGCACTTTTATGGAAAATCTATTCTTCCGATAGGTTTTTTTGACTGCCTCTCCTCTTGCATTGTCATCTGTTCTTCTAGTCTTCTCCTTTTGAGTTTATGTTTGATGAGCACCTTGATTTACTATTTGCTTTATTACTCATGAGTTATGGAAATCGAGAGATCGATCTACTTGAAGAACCTCTTCATCTTTCTCAAATTACAGTCCCAGGATTCAGGAGTCAGGACATATCTCTATCGTCTCGGCGATCTCAGATGTATGACTTTGATATCAAACTCTGTCTCAAACTTGGATCAGTTCTCTATCATCTAACTCAGAACACAACTCATCCACCAAGAAGTATATAAACACTTTACTCCCAACATCCCATCTTCAAGGAAATGGTCTGAATATCTTCTCATTATTTCTTGTCATCTGCTTGCTAGCTGTTCTCTTGCCTGCTTTGTCTGGTACAGATCATACGTCCCGAGTTTCTCTATAGCTTATGTCCACAAGTATCTATCCTTCTGCTAAAAGAGGAAGTTAAAAGAGTCACCCTTAGCCATGTCCTTTCGTGAGATACACTATGCCCGCGCTGTCTTCCTGTTACCTCTAGCCCATCCTGAGAAGAAACGCAAAAAAATTCAAAACAAAAGAAAGGGGAAGGAGAGAGGAAGAAAATGAAAATGAACACATCCGCTATGCCTATGCCGCTTGCTACTTCGCTTCAGTACCTCACTATATTGCTCGCTAATCGTCATTGATTGAATGCTTGTCCGCGCTGTGCAGAAAATGCAATGCATGCCAGGGTGATATTTCCAATCAGTTACATAGGCGCCATTCTTAGAAGTTCGTTTATCCATCGATCGCTTCGAAGAGACCCTTCATCTCGCCGATCTCCATAATTTCCTCTTCTTCAATCATGACGTCCTCATCAGCTCTTCTCCCACCCCATCCAACTCTGTCTATTGCGAACGATGTAATCTCCTCTCCCGCCATTCCATTTTCATACCCAATATTATACTTCGGAGACGGCAAACCCGCCTTTCTCATTCCTGCTTGTTTGAAATCCGCCAAAGTTGGCCAGTCTGCTCGTACAGGTGATTCCTCGTCCAAGCTTGGATGTCCCCAAATACTCTTCCGAGCGAGCATGCTTGATAATTCGTCACTAAATGCTTTTCCTCTAAAAGCAGGCTTAACCTTGACATAAGTTCCTTCGCTCTTCAATCTCATGACCTCCTCTTTGTTCTTAATTCGCTCGTTCATTTCATCCCTCGCGTCATTCTTTCGCTCCTCTCGATGCTTCACCAAGTCCTCGGTGGATTTGGGAAAGTATGGTGATGTTGTCAGGCCAAGATGAGTACCTTGAATTCGGAGACGATCGAAGTTCTTTCCAACTTCATAGGTATCACTTCGATGGGTGAGGGATGTTCCAGCTGCCTGTGTCATGGCGAGAGGATTCGGTGCGGAATTTGCAGCCTGATACGCAGCGATGACTTTATTGGTTCTTGTCGAAGTTCCACTTGCGTCCGAACGAGCAGGAAGTGGGTTTCCACGACGAGATAATTGAGGAGGTCCTGTGTAGGATGGGACTCCAGCTCCATCTTGTGGCATTTCTCCCTTCTTGCCACCCATGAATTCTCCAGTGGGAACGGAATAATTCGCAGAGATAGATTTCGCTCTCAAGACTCGTCGGTTTATAGCTTGTTGGTTCATACTCATGCCAACACCACCTCCCAATTGGTTTCCTTCTCTTATACTTGTCGCACCAGTAGGTCTGGCTAGGATACCCGTAATAGATGGTCTAGCATTTGTATCGCCGACTACATTCCCAAAAACATTCCCATCCTGCAAAGCATTAAAACCCAATGGTGGAAAGTCATTAGCAGACGGTGGCTGTTGTCGTGCTGGTGCGGTAGGGGTACCATCGTTTTGGTGAGCATGGCGAGCTCTAGAACCAGGTCGGTTTCGACCGCTTGATCCACTGCCTCGGAGGCGCTTCAACATCGCATTGTTTCCTGCTGGTGGTTGGGGGGTGGGTGTGCCTTGGATGTTTCCTTTGATCGGTTCCATCTTTTGTGTTGTTCAAATCGACGTGGATTTGAATGGTGCAAATAAAGGGCTGCGAAGAGAAGTAGGTAAGTAGGTAAGTAGATAGAAAGAATTTTGTTCTTGCGCCTCTGCTTCTTTGATGTTGAAAATGTATGTATGTATTTGTATCTTGCTTTCTTGCAGTAATCAAGCCCACCTTTTCAATTCCCAGAATCAGAAAGCTCTTTTGAATACTTGAAAGGATCGCAGGATTTAAACAAGCAGAAGAAAAAGAAGTTCAATCTTGAAGCTGTATGGATCGTATCGTATTGAACTGTATCGTATTGTAAAGAAGTGCAGCAGGAACAGCAGCAGGTGCAGCAATAAATAGGATTCAAACTGGGAGGAATTATTCAAAGTCTATACTGAAACGAAAAAAAGTAGTTCGGATCTATATTCAAAAATTGTGGTGGTGGTGGTGGTTTGGCAATCAGAGCCCCGATGTCGCAGAGGGAGGGGAGGTTTGGTTTAGGGACTGGGAGTTGAACTATGAGGGTTGGACTTTTTCTCTGGCTTTTGTCTTTTGTTTATGGTTGTTGGTTTTTGGTTCTTAGGGAGAAGAGTGATATAAAAGGAAGAAAGAAATAGAGAAAGAAAGATAAGTGTGGTCTGGCTGGCTGGCTGGCTGGCTGGCTGTCTCTCTGTCTGGTTGGTGATACAAGAGTGGCTCAAATGGTGATTGGAAGTTTTTATGAGATGAGGTTGATAGATGTTGATGAGAGGTTTGGGATGATATGGAATGGATGGGGCAGAGACAGAAGTTTGAGGGGAGTGAATGGGAGTTATAATGAGTTGGTTTTCTGTGCAGGATATCTATTATGTATGTATTTACGGGTTTGGGAGAGAGTATAGTATATTGTAGGGTAGTGTAGTGTAATGGAATGGGAGTCTTGTATTTACTAAACTAGATGAGTTGTCGTACTTGGGGTTTTGTGTACGTGTGAGAGATTGTATGGTATGGTATTGTTGTCTAAAGGAAATACCCAGGTAGATATTGTCTTGAGGAGAGTGAATGTGTTGCATGTGGATATAAATCTAAATTAAATCTAAATTCTTTAACACTAACAACACTAACACTCATACTCATACTCATACTCATACTCATACTACTCTATTTCATAATAACAAGACATCATTATCAATGACATAACATGAACTAGTATAGAATCTTTTAGATAGATACATTGTATGTATTAACCTACCCGAGTCACACTATTCACAGACCTCTCTCTCTCCCTCTCAAAAACATCTACCTCCGAACTCCAAACTTCACCTTTAAATTTCGACTTAAGCGATCTCGGAGTTCCAGGAGCTCTAGCCATTTGTTTCTTTGTTAACAGCAGTTTATATCAGTTTTAGAAACTGAACTTTTGAGTTTTGATCGTGGGTAGGTTTATCGAAAAGTGATAATGAGTAGATAGGTAGGTAGGTAGAAATTCTTGGGATTGGGATGGAAAGGGAGGTTGAGATATGGGGAATCACTAAGTAGATTGTCTGGGGAGATGTCTGGTTTTGAATAATATGGCGATAATCAAGTAATAAAGATGAAAAGATTATTTTTATATTAATTATTATTATTATTAAGTATAACATTCTTGCTTTGAAGTTGTGTGGTGTGGGGTTGTTTGTGATTACAACTTGTCTCACTTCAGGTCTCTTGTTTGTGACAAGAGAAAAGAGATGGGATGGGATGATGTGGTTGACTCTAGTATCTTATATCAGATGCCAGAATCTTGAGAAGTTCTCAGAATGAGAGAAAGTTTCTCTTTGAGATTCTTGAGTATCTATTCCATCTGCTGTGTAGTTCGTTGATAGCCATTGATATCTTATTGTCACTGGTGGAAAGAAAGTCTCACACAAAGAAAGAGGTTCTGTTAATACTGTTAGTATTTTACTTCTGAGAGACCTCGAAATTTTGAATAGATGGATTATTGGGGTTGAGTGAGTGAGTGAGTGAGTGAGTGGGTTTATCAGAATAGATGCAATGCATCAAAGTGCTTTGTGCGGTGTCATTTTGATGGCATGTATGTATTATATAGCTATGAATTGTTTGGAGCTCTTTCTCCTGGATTTGTACAGCTGGCAGAGAGTGAGTAGTGAGGCGTTATATTTTTGGGAATGGTGTCTTGAATAGATGGATTTACTTATCCGAGTGGACTGAGGGAAAAGATCTTTTGGGGGGAGTTCTTGTTGTAAAGCTCTATCATGGGGGGATAGGGAGGTGCTCCTCACATCTACTTTTGAGTAGTATATTATGGTGATGGAGCTTTTGTGAGTGCTTGCTTTAATAGTGCAGTTCTTTGAATATTAGAAGGGAATGGCTTTTATCTGCGTCCGTATCTACATCTGAGTTCGCACATTTATCCTGTTGTCACCCATAAGAGCAAAACCATTCCCACTACTGCCATCCCTTCATCCCCATCACAAACCGCAAGCTCTGGCTCACGACCATCCCCATATCCTATCTAGCCTTCGGAGCCAGAAATGGTTTCCCAGATTTGCTCAATATCACATTCATCATAACCGCCAGCCAACTTCACAAGTCTCATGCCTTTTTTCAACGTCTTCCCTCCGCTAATCTATGTCCTACTCCTCGAAAATTAAACATCCGAGTGATTATGATCTTGCTACCAACTCCTGATTGGAAAAGAGCAGTGTCCGCGATATGCAAGATAATTCTCGGCAAAGATACGTTACCGGTTCATAATTTCCCGCCTTTTGCTGCCTTGAGATTCTGAGTACGTGACATTTTAGTCAAGCTAAAATGCTATATCTATTCCCGAGCCACGACACCTGCATAAGAAGATGAGTCTGACGAGGAAAGTGCTTCTGAGATATATGAAGATCACGAATCGGGCGTTTTTTCGTGCAGAAACTTTTAGGTTAGATTTTTAGATGGGATTGAGGATGCGAAGTCGAAGATGCACCGAGTAAAAGCTTTTTTGTCTGCTGAAGTGATTGGACTTGGAGGTATCGTATCTATGGAAATCATGGATACTCCGTTGTAAAGTTTATAGGTCCTTAATTCTAGTGGAGTGTTAAATTTGCTAGTAGAAGTAATGAATCTGATGGTTTGAAATATATGGTCGGTGATGTAGACCGAAGGGGAGGAGAGAACATTTTGAGCTCAAGAATTGAGGATGGTGTTTCGTTAGCGGGTGGATATATTGCTTGTATAGTTCGTGAATACAAAGCTGATATAAGCTACCAAAACGGTAGGAGTGGCTCGGAGCTAGGTGGGTACAAATGCAAATGGCTATTAAGGACCACGCACTATGACAGGACTTTATGGGTACCCTTGAAAGGAAAAAGCGCTTCTCCAAGAGGTCAGTATAGTTATTCCGAAGATCAGAATGAAACAAAAAAATCGATTCATATTCCAAACCACTCCCTCCCATTCCCCTCAAATTGAAACTGCGCATATCAATTATACTTACCAACTCCCCTATCTCTCTCTCACCACAGGCTAAAATTCGGATTCCGGAAAACATCCCACATTAGCTTCTCCTCGGCCCGAAAAACAGACATTAGCTTCCTTCCGCCACATCCGAGATCCGATCAATACGAATGGATCTAGACCATGTGCTAAGTGGGACTTTAGGATACGTCATGACTGCTTTAACTCTTGAGTTTCTTGTTGACTTTGTATTTTGGGAATCAAATATTTCGAGATTCTCTATTCTTGGATATATTATTTCATATAGTTGGAGAGAATATTCTCGACATTGATCTTCTTATTAGTACCCAGTGAAACACTTTGGATATCTAGGATTTCTAAAGACTCTTGAAGAATTAAAGCGGATTAAGGAAAAAAGAAACAATGTCAAATCCTCAAGAAAAAAGAGTGCAAGCCGGCGAGGTAGAAAAGGCTCATGATATATCTACTCTGAAAAATACAGAATGTAAGAAAACCACACCCTTCTCACTTCATCCTTCCCCTCCTTGTCCTCAAGTATTCGTCCGTTCTGAGATTTCACAATTCCATTCCCTAGCATCCAATACTGCCTCCACCCCATCAGTCAAAATCTTGTATATCCCATGCTAATAAAGCAAATATAGGGTCAAAACCTGAATACACCCTTCCTACCCCCTCCCTCCAATTCCTCTTCCATCTCGAATGTGACATGGAGGAATTTCACCCTATTGGTGATGGAGGACATGGTAATCGCGCTACTGTAATTTTCAAAGGTTTGTCCTTTCTTCTCTCCTAACTTTTTCCCACCTTTTGTCTCCTCCACAACTTATGAAATAAAGCTTACCCTATCTAGGCGGCCGTTTCGAAGGTCCTCATCTCCGGGGCACCATTCTCCCCGGCGGCGGCGACTGGGAAACCATTCAAAACACTCCTTCCCAATCTCTCCAAACAGCTCACCTGGATACCCGCTATAATCTTCTAACTCATGATAATCACTGCATCTACCTGCGTACCACCGGTGTACGCACTGGTCCCCGAGATGTTCTAGAGGCACTTGGAGAAGAAGATAAGCATACTGCTCATGACTATAAGATGCGCTTGAACCTCACATTTGAATGTGATGATGCAGGAAAGTATGGGTGGTTGAATCGGGTTGTGGGGGTTGCTAGTAGTGGGAGAAATGGAGGGAGGGTGATTTATGATGCTTTTGAGGTTTTGTAGGGGAAGGAGAGAATTTGAAGAGGAGAGGATGCCTGGTATAGAGAGGCATTGTATATATATTTGTATGATTGTAGATAATGAGTGTGATAATTGCTTGAAGGAAATCGCTCGTGTAATTGGGAGATTCTGATGTCGATCATGGAATGAAACACAACCACTCATAATAGTCGATAATAGATAAAAAGCACGCTCGTATGAAAAATCCAAGACACTTGTTTTGCAACATAACTCTTAAAGCCAAACATTCCTCCAAATAATCTACACACCGTATAAAACGACCCATAACCAGAGTGTTCTCATTGCTCCACTCTACACCTCTACCCAGGAAACCCCATGACAAACCCAGCCCAAACCAAATCAGCTCGTTCTAACATCTCACTCAACTCATCCCCGAAGCCGAAGTTCGGATGGAACTAGAGGACGGCTCAGACCTGGATACATTCGTTGATGTAGAAGACTCCTCGGTATCCATGGCCTCCATATGTTCCATACTTCCACTTTCTCCTTCTTTTCCTTTCCCCTTGTCTTGTCCAATGCCATTGGGGTGGGTACCATTTGTTTCATGTGCAGAAGTATTGCCATGTGCATTTGCATCGGTCATATGCGTATCGACATTCTCCCCAGTCCTTCCATCACTCTCATTCGAACCTACACTTCCCTCTCTTTCACCTCCTTCGTTTCCCTCATACTCACTCCAATCACTTTCACTCCCGCTCCATCCCTCACTCTCCCCATCAACCAACCTCAAGACCTCCTCCACGACTAAAAAATCCCTCTCTAGCACCTCCGCCCAATTCTGTACATTCCCCAATTCCTTCACCTTCCTTTGTCCCTCCCTAACAACTTTTTCCAATTTATCCCCCTCTTTCCCTAGCTTCCCAATCTCTTTCTTCAATTCGTTTTCCTGTTTCGTCAATGCGCTGCTATTTTGATGGAGATTTTGCGCTCGAAGTTTCAGCGCATGTTCGTGAGGCGTGAAAATATTTTGGATGGATGCATTGAGAGCAGTGCGCGCTTCAGCTATTTGACGGGTGGTTTCTGGAGAGGGGGGCAATGGTGGAAGAGAGGAGGTAGAGGGGTTGCTTTGAGCATGAGAGTGAGTTGATGTGGAGACTGAAGCGGATACTGAGTGGGAGCGCGAATGTGAAGATGCAGAAGAGGGACCGGGAATATCGGGAGGTGGCGGTGCGAGGGAGGAGATGGGCATTATTATGTAAAGAATTGGTATATGTGAAGGATTGCCGAAATAATGCGATTGAGGATATGATGTCGAGAATGAAGAGAGGCGGTGTATTGTAATCTTACAATACCAAGCTGTAGATTCCTGTCTTTATCACTTATCAGATGTTTTATTGAACGGCAAAATTACAGAGCACAAGTTAGATATGCAAAGAAGAGAAATGGTATGGATTCGTTCCTGGCAGGTTGGAGAAGGCCATTGAGAGTAGAAACATCACGAGGTTGATAAGAAATGCGGGGAGGAACATGGGTTACATATGGTTACACAAGGGTCTTGCAGCCAATTCAGGTCCAGGTCGATCATTTCGATTTCCCCAGCTTTTATTCATATCGAAAACATTGTCTCGAAGATCGGATGGGTGTTGGTCAATAAAATGATTTAAAATCGGCATGTGGGCGAGGAAGAATGTCAAAATAGAATCATTGAAAATGGGTTCACACAATTCACGATTGCACCGACATTCAAATGCTTAATTTAATTGTACGAGCAAATGGCAAAGGGGGTATTCTTATTGCTTTTGAATTCATCATAGCCTATTGTAGAGAACCATTTTTCGCATGATTCCATATCAGGAACTCCATGCCATGAATCCCAATGAAATACAACCCATCCCAAATCCCATAGAAGATGATTTACTTTCTCAATTGGCGTTGGTAGAAAGCCAACTCCTCTCCCTCCAAAATGTATCCATCAACACGTCCAGATTGTCCAGGTCTGGATGAGACTGCGGCGTAAAGACGACCAGCCTCGAATTGCTTCTCCAAAGCGGGGTCAACCTTTCCTTGGGCAGCGAATCTCTCGTGGTGCTTCTTCTCAACGGACTTGCTCTTCTTGGTGTCTGGCTCCTCGACAGCTTGGCCGGCCTTTTGTTGACGTCTACGTCCCAAGTTTTGGCCGTAGTGTGCCTCGTACCATTGTCTGAATGGTGCAGCATCGACTTGAACAATGGCGGATCTGGTGAGGGTGTTGGTTCGGACCAACTCGTTGTTGGAAGGATGGAAAGCGACAACGATCACACGGACCTTACGGGCAATACCCTCAGAGGCCCATGAGAAGTTACCGGCTTCGAGACGGAGAGCACGGAATTTGCGGTTACCACCACGGGTACGGACGAGATGGATTCTCTTGGTTCCGATACGGGTACCTGCTTCTTGTCTTCCGGCTTCGAAAGCGCGCTTCTTCCCTGTAAAAGTCTTAGTTTTCAGGTTGGAACATATATCAATCAAGATATATGGGCTATCTACTACGCACGGTAATGGGATCGCTTGGCGCCAGAGGCGGAGCGTTTATGTCTGCTGTCACGGCTGATACCCATGATTGCTAATTCTGTGGTATGAATATTATTAGCCAAATTTGAACCGATATGTATGTGATTTTGTTCTCAATGCCAGTATTTGAAATGTCTTATCGAAGAATCGAATGCGCAACCAGCTATGCGATGGGGAAAATGCCCGAGGAGATGTGCGAAAGAAGTATTGATATGTGATATGGTGTGCAGTCGATTGGAGAAGGTTTTTGACTCCATCTGAATTATCCACTGTGCAACTATTCCCAATCTTTTTGTTCTTTTTACTCGACAGCCCTCTTTTTCCGCAAATTCTGGTTCCGATTTCGTTCTCGATATTCGATCGTAATACAAATGGACGTTGAGACGTTGGTAAAGTACTGACCTGATGGATTCGAATTACAATCGTTGTCGTCGAAGAATTTGTCGTGAGAGTTTGAAGAATTTCGAATCGAACTTTTGCAAAAATGAAAACGGTGCGAGAAGCTAGTGTGAAGGCTAAGATTAAGCGAATTTTTGTCTTCCAGGATTAATATCACGTGATCATACATTAAGCATGGCCCCTCCATTGTTTTACACCCGCTTTCTTCACTCCTTCAAAATGAAATCAACACCAAGTCTGATGTTGTACTCAGAACTCACGATGAGCAACAATTGAAAAATCATACTCGGTGACAATTCAGGTGTACTATCAACATGTTAGTATCCTACTCACTCCCCGGGAAATCTTTTATGGTATCATCGAGTTTTCGATATTGAATCATCTGCAATGCTACATAGCATACCAGACATGTTTCTAAACTTGCTATCAGATGTTAGCTGGTATACTATTCTTTTCGTAGGTCGTTATGCCCCTGCTTATCCTTCTTCCCGACTCATACTGAATCGTGATGATGCAAACGAACAGGCCATCCAATGGATAGAGAGACCCACTTGCATCTTCAATCCAAGTATCTGTTCAGAACGTCTTACAAGGTAAACTGAGCATCAGGAGAAGGAGATGATCACTTGTTCGGTCAATCTTGGACGATTTGCCCTCATCCAGTCTGATGAAAGATATATCGCCCGTGCTTAATTCTTCTCTACGACACATGGTTTGACGATTGCAATCTAAGACGTCTTGATATAGCTAGTTCAGCATCAAATGTGTAAGGTGGATTCTCTCCCTCAGGAGGATCCGACCACTGCGGATATTTACCCCTCGTCGATTAGAGCTGCAAGGGGCGGAAACAGAAGCGTTGTGCGGATCTTACTTGCTGAATACGTACAGGTAGGCAATGCTCCAATCTATATAGATGTAGAGGTGATAGATGTAGAGGTGAGGTTGAGCACGACCATTGCCTGGAGAGTATGTTGGTGGGGATCGAGTGGCTGTTAGAGTATGGCGCAGATATAAGGCAATGAATGCGCAAGAGAATATGTCGGCGGGTGGCTGAACAGGCAATGCTTTGATTGAGCCGTTGAATAGTGGTTGTTTTGCTTGACTGTAAGGATGGAAAAGATGAATGCATAAAGGAGATGTGTGGTGAGTCTGCAATGTATATTTGTCCCTAGCACCCTCAAAGTTCAGTCGACTTTTGTGTCTTTAGAAATGTACAGAAAGATACCATGCAATTGTGCTTCAATTGCTTTTACCAAAACTCAATGGATGTATCGAAAATACAATATTAGATTGTTCGATTTCAATTCAATGCGACTTAGAAGTATACCGAGATGAAGTTGAGTTGCCTTGCACTCTCCCCATCCTCACTTCCGGCTTCACAAATCACTGCCTGTCATTATCATTGCCGTGCTAGCCCTTGAATTGCATAAACATGATTTTCACTGCTTTCTTTTACATATTTCATTTAGTGGTGTGAAATTTATTGTGAAATCACAATAGGGAGTCTCTTCGTTCTCGCTCACCCCTGTCTACGAGAAGGGCCCCCATTGGCCTCACAATGAGGGGTAATTGGATGTAACCTCCCATAACACTTTCGCGCTCAAAATTTAATGGACAACACTTTCGCTCCATAACAACTCTTCAGGGTCACTCGATTTCAAGATGACCGAAGTCTACAAGCTACCTGGACATAAAGTCGACGTCAAGCTCCATGTATTCAGCCATGAGATCCATTGTCATTCATTGATGTTGAAGCTTGGTTCGGCTTATTTCAGAAAATTCCTCGACTCAGCAGACAAAACCCCCTCTTCTGCGAATGCAACCTTCAAATACGAATACGTTACCATTCAAGATACTTCTGACGATGTTCCAAGCCTCGAAGTCGCAACCAAAGTTAGTTTATCCCAACCATTTTCATTCTCTTGATCGCTGCAAATTGGAAAAATCCTCGAAGTTCACATCTCACTTTTGAATTGAGGCTAATGGAACCGGTGCCAGGTCGAGGGCAGAGGTGATAAGCCTGTCGACACCGGATCTGATCATTGGTACATTGCTGTTAAACATATGACTGATTGCATGTACGGGAAATCCTTCACACTCACCAGTTTTAATGATATCAACTTTTTGGCCAAGGTTGCAGATTTTTATGGTGCCCTGCCAGTCGTTTCAAGGACATTGGATACAGTATTTTTCCGAAGCCCGAAATTTATCGAGCGAATACCTGATAATGCTGGTTCTCTCTTGAAGATTGCCTACCAACTCAGAAACCAAACTTTGTACAAAGAATGCATGATTCATGTTGCTGGTCGGTGGAAAAGCGATCCTTGCATATCAGAAGACGATATGGATCTTCGAATCCGAGTTCTCGCTGCATATGGAAATATTTGCGACAAACTTGTTACAGCAAATCATGAATTGTTAAGACCGATTGCATTGTTCCGCCCAGAGCATGTAATGCATCAAGAGCTACGTTCTTTTGTGTTCCAGTACTCCCCGTCACTCGCCGCTTATTATCGAAATTTTTACGATAAACACTATGATGGGGACATCGATAAGATTTTAACTAAGGTATTGGCTAGTAATCTAATCCTTGATCCTTCTAAACTTGGAGCAGGTCAAGGAAAGTTCAAAAATTATTTTCTTTGCACGGAAATCACAGACAAGGAACTCCCATGGAATGAAGAGGAAGAAGACTGGTAGAGCTTCGGATTCCAGTATCAGATGAGAATTTCCAAAGCTCGGTATGGCTTGTACCACCATCTTTCAATTGGTAAGTCGATTTCACCTGTTCCCTCAATCTCAGCATCTAAAATTTGAAAGCCGAGGTTCCTGTACACTCAACTGACACACGCTAGTTTCTTTCTCTAACGCGGTAGTTCATGAACGGCGGCTATTTACTCACATATTGCAATGACAGATTGGAAGTGGTATCTAGGCTGATGATTTCTCACATGAGAGTTTTGCGAATGTTGTCAGGGCTCTCGGCAGACGATGTGTTATAATTACAAAACAATTTCAATGACGCTACACAGTTTCAAAACAGCTTCTGTCATTGGTGGAGTGAATTGATAGCGAAACCTTATGAATCCTATATGCTGTGACTATGCTGTGACTTGCATCCCCGGTAAAAGAACGCATGCCCTTCATTTTTTTTACCAGTATTCCAAGAACCCTCAAACTCAATAACTTCACGATTATACACCACATGATTGTTGTCAAACCCCAATAAAGAAATTTGGTAAAGGCCAAAGTTATATAGTCCTACCAATAGACTTCATACATACACTCACGTCATCATAATGCTAATATCATAAATTATCAAAGTTACAGGTCCATCCCTTGACCCCGTGTACAAAACGACACAAACAGTCCCAGTGCTCCAACTATCTATCTTTTCTCTAGTTCCCGAACCTGTTCAATCACACGCCATACATTCCCCAGAGGTTCCATTTACACCCAAAGTAGGAATCCAGATGGAGAAATGGCAAACGAGAATCTACCAAAATGTCGAAGGGGGTGAAATTGAGAGTTGCTGGGACGAGACTGCGGAAGCTTTGGAGCGAGGCTGTTGGGGGAATGGCAGAGGATTCAATGGCGCTTAAGGAGATGCATGGGGGGGATTATCGATGATGTGACTGGGTTTCCAGCGGGGGTTCGTGGAAAAGGAGATGGTTTTTTACTTGATGGATACGCGTAGAACTAGCTATTTACTTGCTTGCCTTTGAATCATAAGCACGAGCTATCCTTCGAATTAATGTACAGCGTTCAACAGAACATACACGAAAAAAGAACCATAGTAAAATCTCAGTCATCCAAATTTACAATACAAACAGACATCCAAGTCTCTGATCGATTCTCACTACGTATTGACTCATGTACAGAAATGATCAGGGCAATCACCGAAAGAGCATCAGGAAATCAGAATCCACACTAACAGCGAATAATCGCGATAACAACATCCAACTTCTAATAATCACAACAAAAGAAATACGAAAGCATTCCCAAGCTCCACAATCGTTGTCTGCTTATCTGCGCAGGAAACGCAGGGCTAAGCCTCAAGAATAACCGAGGTGTAGCGCCTATTTCTGTACGACGTATTGATGACTTCTGTCTCGTGTTACACGAGATGGAAGCACAAGGCTGTGTAGCCAACACGATAAATCCACCGATCGCGTGTATGTATTCTAAAGCAGTGAGATATTGGTCTCTTCAACACCGTCGACCCCAAGCGTATTTTGTATGAGTATTGTTGGCATTTTTACGAACAGCAGCGCGGAGGTAAGAGATGTCTTCCGAAACTTGCTGAGATATCGGGTGCACTTACCATTGTTGATTGATAAGTGTATAGTCCTAGATGCCTGATAATGTTCTACCTGCTGGATATCAAGTGAAAGTATTGGCCAGAGTACGAAGATGTAGGAGAGTTGTTGGATCTTCATTGCCACACAATTGCCCCTGGAAAGGAATGAGGCATCTAAGATTCTAGAATAGATTGGACCAATTATAAGGTGCAGGCGCAAGTTTCTCCGCATGTTCGAAATTGCTGACCTAAAAGTATAATGATGAATACGCTCGATACAAAATTGAAGGTCAGATTGTACCCTGGCGGAAAGCATGTACTGCTGCCTGAAGGGCATGAAAAGTACGGTGAACAAATCCCAAAAGTCTTGATGCGGGGGGCCAGAATACTGAGACCTTAGAAATGGGATATGAGTATGACATGGCTTACGGGAAGGACCGAGATCCCAAATGCATATACAGCTTTTATTACTGTGCTAGCCGTTTTGTCAGATTCCATACAGCTCGAGAAATCTCTCGAGCCTAAGCAGCATCTACGAGAGGTTTGCCATTGGGTGCTTCTTCTCAAGATTCGCAACAGTTAGAAACAGACGATACACTGTGTGAATGACAATGGATTCAACTTGGGTGACGATTGAAGACTTCTATTCATCCATGCTGTTTGTCAATATAAGGAGAAATTATATGTGACGGGAGAGTGTGTGATTACATCAGATATTCTACACAACTCTTAGTGATTGAATGACGTGACCTCAGCGTATGTTTGTACACTACTTAAGCCTAAAGACCAACATTAAATGGTAAGAAGAATATAACCACACCGAATCATAAGAGCTGGTGGCGAGCAGGCCAATTCTCGGCCAACTGCAAAATATTTTTAGATCGGTCGCGTGTCGAATCAAGGTTCATGTCCGTAACTGTGTACTGTTGGATGTTCAACCAAACTATCGGTATCAACGCAATCCGGACAATCATACTGTATCATCCAATTTCATTTCGCAGCATGACATCGACAGCGAAATTCTGTGTGCATCCATCACAAGATTGCAGCTTAATAGTCGATGCAGCTGCTGCCTGCTGTCAGTCAGACATGGCCTTTTTGAAAATGTACATAATGAAGGAAATAATATGCATGGGGTACGGGGGTGAAGGAGGGGGGAGGTTCAATACTACCCCAGAGAGAATTCAAAGGAAGGATCCAGAAGTTAAAAGGGGATGATCAAGAACTGGGTGCAAAAGCACAAGGTTTCTCATCCAATTCGGAAACAAAAACGAATGTCATTACATACACAAAAAAACCATGTTTCGAGACGGCAATGACATGAAAAACACTAGCTTGTAGAAACCGTTATTTTGCTAGAAGGGAGTACCTTGAGGTGATAATTTCAACCCCAGATACATCTTCAACCGGATTCTCAGTCCGATTTACCCGGAAGCGCTGACGAAGTGGGGGCCGATTTGACAACGTGGCCAAGGCGGGAACGAGTACTAAAATTGGAATGGTTGACCCTCTTCAACTAAAAGCTCGGTACTCAATAGGTGAACCAGACTGCTGGGTCCGAATTCGTGGTCTGATAGTTCCAAACTTGGACACTGAGAGCGAGGATCCACCTTGTAAATGCATCTGACAATTTATCCAGCAGTAATAAAGCTACCACATGAAACGATATGTTGAAAGAGGCCCTCCACAAGGTCTACTGCTGACAACCATTTCACAAAGCTCCACATGCAATGGAACGTGGTATTCGAGTCATCAGTGATGCCACTTGAATGTAAGGATCAGCTGCGGCGTGAACTTGCATTTTATATCCAAATACAGCCATCGGCATGCCGATAGATTCGGGTTCGGATGTCAGCAATGTTACTTTTGTTCCTAGTGGTACAGGGTTTTCAAGTGGTAGTTTTGATAATCCCTTCCAATTTTGCACGATTTATTTGAGGTCCTAAATTGGGAGCGACTATCATAGTTCAACTCAGAGAATGATTAGCTGTGTTGCAATTTTTTGGTTCATCAAATTATAGTGCTACGGACTCTCGTCGCACCCGTTTAAATGCCATTTTGATGTGATTTATTGTGGAGCTAGCCATCAAAATATCCCAGTCTGCGCGTAAGAGGCGTATGCAAACCTGGCATGCGAATAAGGGAGCATCCCAATGTGAAAATGACTGCATTTGTGCTACCAATACTAGAATTGCAGATCAGAGATTGCAGGTTGCAAGAGTTAGATTGATTTCTGGGCTTTTGAAAGGCAGGACGATTGTTCGGTCCCGAAATAACTTATCTTTTATGGCAAAATTTGTCATACCGAGGAGTTAGTTCATGAAGCGTTCATATGGTATGTTTTGGGGTCTGCTCTACCCAGATCTTTTTTCCCCTTTGCACAGCACAAAATGTGGCGCTTCTGGCGGCAGTGTAGATAAGTAAATCCTACAGAATGACATATGTGCACACTGGAGAAAGACCACTCGTAATCTGGCGTATTAAAATTATTCCAGATGGGAGTTATGATCCATGTCGATAACACCAAATGGTGATTGGCGTCTGACTGTGACAAGCATAAGTTTCTCTAACCCACAAAGTCGTATGCAGAAGCGATCTTGGTCCGTGGTGGATGCCCATATCAAGCTTTAGCGACTGCTACCGACAGATCTGAGACGGGTAAGGCTAATTACCGTTTTCTTCTATCAAATCCCAACAGCTAATAATAAGTAGCCGACCAAAGCTACGCTGATAATCATGAAAATGGCGGATTATATTGTTTACTGTAACTTCCCCCCCCATTCAATCTGCGAGTATAATGTTTACATGTACCCCTTTCAATATACTGAAGTTAAACCTTGACAGCTTTTAGGTGGCTGATAAGATAAAAGCAGTAATGTTGGTTTGTTCTGTGTGTCATGCTGACAACACCTTCCCCTTCGATCAGGGAATCGATCAAGCTATCTGAAATTTATGGACTGTACATGTAATGCAGATGGAACTAACGGCAACGACTGAAAGCGAGATTACGGCTTCCCGAAGATGATTATAAAATTTATTGGCATTAACATTAGTGATAGATCTGCGTGAATACAACAGAACAATCTCAGAAGAGATAGTAATCAGATATTATGGCGAGAAAATCGAAGGTGTAACCTGGTCTAGACTCGAGCGAAAGAGCTCATCTGCTGTTTCCCCATATTGAAGTATGTCTGTCACTATTCGGTAGCCTTCAGGCAAACTTTCGTCATTCTGTCTGCAGGTAACTCGAATTTCTTTAGTCCATCGATCGACCTCGAAAGACTCTCCATAGTATCTTGCATTTTCATGGATCGTTCCAGATTCATCCATCCCTGGTCGTTCGAGAGCCATCTTCCATATAGCGATTCTTGCAATCACACGGCTATCCCATGCACCCTCTCGCCGATGCGAAGAAAGTAGCAGTCTCAATGCTTCACAGCGTAATGCCGGCGAATTGCGGCAGTACAATGCGACTTCGAATAACGGTATCGTGGTGCGAATGTCGAAATTAAACGATGGTTTGCCTGTGAATTCAGTGAGCATATCATACAATATTACCAGGAAAGATAAAAAGTACTTCGCAACAAATATTTTTCATAATCTATTATGTCTCGCGTGTAAGAGACAATATACTGAAACGGCTCCAGGAGCTCGTCCGTGACCGATTGCGGTTCGTTGAGACTTGTGGCAAGCTTGATGATACTAATTAATATTCGCATTCTCAATGATTCTGGCCTCAGCACTGGATGTCCAGTAATATCAGGTTTGCAATCGGACATCCATGTAGATCGACGGAAGACAGTATCCCATTGTCTTAATTGCGCTACATAATAGTCTCTCAGCTTGATGGCCGAGCGAGGAATTTTTCTTCTCGGTGTGAATCTATATTTGAACATTTCTATATAGAGATTGTTGGCTCTTGTGACCAGTATACTTCGAGTTTTGACTGCTTCCTCTACACTAGAGAAGAATTCCGGGATATAAATCTGCTCTTTTCCGAATATAGCTTGGCGATAAGAGAATTCCGATTCAAAGCCCATAGTGGAGTAGTTGACACTATCGAGACTCATCAAGATACTAACGAACCTGTAATCCAGGAGTTTTGAGGTCTCTTTCGTAAGCAATGATCGGGCACATTGCATATGAGAAGTTGCTAGATCTCGATTCCCATAGAAACAATCAAAGTGAGCTAGTATGGTAGCGGCAATAAAGAGTGTTCTTGAACGTTCAGCTGTACTTTTTGTATCTGCTATGAAGTCTCTCGTTGACTGCAATGCTTTGCCGTATTGTTTAAGAGCGAACTGTTCATGATCTTGAATTTGTTGCGAGCTGGTAGTGTCCATCTGAAAGCTCCGCACAAGAGCAGAAACAGCTACAATTCCATGACGAATACATGGCGTGGAAAAGCTTTCCTGGAGAACGACTTCGGTCCAAAAGAATGACTCGATCGATCTGGCTGTACGGCGTGTTGTGTCCGCGATCATGCCATATGGATCGGTAGAAGTTGCAGATGTAAATTCTTGAAAGTATAGCCATTCTTGCTCGCTAAGACTTAGGTAAGAGGGTTCATGATTTGGTAAAGTTGGTGGTGCCGGACGTATAGGAACTAGGCTTTGTCGAACAGGTTCTTTCTTTTTCGATGATATTGGTGCTTGTATAGTATAACCACGACATCGAATTCCAGAATTAGAACATCGAAAACAAGCTGGTTTCCCTTCATCGCATTTAAGTCTTCGAAATCTGGGTATATCAAGTCAACATTGTGCTAGAAATAAAGGATTGGTAAACCATACTTGCAAGTTACGCAACCTGATCTGACTTTAGGCTTGGAAGCTCTTTTTCTGACATAATCTGACATTTCGGACATTCTTGATTGGAGACGTTGAACAAATAATTCGTGAAACTGTAAATCTTGAAAAACATGCGAGGACTGGCAGGTAATATTTAAAGTTAAATGCCAATGTACCGTAGACTTCCCCTCGAACCCACCTTGAAAATGGCTGAGGTATGCGGCTAAGGCCGCAATGGTTGGCCGTTGACAGGACTAGACATGGTAATAGGCAGTCTTCTGGGGCCGCAACGAAAGGGCGTGCAGGACATAGTCATGCCGGGGTCATAAGTGGCGTACTGCATATCAGACAAGAGTGAGATTAATGTCAAGGGGGAGGGACTAATCGGATAGATGACGAATGAGAAAATAAGCAGAATTTCCTACATTTAGGAAGCTCTCATCTCATCTACATACGAAAGTTTCGATTGCTCATTCGGTAGTGGTTGCACTTGCATGATTTTTAAAATACAAGTGTATTATTAGATGATCGAAAAATAAGATGGGAATACTTGTACCTACAGAGACAATCCCCAAGATAGCTAAGCAATTGTCCTAAGAAATAAACGGTTGAAGTTCCCAATATCGTTGTTCCATGAGATATGCATGCTAATCGCAGTCTTTTAGAAGCCAACGAGAATTTGCAGAATTTTTGTAATCCGCTCAGAATCTTGCCAGATTTGAATGACTTTGCACCAACTGGTGTATATTCTGCATCTGAGCTAGGTCGGTTTGTGAGACCTATCCGATCTATTTCAAATCGGCGTTGATAACAAATTTTGACATCAAACTCTTTGGTGAGCATCAGATGATGGTTTGACAGCAAGGCAAATAAGAAATAACTAGCACAGCTATGTCTATAAAAAGGATGCCCAATAAGATGCAGAGGATTCGATGATATGAGGAACTGCGTGACATTGTAATATCTAACCTTGCTTTGAAAGACACAGCCGCCCAAAGCATCTAGAACTAAGAATGCGTTGAGTGTTTGGGCATTGTGTTGTATAATAGGATGGCCTTTTTGATTCTGGAAACAGAAACCAACAGTTGGAGGTCTAAGCATTCTCGGTTGGCGGACTAGCTAGAGCGGGGGCTGATTATCAGAGGCCACGGTCCCGAACAATTGATTACCTAATCCGAGCCAATTTTTTCTTTGTCAATTTTGTGATCCCCGCCATCATTACCACAACGTTATGACCCCTCAGAGAAAATAAATCTTACACATTAAAAAAAAACCAGCGACTGTACGCTTCGGAGATCATTGCACAAGGAAAGAAAATATGGCCGAAAATATTTACGACGAAATCGAGATCGAGGATATGACTTATGATCCAGTCCTACAAATTTATCATTATCCATGTCCATGTGGCGATCGATTTGAAATCGGTATTGCTGATTTGAGAGATGGCGAAGACATTGGAGTCTGTCCAAGTTGTAGTTTGATGATCAAAGTTATTTTTGAGGTGGTAAGTTTCACTCTTTCTGATGGGGAAAATTGCTCGAAGCCAATATGATAGTATACCATTATGGCTTGTCTCATGTGAAAGATATTCTTGATCCATATGCTAATCCTGCTGTGACGTAGGATGATTTACCAAAGCCGGAAGGAGATCAAGGTGGCCCTCAAGTGACGATTGCGACTTGAGTAGGTTGATGAACCCAGGCTATATATATCATGCATCGACCCGAGAATGAAGGTTTTGCTGAAGATGGGATAATTGAGGGTATGTGAAAGTGAGGACGGAAATACTTTCCAAAATATAATTCGCGCCCAACGATGAGCGTCCAATCCAGCGTCATTCTGCGAAGAAACATTCCGCAAGAATAGAACCAGATTGGATCAAGCCAAGGTCACAGGGGACAAAAAATAAAGAGAATTAAATCTCTTGGAGAAGCTACTGTTTCTATAATGAGCAGGTAGTCAGAAATTCAGACTCTGTTCATTATCATCAGGCAATGCTCAAATTAGAAAGCTACCTCAATGTCTCATTGGTTCCCTATATTCATGAATCTCAAGTCGTGAAAATACCACTGCCAGAAAACGCCGGTTGATGTTTCGATCTAGAGCCCACCATTTGCAAAAACAAAAAAAATCGTTCGCGAGATCCATCCCTGGATTTGTCTCGAATTTGTAACGTGATCACTCATCTCCTTGGATATCAGGAGTGTATGAACTCGATAAGTCGACGCCGACCTCATTCAACAGCAGTTCGTTCAAAGACGACCCATCCCTCAAGTATATCCACTCCCCTGATCCTGTGCCTTCTTTCGAATCTTGACCCTCACTCGTAATCACAAAATCGTAGCGCTTTGGCCCGGATGTGGGAGAAGAAAGCCAAATTTGTTTATTGGGTGGCTGCTTGTTGATGACATAGGTGCCGATGGGTGGAAATGAGAGTGTAAGAACTCCAGCCTATATAGAGATCTCAGTCAATCCTAGGGAAGCACCTCATAGAAGACGCGTGAGCCTGAAGAAGAAACGTACGCTGTATTCGACATCAACATCTTCCCTCTCCTCTTGCAACTCCTCCAACTTCTCAACCATCATATCCATGTACTTATCCGATAACTCATTATATTGTTCTTGACTGAGCTCAGCAGCTTGTTTTGGTTCTGGATTGCTTTCCAGTATCTTAGGTTTAGGATCCTCGGATTCCGGAGACAATCCTTTGCCTACTTTGCTCGAAATTGTGATAGGGCGGAAGGTTTGATAAACAACACTTGGTCGAATGGTTGGAACTGTTCGACCGCGCGCAAGGAAATTTCGAGAGGTGCCACATTGGCGGGGCGCATTGCGAAGAATCTTTGCGAGGAATATGCGAGTCATTGTTTCGTTTGAATGGAATGATTTGTAAGGTAGAAGAGGGGATTGATGGGATAGGTTTTGGGTGGATAAATTGATCGTTCTAATTCAACTTCGTAGGGGGGGGGGGGGGGTTGATAAACAGATTGGTCGCACAGAGCTCAATTGAATTAGGCTTTGAGCTAGCTACCCCACGTTTTTTCGCTTCATTGGCATATCGGGATTTCCACACCACGATCCTATCATCTGCATCGTGTTCAGCCTTCTTTTGTCGGCTTTCAACATATTTCTTTGCAAACAACAAACCCGTTTGGTTCTCAATATACTTGCACTCAAAGATGATCAACGCAGTTCTTGTCTTCAATAATGCTGGGCAACCACGGCTTACAAAATTCTACACACAACTAGTGAACACCAGCCACTCACCATCCTCCAAATAATCTTTACTAACAGCCCAACCAGGAAACATCAGTTCAACAGCGACTTATTTCAGAAATATTCACACTCGTCTCTAATCGTCCTGCGGGCTCATGCAATTTCCTTCCGCTTCCGCCCCTTCTCGCCTCCTCCTCCACATCCAAAACAGATTCGTCTCCTCATAACGATATCCCTTCCCTCGTCACATATCGCCATTATGCGACACTATACTTCATCATTATTTCAACATCTACCGAATCACCGCTTGCTCTTATTGATCTGATACAAGTATATGTGGAGGCACTCGACCGTCTATTTGAGAATGTATGCGAACTAGATTTGATCTTCAATTTTGAGACGCTGCATGCAACTTTGAGCGAAATGATCGTGGGCGGTGTTGTTATTGAGACTCAGTTAGAGAGAGTTGTGGAAGGGGTGAAGGCACAGGGAAAGGTAGCAAAGAGACCCTTGAATGAAGGAAGGGGCGGAGCATTAGGAGGCATGGGAATGGGGGGGAATTTTGCCTGGGCTACTCGATGAAAGCTAGCGACTGTTTTGGTTATACCCAAGACCAACTACAATAAGAGAACGCCCATCATTAAGCAAGACCACATGGTTGCAAAAATACTTGATCGAAGGCTGGCAGCGAGGAGCATATCGGAGGGCATTTGTAGAGGGCATCTCAACACTCTCAACACCAAAGTCGGTTCATCAGCTGGAATAACATAAGTCTCACATCTACTAGTTATTTATGAGCACAAAAGAGGCCCAAATGTTGTCAGCACATCGCTCTTCTTAGTCGCAAATGCATCACCGCCAAAATGTGCTCTCAACATTTAACGATGATCCAAGGTTACAAAGAGTGTCCTCGAGCAAACGAGATCTATTGAAGGATTGAAGAGAAAGCAAGGATGTCTTGAGGAAGATTTCTGGTCCATGCATCATGTACACTTCCGGCCCATTGGTATTTAACGCCTCCACGCCGAGAATATACTACTACAAATTATACAATATCGCGACGTTCTAGCATAGCTTCGAAAACATGACCTGTGCTTCAGGTGCTATTCTTTGCTACAGGTGATACATCTTCGGCTTGATTTAAACGTTTGTGAACTTGATCCTTTGACCACAGTGATCCTGTAAGTCCAAAAAACCATTCCCGAACCTATGATTCGTCAATATTTCGTATCTTTATTAAATGCATAGGTACTCATACTCCTTGAAATGGTGCCCCCTCGTGAACCAAGTTGTCCTTATTCCAATCCGCGAAGAGCACTCCGTAAACTATCACAACTGTTTCCCATATATCAGCATTCTGTAATCTGATGCACCATCTCACAGTCTACCCACATAGAATAGAACTCAACTGTGCGACTTTAACAGCTTTTGTCCATTTCGGTCTCGCCCACTTGAGCTTCGTTCTCCTTTTGTATCTTCGTTCAAGTCGAAATTGATGCTTTTGTGATAATTTCGAGAAATCGGGAGGCCACAGTCTTTTCGCCTTATAAGGATTTGCATTCGGATCGTATGGTAGCTCTAACCGGGTCTGCTGGGCAGCACGTCTAACAAGTGTGCGGAACATTTTTATTGATGTTATAACTCTAAAATCGTTTCAAGCTTCATTTGAAGCTGGACAAGACTGTAATTATTTTTGGCCTTAGGCATTAATGCATAAACATCCCACCAGCCCGCAATTTCTCAGTTGGTGACCCGAATTTCAGTGTGGTCTCTCTGACTCAGTGAAACTTCTAAAGCAACAGCATATACTCTGCAGAGAGGATATTGAAAGGGTTAGAATTTCAATATCGCAATCATGGCAGCTGTTGAAGCCACTGCAAAGGCTTTGGAGAATGCCACAATCTCCAAAACCAAGGAGTTGAAAGGCGTAAGTACCCCTCAATTGGCTGATTTACAATAGTTACTAACCACGAAACCTTTTAGACTGAGAAGAGAGACAAACTTATTGCAATCGAGAGAAAATACCAAGCACAATGGGAGAAGGATGGTGTATTTCAACCAGATGCTCCTTCAACTTCCGATGTTCCCCTCCACTCTGTCTCCGCCGCAGAGTTGCGCGAACAGCACCCTAAATTCTTTGGTACCATGGCATATCCCTACATGAACGGCACTCTTCATGCTGGTCACAGTTTCACCGTCAGTAAGATCGAGTTTACTGCAGGTTTCTCACGTATGCAAGGGAAGAGAACTCTGTTCCCTATGGGTTTCCATTTGACAGGTTTACCTATCAAAGCAGCCGCCGACAAGCTTGTGAAGGAGATTAAGCTTTTCGGAAAGAACTTTGAAAACTACAAGGAAGAAGAGGTTTCGGAAGAGAAGACAAATACCCCTACACCAACCACCCATCACGAAGACGTCACTAAATTCACCGCGAAAAAAGGAAAGGCTGCCGCAAAAGTTGTTAAGATGAAGTACCAATTCCAGATCATGGGGGCACTGGGCATTCCATTGGAAGATATCCATCAATTCGCAGACCCACATTACTGGGGTGCCTACTTCTCTCCTCTGTGTAAACGAGACCTTACGAATTTTGGAGCTCGTATTGATTGGAGGAGATCATTCGTTACAACTGACGCCAATCCATATTACGATGCTTTCGTTCGATGGCAGATGAATCGCCTCAAAGAACTTAAGAAAATTAAGTTCGGAAAGAGATACACAATTTACTCCCCAAAGGACGGACAACCATGCATGGACCATGATCGAAGTGACGGAGAGGGGGTTGGCCCACAAGATTACTTGGCTATGAAGTTAAAGGTCTTGGAATGGTCGTCAGAAGCCGAAGCTGCTATCAAGGATAAAGTCCCAGCGGATGCGGATATTTTCTTCGTGCCCGCTACTCTTAGACCAGAGACGATGTATGGTCAAAACTGTTGTTTTGTCGGACCTAAGATTACGTATGGTGTTTTCAAAGTTTCAGAAAAGGAATACTTTGTAATTACCGATCGCGCGGCAAAAAACATGTCGTATCAAGATATTTTCTCTGAAAATGGTAAAGTCGACAAGGTTGCAGAGATCGTTGGTTCAGCATGTGTTGGAACCTTGGTCAAAGCTCCTCTCTCTGTACACAAGGATGGTATCAGGATACTTCCTATGGAATCGGTCCTTCCTACCAAGGGTACTGGAGTTGTTACCTGTGTACCATCTGACAGTCCAGATGATTATGCGACTATTATGGATCTCGCTAAGAAGGCGGAGTATTATGGTATCAAAAAGGAATGGGCCGAATTAGAAATTATTTCTGTCATCAATACGCCTTCATTTGGAGATATGTGCGCTCCGTTCTTGGTGAAGAAGCTCAAGATTGCCTCACCAAAGGACAAGACAAAGTTGGAAGAGGCAAAAGAGCTTGCTTACAAGGAGGGTTACTATCAAGGTACCATGACATTTGGAGAGTTCAAGGGAGAGAAGGTGGAAGTTGCCAAACCTAAGGTCAGAAAGCAAATTATCGACGCTGGTGAGGGCTTTGCATACTCAGAACCCGAGCGAAAGGTCACTAGTCGATCTGGAGATGATTGCTGTGTTGCATTAATGGATCAATGGTACCTTGATTATGGAGAGGACTCCTGGAGAAAGGAGGCCCTCGCACATGTCGATTCTGGTTTGAACACTTACTCGCAAGAGACCAAAAATGGATTTGAAGGTGTCCTCAACTGGCTCAATCAATGGGCCTGTGCCAGAACTTATGGTCTTGGATCAAAACTTCCTTGGGATCCTCATTTCTTGGTTGAAAGTTTGAGCGACAGTACCATTTATATGGCATACTACACCATTGCTCATTATCTTCACAACGATATCTTCGGTAAGACTCAAGGTCTTGCTGGAATCAAAGCAGAGCAGATGACAGACGAGATTTGGGATTATGTCTTTGCTCGTCGGGATATCAGCGATGAAATCTTGAACCAGAGCAAGATTCCAAAGGAAACTCTTGAGTCTATGAGAAGAGAATTCGAGTACTGGTATCCACTTGACCTTAGAGTATCAGGAAAGGATCTTATTCCTAATCATCTCACTTTCTTCCTTTATATTCATATTGCCATATTCCCTCCAGAGTACTGGCCAAAGGGTGTCCGTGCCAACGGTCACTTGCTCTTGAATGGAGAGAAGATGAGTAAATCTACTGGCAACTTCATGACATTATTTGACATGATCAACAAATATGGTGCAGATGCCAGTCGTATCGCGTTAGCTGATGCAGGAGATGGAGTTGCAGATGCCAATTTCGAGGAAGACGTTGCTGATAACAATGTTCTCCGTCTCTACACCCTTCGAGAATGGTGCGAGGACATGGTCAAGGATCAAAATAACCTTCGTACTGGAGAGAAGAACGATTTCCTTGATGCGCTCTTCGAGAACGAAATGAATGCTATCGTTCATGAATGTCGTCAACATTACGAAGCAACAGACTACAAACTTGCCCTCAAATTGGCTCTTTATGACTTCACAGGCGCTCGTGACTTCTACCGTGAAGCCAGCATCGCTGCCGGAATCAAGATGCATAAAGATCTGATCTTCCAATATATCGAGCTTCAAGCTCTTCTTCTGGCTGTCATTGCGCCTCATTGGTCTGAATACATCTGGCTCGAGGTCCTCCACAAACACACTACTATTCAAAACGCCCTTTACCCTGACGTTCCAGCTCCAATTCCAGCTCTCAGTGCTGCTCGTGACTACGTCCGCTCTACATCCTCGAATATCACTTCTGCAGAAGCCGCTCAACAAAAGAAGAAAGCAAAAGGGAAGGACATCGGATACGATCTCAAGAAACCCAAGAAGCTTACCATCTTCTCTGCCGCTAAATTCCCTGTTTGGCAACAAAAGTACATCGACCTTGTTCGCGAGTCTTGGAACCCAGAGACAAAGACTGCTAATGACAAGGAACTGAATGGAAAGATTGCTAAGATGGGTGAAATGAAGAAAGCTATGCCTTTTGTACAAGTCTTGAAGAGGAGATTGCAAAGTGGTGAGGCTCCAGAGCAAGTGTTTGAGAGAAAGTTGGCCTTCGATGAGAAATCAACACTCAAGAACATGGTAGCTGGCCTTAAGAAGGCGGCTGGACTGTCGGTGATAGAATTAGTCATTGTAGATGGCGAGGAGGGTGGAAAGAAGGGTGTTATTGTCCCAGTTGAGGGTGGTGAGGAAAAGGAGTATGGTGCTTTGCCAAACATGGCTGAGCAAGCAATTCCTGGCGGCCCAACCTTCTTATTCGAGAATGTTGAGGTTTAAGCAGTAAATTAGATATCAAATTGAATTGTTTTAAGTAATCTAGATGTTTCAAGTCATTTGAATTTCTTAATGATGTTATTAATCGGATCTGAAAAAGTTTAAAGCTTCCAAGCTCTCAAGGTTTTAGATTTTGATGATTTGAAAGTTCAAATTTAGCTCACAATTCTAGATTCCATATGTTCTAGGGAAGGAATCCAATTTTTAATTCGGCGCCCAAGAATTGACGCATATGAGATGGATAATTTGGCCCTGTTTCTCCGTGAATTGAATTCAGCAACAAAAATACTGTACCCTATGGTGGACTCAATGTTCAACTATAGGTTTGAGCATACAGCTAAATTTAGATATGTATGGAATGTAGTTGCAGAATGGGTTGATTGCGATATGAAGAGATCTCACATTCCGAATGCGTGTATGGAACGATGATCGCGGCTTAGAGTGCTAAATGGCAAAATTTGTGAAGTTACTCTTTTCTTGTGGTGAGATCTAGATTGTTCATAAAATTCGGTTTGCGTGTGAGTATTTGTTTGTTCACGGTTATCTGTTTGGTGGTCTTCGTAAATCTTTCTCGCATGAATTCCGATTTCTCAGTACCTTTACTCTTCCTTATTTACAACTATTTATTCTTTGTTTTTTTTAATTTGCTTCCCGAATTTTCATTTGTTATTGTTATGTGCTTAGAGCGATCACTGAATTACTGCTTACTGTAAATATATAGAATACTAGTTAAGAGCTGCTTCAGATCATGCTCCTGGGAGGATGGCACGAGTTGTTCTTTTACTCTTTTTTGGTTTATCATTTTGCACTTCTTGGTATCTGATCACTAGGAAATGCGCTGGATACTTTCCTTTGCGATAAAAGCAATGGAGGGTGTAAGTAGTGTGTAGGTAGCCAAGAGGATCGTAAAAAGCTTGAAAATATTGACGGTAGAAAGTTCGCAGGTGTATAGAGGGCGCGGAGACACGAGCTAAATTAAACTTCGCTCTTTACAGAGCAGAGAGAAACAAAAATTCGCAGACATAAGAAAGCATTGAAGACCCGAGAATTGCATGCAGCAATACCCGAGTTCGGCATGCTGAAGAATGCGGACGGCTTAAGCGAGACTCGAAACATTTCCGTCGATTCGACGTCTGCGAACAAAAGTTCCATCAGCTAACATTAAAAATTGGGGATCTAGATTGCGATGGGTAATCCCGATTTAGAAAGGGGTGATGAACACAAATAGCAGGATTTTTGATGGGTTCAAGTACGGGTTTTCGAAAGCGGATATTCAAGGGATAAAGAAGTGGATTTGCCTACTATCAAGTTTGAGCAGGCAGTCGATCCGACAATCTCAAGATGTTTCCATAAATAACTTTACTCCTATTTTGGTATCTGTTTTCGTAATCCATACAGAGGAAGCTAAAATCATGGATTGCTTTGTTCACGCACTGGTATCTTACCATCCTCTACGTTTTCATGATGAGGTCTCTCCAAACCTATCCCTAAACCGAGTCTACTCCCGCATCCATGGACGTCATATACGTGCAAACGATTCCATTATCTATAGATAGGACAATTCGCTCCCCTGAACTCCCGCTTGCGGTAATAATCGGATAAAGAAGCTCTCCAGAGAGGTGACTGTATATAACCATGGCAATCATGTCTGAGCCAGGCTTTGATCTCGTGAAACTTTTCTCATCAGATACCTTCGTTCTAAAGTTCAGAATTCCGATACCTCCCTCTTTCGAATTTTCCAATATCAAGCGTTTAGAACTACACTGTCAAGATGCGTTTTCATTACGCTATCGTAGCGGGTCTCGCTACCCTTTCGCTCGCTGCTCCGCAGGGTGGAATTCAGGATCAAGTTGATAGTGCCCTTGCTGAAATCAATGCTAATACCAATGGAAATGGCAATGGAAACGGCAACGGAAATGGAAATTCAAATGGCAATGCCAACGAGAATGGAAATAGCAATTCGAACAGCAACAGTAACACCAATGTCAATGAAAACACAAATGTGAATGTCAATGATAACGACAATGGACACCATAGTTCCAAACCCGTCAAGCCGACTTCTGAAAAACCTCCACCAACGACCATCAGAAGCACCGTCGTCATTACTTCTACCATAACGGTCCGTCCAACCAGTACCGTTCAGCCCACAACTCGATCAAGTTCTTCAACTGGCTCTTCAACTGGCACTCGATCGGGCGTCACAACCAGCCGAACATCAACTTCCAGCACCAGCAGAAGTACCTCTGGGTCGTCTTCAAGGACTTCCAGCACTTTAAGTACTTCGAGAAGCTCTTCTTCTTCCACTTCTTCTTCCTCCTCCTCATCCTCCTCCTCATCCTCGACGGGGTCTGGAACTGGTACCCGATCTGGTCTTACAACCAGTCGTGAAAGCTCCCGAACAGGTAGTGCTACAGGCGGAAGTTCCGGTGTCGTCACCACGACTACTCCTCCACCGGTTACCACCGCTACCAATACCGGAAGCGGAACCGGTGGCAAATCCGGCATTGTTTCTACACCGGCAACCTCGATTGTTCCTCCTCCCCAGACAACCACGAATGTGGTTCCACCTCCTCTCATCCCAACCACGAATATTGTCCCACCTCCTCTCATCCCAACAACCAATGTGGTTCCGCCACCCGTTGTAACCAATACAGGTACTCAACAAGGCAACGTTGTTCCACCACCCAACACCAATTTCCCCGAAATCACCATCCTCCCCGTCCTCACCACAATCACCACTGTCAACCCACCTATCACAACCATCACCTCTATCCCTATTGTCCCCATCGCTCCTATCGTCCCTCTTACCATCTCAGCCAACAACAGAGTTCAAACCGTCCAAGGTGTCGAAATCACCGTCAACGGCGAAGCCACTGTTGTCCCTGCCACCGAAGGGCCCATCAATATCGTCTCTACAACCGTTGTTTCGGGACTTACCCTTACGACTACCATTCCCGCTGGCGTCATTACCACCTTTACATCTGCCGGGCAAACTTTCACGACCCTGGCTCCTGGAGGCGGACCTGCTGAAACCAGTGCTGGAGCTATTCTCGGACAGTTTACCGGTGGTGCTGAGAGAGTTAAGGCACTTGAAGGCGGTGCTGTAATCGGACTTGTTGGATTTGCCGTTGGAGGGTTGTTGTTACTTTAAAGTTTCCATTTTTAATTTTTTTGATTTGATGTTTTGATGTTTTGAATGGTTTTTTTGAGACATTGCTTGGATTTGGATTTTTTGGATTTATCATGTTTTGCGTTGATATCTTAAACTGGTATTGCTTGCGTCTGATGCTTTGTTTGCGAGAGTTTTCACGGGGTGGTAATGGACGAGAGGGGGACACAATGGATACCTATTGCGATGGGAATGATCGTTATGATTATTATAAATATACGGCAAAAAGCTAATGCATTGATGTTTAATTTAGATACACATGAACTTGGCATCTGGTTATTAGTCTTAATCTGAGCGTGCGGTGTCTATTATTTGTGATGCACTTCTTCGAGAGAAAACGCTTAAAAGTGCAAGATGTGTGTGGGGAAGCAGAGAGATTCTTTTACTGATTCGTCATCGGTAGTAGTATTGTATACTGCATGCAGCATCCCGCCCATGAAGATATGCATCAAGATAAAGAAAGAACATGCACAATTCTGTGCATACATTTTCCCATACTCTGGTATGTGTAAGACGCCCAAAGCGATACCCTGTCAACATCAGTACAACTACACGTCAACTAATCATCACTCCATCTCTTGCTACTCACCTCCCGCCTGACTTTGACCCACTATACCCACCCATCACTTACTCTCATCTCCCTTTCACCTTCATTCATCATCCGCAATTTTCCATTCAAACTCGGGTTCAGATTGAGACATGCAACAAAACCTTCTCCACGCCCATTCCGTCGCATTCCCCCCCCCCCCCCCCCCCACACTTTGCCTCCCATCCAATACCATGCACCGCACAAACTCGGGCCCAAATTCAGACATGCAACAAATTCCTTAATTCTCCTTTATCGCCCGTACTTCTAAACTTCTTTCAACCCCATTCGCTAGTCAATATTCATGAAGGAGTCTCATCGTACGACATCACACTATTTCGCTTAGAAATCGTACGACTGTTCTTGGTGGTGGTGGTGAGACGCTTATTTTTCCTATTTTGCCACTTTCGCAGGGGCCAAGAGGAATAGGCGAAGGTCATAAGATGTAGATGCAGTACATTTGATTAGTAGGGTGGGTGATGGAAGGAAGATGTATTCTATCAATGTGCAATTCAAGGAAGTATTTACGGTGGTTGAGCATCATTCACAAAAATTGTAATATATTAAGGAAGCCATATGATTTTGTAAAGTGTAATAAAATTGGAAGAACTAAGTTGGAACTGGAAGACCGGGAGAAAAACGAAAATCAACATACGCTGTGGAAGGCAATTTGCCTGGTTGGAGTAAAAAATCTATTGAATATGTTAGCAAAAGGTGCTTCCAAGTCTTTTCAAGAATATAATGATGAAGTTAAGAGTAATCAGACAGCAGTTGGTACTTTTTTTGTCCACATAGAAGATTACAGAACAGGTCTGTGAATAAGGTATATCATCATATTACTCTCCATCCTCCGATAAAATGAAAACAAATATGCTTACCAAAGTTGTATCATCCAAGCTTCCTTTTTTTAAAGAATGAATCCATGGTTCTTTGAGTGGAGTCATGTTTTAAGCTTCCTAATCCACCTCGGGTTTTCTTGAGCCCTTTGAGGTGATCCATATTATTAACAGATTTTATTGTGAGTGACATGGTAGCCTCGACCCTGTCAACAGCATGATTTGGAAGCTTCACTGTGTCCTGAACATTTGATTGATTATCCAATACTGAAGGCACAGAACCAACTTTGGAAAATGACACTTCTTGAATAGGTTTGATATCCAGATCCAAGAAGCCAGTATTGGACCAACCACCAAGATATTCTAGACCACGTTCAGGACGTGGAACATCAGGACCAATTGAGACATTCTTTGGATTGAATCGTCTTAAGATGACTCGCCAGAGATGATTCAAAATGATACCATGGGCCACGATGGCAATGGTATGATTATTGAGATTGTCTTCATCGATGTAGAGAAGGTGTATCAGATGCTCATCGACAAATGTTTCCATCCGCCTCTTCATCGATTCCTTCGACTCCACATCTTTGAATCCTGGATCCATTCGGTGTGCCTCGGAATGAATTTCCTTGCCGGGTTTGTTTGAATTTTTTGAACGTTCATGAAATTGTTTCTTTTCATAGTGACCAAAGTCTTGTTCTCGAAGAAGCTCGAGCTTTGTCACTTTGAAAGAAGGGACATTATCCTGAGCAACGAGAATAGCTTCTGCTGTCTTGATAGCTCGTTGGAGATCGGAAGAAAATATATGGGAAACTTTCGAAGCTGCGAGATAGGTGCCAAGTCGATTGGCTTGCAATACGCCATGGTTCGTTAGTGCAGAGTCTGTGACGCCGGCACTTGAAAAGGTTAGCTAAAGGAAGATTGAAAATGTTGCAAAGCGGAATAAGCTTACTATACGTTGGCAACATTATCGACGGTCTCGCCGTGCCGAATCAAAAGAAGCCTCATCCCGCCATATGGGAGAGGAAAGAAACAATCATCAATGGAATTTTACCATAATTGGTCAATTATACAAAGTTGTGTGTGTTAATGATTATTTTAGGGACAAAAACATTTTATGGTTGCGAAGAAAATGGAAAATTTGATTTGCCGAATTCGCTTAGTCATCATACTAGTTGCATTTTTACTCTAGGCCGCATTTGAGCCGATGACATGTCAATCGGATCTAGCTGTCTTGCGGTTGTCATCCTTCCTCAAAATATGCATTCAGCATTTCACTATCATGAATCAGAAACTTAGTTTCCTCCAATCGCACTTTTCGAGTATCTGATAGTTCGGTTCTCTAATGCATGATGGTGTGTCACCATGGATTCCTCACCTCGAAGCTCAAGAAATCTACTCGGAGCTTGAAAACACGGGAAAAAAGTTAACATCAAGATACCTGAAGCTAGGTTTGATATTGAATAGTCCCATTATTTGCAATTTTGAGAGTAGAGGAATGCCCTTTACAATAGGTGAGCAGAATGTTGACAAGTTAATCGATTCTTTCACGAAGTACAGACACTCTATACATGGTTCTAACTTTCCTTTTCTACCTTATGAGTTGGAAGCTACCTACCAATTTATTTTGTGTACATTTTTCAAGTATCTAAAACAAGACTTTCAAACATTCTGGAGGTACCAGGTTTCTTGATTTTCGAGGTACTGCCGATCTGTATTCAAAATCCACAAATCAGACCTAGGGAAGCAACTATTGAACGTCATGTTGTAAGGTAGCTCGATTCGGCTTTGGTCACCTTCGGGCCTTCCTCTCATGGCATCGGTGTTAACTGTAGGCAGCAAGAGTCAAACAGACAGTTGTCTGCTTCCTCTGATCGTCCTATCGACTTAACATCACCAGAACATCTACTTATTACGGGATAGAGCTCTGATCACCTCTTCATAATAACAATTGGTTTCACATTCTTCACCTCACAGTAACGATACAATGGACTCGTTGGACCAAAGAAATGTAAAGGACTTCTTTTGGGGTGCAGGACGTCTATTCGGTTTTTCGGTCCTTTTCTATTTGGAGTACATGAAATACATGCTTCGAGAATTACGAGACAAGACATCAAAAGACCCGACATGCGAAACCGTTGAACTCTTGCATTTATTGCTTGTATCCTTCGCTTTAGGCATACAAATATTCGTCTTCTTTGATGGCTTCACGCCCATGCTGGTGCGAATAACATCTTTCCTGATCAATAGATCTGATAAGATCGCCCGACTCCTGCTGTGGGCCCTTCGACCGTCAATTGTGACATTCATCATATGCTCGTCCATGGTACTTCAAATTGTGCACTTGTGCGTCCTCGTTCTTGTTATCAATGAGAGCTGGATTGGAAGAAGTGTGGTGTGTAGCACTTTGTGCCCTACACCATCAGACAGTGTCCAAGGTGGTTCAGTCTACCGCGCGATAAATGGTTCTTTCTATTCTATTGAAAGATAGCAAGGAATGAGCTCGGATCATGAAGCAATCATCTTCGGATATTGTTAGAACCTACTCAAAGCATTGATGGCTTCATCAGCGATATTGAAGGTTGATAGTGAATGAATGGCCTTTAGCAATTCTTCATCTAGACGTTAAGAAGGTAAGTCGATGAACTCAAGCAAGGCTAGAGACTCGTTGGATGTCTGCTAAAATTCCCAGAATTTTAATCTAAGATGTATCCCTTGTATGTCTCTTGCACCAGCTTCATACACCGAACAGCCTCTCGAACAACCTCCTAGCAATTGATTCCCGCCTCGGCGGCATGACTTGTATATGCTTTGTGTTTGATCAGCAAAGTGTTAGTGTAGTGGTACAAAGGTTTATTGACATGGTTCAAATTCGTGCTTAGATCCTGTATTCAGTTAATTGATTACATATTCTTGTTTGATTTCTTTGATGCTGGTTGTTGCAAAAGCGTACTGTGGGTGGTTATAGATTATTCGGAAGGGACAAGATAGCTTTGCTCCCAATGGAATCCGTACTACCTTTCTTTAGCCATGTAACTTGCTGGATGTGAGAATATATATCTTCGCCATAAAATCCTACTGTATTATTCTTCTTCACACTTCTGGGTATCTTTAATATTGCCTTGACCAAGTCCCAAGAGCTCATCCAAGACTCCTTATATATATACCTTTATGTCAATAAGCAAAAAGTAGTATACACACGGGCCATGTCAAACGGTGGTAATCAAGTTCTTCGGACGCCTCAGCCCACTTTGCCATCTTACAACAATATTCAATATCCAACAGAACTTACACAACTCCACCGCCACAACTCCAAATTACTTATTATTAACTAGAAATCATTCCTCAGGATCTTTAATATCTTCGTAAAAAAATCGGAGGGAAATTCGAAGGTAAGTTGACCTTCTTATTGTAGTAGTTTTTCACCTTTTCGGTTCATTAGTTTTGTGGTTCTGCATTTTAGGGGGACGAAGTTCGCTTCATCAGCACTCGCCAATTTCACTTCATTGACTGAATGCAGTGACTTTCATTGGAGTGTCATGAACCATGAACGATTTTCTTTTTCACTTTGTATTTCTTTTCATCTTATATTATACTTGCCTACATGTAACTCGCACTTGCTTTTTCTGTCAAATAGCATATAGTATATGATATATCGGCGATACTTATACTATACGACAACTATTGTTGATGAGAGCAACCTTGTTGTCCTCCATCTTTAATATACACTTGCAGTACAAGTCAACTCTACACTTAGAGAGTATTTACAATGCCTGGCACTGTCGTTTCGTTTTCTCATCGCTGTCTTGATAGATTTGTCACTAATAAGTCTGAATCAATTCAGGATTCAACAATGGTAAATATGGACAACAAATCCAATCCCAACCCGAATGACGACAATCCAAATGTCACAATCAACAACAATCAAGAAAATCTCAATGAAAGCATCTTCGGACTTCCCAATATGTTCAACAGCGCAAACTTCGCTCAGGCTAGTATTCTTTCCAGAGATGCCGAAAGCGTAATGGCAAGCCCGGTCACTGGCTACACCAGCATTTTCTCCTATATTCCCAGCAGCACCAATAGCAGCCCCGTCTCTTCTCACACAAGTACATTTTCAAATGGCTCAGGTGGTATAATGAGTGGTTCAGTTTCTGCTCAAACTAGCATATTTGGAAGTGTTTCAAATACTCATTCAAAAAGCCCTATTTCTGCTCAGACCAGCATCTTCGGGGATGTTCCGAGCAGTAAGTCGACCAGAACAACCTCAGCACAAGCCAGTACTTTCTCGAATGCGCCAAATAGCACCGTTGAAACTTCGAACACTGTTCAGTCCATCATTCCAAGCTCTGAAGTTGATCTATATCCTCCTGACCCTGAGTCAGAGCAAGACCCCGACGTCGATCCAGATGCTAGCCTCGATGACAACTCAGACGTCGAAATGGACAGCAACACCAGCTCCCGCTTCACCAGTTCCTCCCCCGAAGCCCCTGACTTTAACGCCCCTGCTGCTCCAGCCTCAGAAACTTTCTCTGTCCCCTCATACCGCTCCTCTCCATCTATGCGATGTAACATGCCCCGCAATTTCCAAGAACTAAGTATCATGTTCAACAGTACAAAACGTACTGCCGCTATTAAAGGACAAGCGCAACGAATTGGAATCGCTGGCGCTGATAGAGATGATAGCGGAACCTATGATCCGAGTTTAGAACGGAAGCGAAATACGAGGAGTACAAGAGCAACGACTAAGAAGAATAAGGAGAATAGAGGAGAAACCTTAAAGAGCGCGGGTGCGGGCAATGGGAGAAAGACGAAGGAACAGGGGTCATTTGAGCTGATGATTACGATTAAATTGACCAGTGAAAGAGGATTGGAATATTTGAGAAAGATCACGCCGGGTCCCGAAGATGATGAGAGAGATTTTCCACCGATTCATGAAGCGGATGATGAAGATTCGAGTGATGATGAGGATGATGAAGATGAGGAAATTGCGATTGATTACCCGACTCATTCTACACGGAGGAAGAGAATTAAAACTTCACATAACCGAAGGTACGTCCTATTTTCCTTATCCTGATCAATTTGTATAGAAACAAAACTAATAACCCCAGACCCGACGGTCTAATCCTCTCCGATCTTAACAACGGCCATCCCCAACGTCGCGGCTGCAAAGGCTGTTTTGAAGCCGGCGACGACGAATGTTCTCTCATAGAACATAGTCACGAGTGGCCTTGTGAGAGCTGTGAAGATGCAGGTATCGATTGCGAACTCATCATTCCCCCCGAACTAAAACTTTCTTGTATTCGCTGCAAAGAAAAGCTGCGAAAACGATGTTCCTATGCGGATGATGGTGGAAAGGATGTTGATTCTTGCAAAGATTGCGAGGAGGCTAACGAGAAATGCATTGCTGGTCCTAAAGCTGGTTCGGGACCTTCGCTGAGAATGACGGATGTTCTTGAGAATATTGGGGCTAAGAAAAAGGGAAGTTCGAATAGTAAAAAAGAGATTGCGAAGAAATTGTTGGCGACAGCTATAGCTACAGTCACCAATGTTGCGAAACCGAAAGCCGCGCCCAGAAAATACGTTTCGTGCAATCGATGCAGATTCGAATTCAAAGCCAAATGTGCGCTGAAGCGCGATGAAGAAGGACCATGCAATCGCTGCATCAAAGCAAAAATACCCTGTACTTTTACAATGCTACCACTCCCACTCCCCACACCTTCCAATAAGGAAAAAGGCATACCAAACCGAAAAGAAACCGTTCCAGTTCTCAGAACCCCTCAAGATCTTACACAAACCATCATTCTCGAATCAACTAGACTCAACGATCGAGAGTGGCGCACTACAAATCCTCATGCTAGACGCACCAAAACCCAACAAAAAGCCTACGAGAGAGCTATATCTTCTTCTTCTCCCGATGAGCAATTCTTGATGACTAACTCCACATACAAACACAATTCCCTCAGTAGACTGCCTTCATACGACCTCAAATACTCCACACAAGCTACAAATCAACTCATTCCTCCAACCTTCGCCCTCCATCACAAAGGCATCCGCACCATAATCATTCCCACTTCCTTTGCGCATCCTCTCATATTCAACTACAAACGCGACCCAATGGCTCTCTACCCTCCTTGCGATTTCCACTCCACTCCCTTCTTCGGACTCTTCGGCTACGGCATCCGCCACGTGACTGTTGTTCCCTGGCCCTCCATCACCGGAGCCGGCTACGAAGAACTCGAAAACGGGTGGGGAGATAGTGGTGCCGGTCATGAAGCCACAAGGATGTGTGTAAAATGTACGTACGAGCGAGTTAAGATTCTCGGGTGCGCAGAGCACCAATTAAGACCATTAGAAGGACTGGATGAGCGAATGAGAGATGATAGGTTAGTGAGAGATAGTGTGAAAGCCTGCGAGGAAGGAATGATGCAGGGGAAATGGGTGAAAGGTAGTGGGGAGACACCGGAGCGGGGAAGTCGTGCGGATTTGGTTTGGAGAGCGAAATGGTGTGCGGTTTGTCCGAGGCCTGGAGATTGGATTTGTAAATCTGGGGATACGTGTGAGGGGCGGAGGAGTCTGTCGCATTCTACACAGGGTAGTCAATCACATGTGAAAGGATGTGGCTTGATTCTTTGTGATACGTGTTATGAACTCCATGGGAAGATTCAGAAAGGAGGGAAGAAGGGGGGAAGAATTGTTTTGGGCAGGGTTATTCAGTTGGCGGGGAGTCCGAGTAGAAGAGAGGATTATCCAGATGGAGTGAGGGCTGATGCGGGATTTCTGAGGGAAGACGGGGAGCTATTTGTTAGGACGCTGAGAGGAGGTTGCGCGGGTAGCAAAGGAGAATTCAAGGATGGCGAAAGAAGTTCGACGACAAGTGAAACAGGGTTTGTAGGGAGGGGAATAAGTGGGGGTCATGGTGGTATAAATTCGGTCGGGGACAAAAAGCGACAAGGAAAAGGTCTCGATGTACCTCGACCGCGACAGACCTTAGACTCGGTTACAGTAAGTAAAGGAGTCGTGGGGAAAAAAGAATTTGCAAACGCAGCGAAATCAAAGGCAAACGACAAGGTTAAAACTGAGCACAGAGATGAGGAGATAACTGAATCGATTAAGGAAGAAGAAAGAATGGAGGGAATGTCAGGTGGAGTGCTAGGAACAGCCTTGACTCAAGCTTCCAGGACACGCGTGGCATTTACCGGCGATTTCACTGGTGATGGAGTGGCCAGTGGAAGATGGAAGGGAAAGGGCGTAGATAGAAGAAACCGTCGGGAAATAGGAGCGAATGATGTGATGAGGAGTATTGGGAGAGAAGTTATCGAGTTGAGTGACTAGATACATAAAGCTTCATCGAGATTTATCTATCTAACGCTCTACGTCTTTCATCCTCTATGTTCCTCATTATAGACTTGCACATCAAAAAGCATCTCCAGTGGTATTTTGGGAATTTAGCACTCGGTATCTACATTTCCTAAACAAAACGCACATATAACGAGACAGAATTTACTACAGACAGAAAATCGGATGTTAACAGCATCAAAAACAGGAAAGACGGGGCAGTAAGGGGGGGGGAGTTGGTCTACATCAGATTACGAGAAATTTGCATATACAGTCATCTCTTTCTTAGACTATCTTTAGCTTTAGCTTTACCTATCAAATATCAGTTCCAAACAATCCTGCCACATGATCTAGGTCATCACCGAGCTATCGAAATACATCTTATGTCCGACTGAATAACACAACTGAATAACACAACTGAATAACACAACCGAAGTTCGACGAGCGTCCTGTGCGAACTTACAAAGACATGTGGCATCATGCTGGATACGTGAAGAACTAAATGGACAGACATTTCGCTTCATGAAGAACTAGACCAACAAAATGAAGAGAATCAATCATCTCCAGAGTCATCTCCACCAATCCCGAACACATCAAAAAAGTACAATCACGGGTCAGGTATGCGAGTCCAACCCCAACAATCCACACAAAAAAGTCCATGGATTCTTCATTCCTCATTATCCGCTAGGAAACAAACTGCCTCACCCTCTCCCCCTACAAAATGAAACACAAACACAATACAATACAACGTAACACAACCCCCCGAATAGGATAGCCACTTGGTCTACCTAGGTACCATCCTCTCGGAAAGTTAACACGCACAATATGGGTTGCGTTCTCCGTGCGTACAGAGATGACTGCTAAATCCAAATCTTAGATACATGTTGCAGAGTCAGTCTTGATTTTATAAAGCGATACTATCGCATCTAATAGTGTACATCATACCAATCTTCTAAAAAGTCCTCTTCAGGCTATCTGGGAGATTTTTCCCTTCACCTACCCTCGTCCCATTTATATTAGAGGACAGGCAGCCACAAAAGTTCGTCTCCTCTCGGTTCCAAGCAATTCAAGGAGGCAAAAAACATGAAGCCAGAAACTTTAAAAATATACTGGTATACCATTTCGCATGTCTCGTTCAATATTTACCACACTATCCATATATCTATTTATCTAAAGCTCATCTAACTCCGCTCTCTACTTCATTGTAACCAACTCCTCGGCACTAGTAGGATGAATAGCCACACAGCTATCGAAATCCTTCTTTGTAGCTCCCATCTTGACAGCCACTCCAAAGCCTTGCAACATCTCACCACTACCCAATCCCAAGATATGAAGACCAACAACCTTCTCCTCAGGTAGTTTACAGACTAACTTATACTTAGTTGGAGCCTTATCTTCTGGTTCCATCATCGCGTAATACATTGCTGTGAAACTAGTACTGTAGCATTTAATATTCTCCTTTCCATAGCGTTCAATAGCTTCCGGTTCGGTAAGACCGATAGAACCGACTTCTGGATGGGCAAAAACGACGGAAGGAACGTTATCGTAGTCGAGTTTTGAGTCCTTAAATTGAGGACCTCCAAATAGACGATCGGCGAGTTTGCGACCAGCGGCAATGGCTACAGGGGTTAATTCAACCTTGCCGACGACATCACCTAGAGAGAAGATGTTTTCGACATTGGTGTTTTGATATTCGTCAGCGATGATTTGACCTCTCTCGTTTTGTTTGACGCCTGCTTTGTCCAAGCCGAGCCTCTCAACTTCCGGAGATCTTCCAATACCCCAGATCAAATCATCCACATCTTCGAGAACACCCTTTCCGTTGGAATCCTCGTAGTGGATGGTAAGTTTACCAGTCTTCTCATCTTTTTCTATTTTGCTTTGAGTAGAGTTTTTGTGCAATTTAACGCCCAAACGTTCATATTCATTTGTGATGGCTTCTTGAACCATAGGATCGAAGTTTCGGAGAAACTTGTCATGACGGATGAACAAATGTGTTTCCGTTCCAAGAGCATTGAACATGCCTGCAAACTCAACTGCAATATATCCAGCGCCAACCAAAGCGACCTTCTTGGGTTGTCTCTCAATATCGAAAAATCCATCACTGTCAACACCGTACTCCGCACCAGGAATACCCTTAGGAACAGTAGGACGGCCTCCAACTGCCAAAAGGATCTTTTTGGCCTTGATTATTTGCTTCGTGCCATCGTCCAATGTAACTTCTGCTTCATTCTTTCCAGTCAAAGATGCGTAGCCGTGAATATATTCGACTTTATCATTGCCAAGATTTCTCTCGTAAATGCCATTCAATCTCTTGATGTATGCATCTCTCTTGTTCTTGAAATATGACCAATTGAATGGTGCGGTGGTCTCGACCGAGAATCCGTAGGCTTTGGACTCGTGGATGGCTTCTGCGATTGCGGCGGCGTTGAATGTAACTTTCTTTGGTACACAGCTATTATTCATCAATGGATATGTTTGAAAGAGATGAAGAAGACGAGGAATAACCCTTCACTCACCCAACATTAACACAAGTACCACCAAGTCTCTTACTCTCCACAGCAATAGTCTTTACACCATAAACACCACTGGCTTTTCTGGCTGTAGCCAAACCGCCACTACCACCACCAATGACCAAAAAGTCACACTCCTTAGGAATTGGCGCCATATTGAAAGTGGTCGCTGAAAATTGGCGAGAAAGAGAAGAAAGTCTAGTATTTGCCGTCTTGGAAGATGATCGGGCAAGAAAAGTAAATCTTTGCATGAGAGCTATTTTTCAAAGCAAAGGAAAGAGGAAGGAGGGGTGGATTTCTATAGCTTTTGGCGGGGGCCTTGTTTACAAGGGGTAAGGTAGGATTGGGTGACGTCTGAGGAGGTGCTAGATGTCGATTACCAATTGTGTCAGATTGGGTTACACTATACCGAAGTCTAGACTTGGATAGCTTTGAGGTATTCAATAACGATACGAGTACAATGAAGGGGTTCGTGAGATGGAATTCGAGATTTTGAGTTGTTATCACGATTTATTGATTTCTCAGCAGAAACCTCGGCTCTTCCATTTTCTAATTGTTAAGCCTATCTAGCCAGATCCTTTGATGTTTATGAATACACATCATGAAGGTATTTGGAATATCAACGATGAATGTTATTGAACTGCTTCAATAAGCACTGTGTTCAATAGATAGACCTTCTCTCAAGGATTTAATTGACGAGTGACTACTAGGTAGGCAGGCTGTAGAGAGTGTGCTTATTGGATGCGAAAGGCCCGCGTTACTGCAATTCATTCCATCATCGACTTCTTGCTCTCTACCACGCTATCCCCATAGCCAATGTAGCGGCCTGTTAACGCGAAACTAGTCGATACATGAGAGACCCGAGTACCTGAGCTAAAGTTGGTTGACCAGTCCAGTCCTCCTTCCCTTCCCGGTGAGCACCTGTTGCATGCACCAAGCAGTCTAGTTCTTATCGTACTCCTTATCGTAACAAGGCTCAAGCAAGGCTAAAAAAATAAAGTCTGGGAATTGCTATCCAGATCACTCTCACATCAATCAACACCCGCACACATAAATGATCATGAATGGCAATCAACATTCCCAGCACCCTCAAAGCTGCGGCTCTCAAACAAATTGCCTTCAAATGCGGCATCTCAACTTCTGGCACCAAACCGCTCCTCATTCAACGTCTCCAAGATGAGCTTCCACAAATTACTTCGACGAACACGAAAGGCTCGTCAGCCGACGCCAAACCTCTTCGCATCTTAAGCATTGATATGGGAATCCGCAATTTCTCATTCTGTCTCCTCGAAATTCCCTCCTCGAAATCTACCTCCAAGTCGCGATCTTCCAAAAATAATTCAAATCCTACAATTCCCATCCCTATCCTTCAATCCTGGCAAAAGCTTTCTCTCCTCCCGCAATCCCCTCCAAATGCCGATCCTGAAACCAAAGAAAAAACCCGCAACGAGTTTACTCCCTCCATTCTCAGCACCGCAGCCTACTCTTTAATTCGACATACTCTTCTTCCTCTCTCCCCCACCCATATTCTGATAGAGCGTCAACGCTTCCGCTCCATGGGCTCCAAACATATCTTAGAATGGACGATTAGAGTAAACATGCTAGAAAGTATGTTATGGGCTACTCTCAAAACATTAGCTGAAGAGAAAGTATGGAGCGGAGAAGTAATTGAGATTGCGCCGAGGAAAGTAGGGAGTTTCTGGGTTGAAGAGAGCGGATTGTTAGATGGAGAGGAGGAGAAGTTCAAGAAGGTTAGGAACACAAGGGAAGTGAAGGCGAGAACTAAGGGTGCCAAGATTGATTTAGTTAGAGGGTGGTTGGAAGCTGGGGAAAATCAAAATGGTGATTTTCAGAATCATCTTGAAATGGTACAGATAGGTAGTCAACAGGTTAGAGAGGTGAAGGAGAGATACACGGCAAAATGGGATAGGAAAGCTGGGAGAGCCAAGGGATTCAAGGTTAAAAGTAAAACGAGAAACAACGAGGATAAGGAAGAAGAAGAGACAATAGCAGAGAAAGAGAATGAGGTAAGTAAATTAGACGATCTGGCAGATTGTCTATTGCAAGGAATGGCCTGGCTTAAATGGCAGGAAAACAAGAAGAGGGCATTAGAGGAGGGCGTACAAGTTTTGCTTGAATGTTGATCGAACGATTCCCTTTCATAACCCGTTTTTTATGCCCCAACAAAACTTCCGTCTACCACCCAATCCCACTTGAAGGATTTCTTACTCGTCCCCAAAAACCAGACCTACTCGCCCAAGAGCTCAAGAAGTCAAGCCATCGAGATCCTAAACGACCTACTGACCTATAACTCATCAATTTATGAAACATAGCTCACCTGCCCATCCATCCCACCTTGCACAACTCAAGCTCTCGTTGTCATCTCAGCCCTATACGAACGACACCATGCTCAATAACATATAATCCCATACCTAAACATCTTAACAAACTCCCACTATTAATCCCACAGATATGCAACATAACCTCCTCATCCCCATCCCGACCTTCCTCTTTCCCTTTTAGATCGTCGTCTGTTCTTTTACAGATATATATCGTCTCAGAAGATCCATGCTAAGATTCCATGCGGGGACGGATAACTACCAATTCTTGTATCTCATGTCCGTCATGAGCTATTGTCCCCTAGCGATGCCAAGGGTTCGACGATCAAACACGAGACGAGGCTATATATAGCGCTATAAATAGTATGAATAGGACTATATAAGCCGATGTTATACTGTCCTAAATTTCCGTTGGATTTTCCACCAATGAGGTTTTATATACACAACAAACTCAGGGGTCCAAATTGGGAATTCTTTGCATATAAACACTTCTCCATTCATATTACTTTCGCAAAAGCACTCGTATGCGATCCAGGTATCTAATATCTATCCTAACCACGAACAAACTTGTGACTCGCCGAAGAATTAATAATTCAAACGCCTTCTCGCCTTTTAATGCTGAATTTCCCCTCTTAGTTTCACCCAGTACGCCATGCCAATTTTCACGCAAGCCCAGTGACATACATAAACCTCATTGACCACCCACAAATTTTGATTTTCGATCTACCTACCAACCATCCCCCCAATCAGCATCCTCATCTGTAGCTTTTGGGGCTGTATCTATTTTCTTAGCCACAACTGGTTTAGTCGCTACAGAAGCTGCTTTTTTCGTTCCCAAAGAACTAGCTGTGGTAGTTCTTGACGATGATAAAGGTCTTCCATTTGTTTTCGCTGCGGGCTTTGCCAAGCCTTTTGGTAATGACTTTTGAGCTGGTTTCTTCTGTTGGGCTGCTAACCAACCCGCGAAATCCGGTTCACCATTATCTTCGAAGGGGGCTGCAGTCGAAGGTGGGGCTACAGTATTTTTTGGTGCCGATTCGCTAGGAGCATCGAAGAAGGAATCCTCTTCCATGTCACCCCATGCTTCTATATCGTCCTCTCCTACGTTCGCATCTTCGAAATAAGAGTGACTGGCCGAAGGCGTGTTAGCTGAGGCGACAGCTGGTGAAGTCACAGCTTGACGATGCAAAGCCGATGCAGACTGAGTTGAATGACGAGCTTCATTTTCTTGTCGTGCTGATGTCGGACGTGCGTCTGGAGTCACAGCACCACTCGATGGTTGAATTTCACCAGTAGCAGCAGCTACTTTATTGGTGAATGAAGAGATAGCCCAGCCTGCCCATGACGAACCTGCATCACTAGGCTGTGGCGTGCTCATTCGGGGTGTAGATGATGAGGCAGCTTCGCCTGTGGTAGGTGGTGGTAAGGCAGTATCAGGCATTGTGGCAGCAGATTTGCGAATACGCTGTAGGTAAACGTCCATTGTCTTGTTTGTTTGGTCTCGAATGAGTTTCTCCTTGTCTATTAGACAAGGACATAAGGCCGGTAATATGCGATTAGCGCAATCATCGTCACCGAATGAGTCAGCTGTAACAGCTAATGCTAGTAAGGCTGCATTTCTGGCATGAACGAATGGATCGCGAAGGGACCTTGTGAAAGCGGCGATTAACACCTTCGATCTCGTACTAACTCCCAGATTCTTGGCAATTTTGCCCAGACAGATTGTCGTGTTTGTTCGAATACCAGGTTGTTCATCGTTAGAAGTTTTGGCTAAATATTTCAACAATTCTCCATTAATTGTTCGGTCTGATAATTTCCCAATAATTGTCAATACTGCTTTGACTGTCTGCTCTCGTACTACCGGTGCAAGATCCGTAAAGCCAGTGACCTGTTTCAATCAGCATGTGCTTGCAAATAAAGCGCAATTACCCTTACCATTTGGGGGAAGATTTTATCATTGACCACTTTCTGTGCTAGTCGATCGATCATAAGGGGAAGATTGTCCAAAAGACACACCCGAATAGCTCTGTCAGGACTGCTAAATAGCCGAACGACAACAGGTGTGACCTTTGCTTCAAAATCGTCATCTGTAAGCTTAGTGCTAATCTTCATAACAACACTAAATACTTTTGGTCCACCACCCCCAAATTCAACAGATTTCAGTAACTCTGGAAGGATCTTCATCTTGAAATAATCCTCCGGGAAGTCGTTTGAAAGCTCATCAAGGTCGCTCCAGAAGTCAGCATAAATCTGGTGTGCTTTTGATATGATAATTTACCTCAAAAACTCTTCTCGTTCAGCCTCCGTTTTCATCCCCAGATTATCTACGCCTTCAGTAAGTTTGATAAGGGGAGTCTCAAAAAATCCTCCACTTCGACGACCTTGCTCAAGGAAGTGGCCAACGCTCAGTCGAGCTTTGGGATTGCTATTAACTAAACGTCTATAGCTTGACTGCATACTGGGAGGTATATTCTTCGTCTGGCCGGCTTGATCACCCCCTGTGAAGTCTCCATTGAAGATTTCAAAAATCAAAGTTCCAAAATTATAAGAATCAGTCGCATAGATTGGGTGTTTCTTGATAGAATCCCAGCCAGTATTCGCCAATTCTGGTGGAGTATATCGTCTGGCATCGGGTACAAGACTGCCATAGTTCTGCGAGGTTTAGCATTTGGTATCATATATGTCAGGAACTCATATTGCTCACATAAATGATTGCCTCAGTATCATTCATATTGCTTAATACCTCGAATCCTCCAACTCTCCACTCCCCGCTTTCACTTGTGTAAATTGATCCTACTCGAAGCATTCCATGGACGGAGGATGCCTCGTCATTGATAAATTTAATTGTTTGCTATATATTCCATTAGACTTAAGCATAACAAATGGTACTGACCACAAACTTACTGCTATACTAAATAATCCCCATTTCAATGTCTCCGGGCTCATGCTCTTTCTCTTGATATGCCATCTCAAAGGAACCACTCTCTCAGTAGCGATATAAATGTATGAGTCGGTCTATTCCCATATCGCAAGTCAGATATACCACATGATTCGAGTGTTGATAATTCATACCTCAACTGTGTCCAGCACCTTGATAACTCCAGGATGTCTCAACGTTCGAAGCTTCTTGACGGCATTTTTGGCTAGGGGTAATCGTGACTTATTCGCGCTAACATCGAAGGAGAATATACTGCAATTAGAACCGTCTTCCTATGATACCATTAATTCCATGTTCTGTACCAAAGTCATCTCTGGCGCATACTCTTTTGGTTCCATTGTATAACTTCCATATGGATTGCTCTATATCAACCTGGTCCCCAAATGTGTAGGGAAATGGAGGACCCTTTGATATCGCAGATGCGACCGCAGACTTCAAGAAATCCATAAGAAATCTGCAATAAAATAAATATTAAGAATACAATACTCAGTAAAGTAGTATTTAGTTATTTGTGAAAGAGAAGTAGACAGCTTTGCCTATCGATTCGATGATTGACCCCCACTATACCAAGTCAAGCACAAAACGAGGCGGTGTATTTAGGCAAATCAATGACCAGCGGCCGCAAAAACCCGTGCACCCGTGCTTAACGTCTCGTCCACAGTCGCGTCGTCTTTTATTTATTCATGCTTAATATACATGACATCTCAACACAATTCACGATACAGCCTGATGCCTCTTTCTTCGAGTACAACTATACGGTTGAGAAAGAATATTTGAGAATGGACGGCTAGAACTCTTATCGTTATATTCTGAAGTTTCTGTCGAGAAAATATGGACTTTGACAGCAAGCAGGCTGCTCCAACCAGATCAGCAACTAACTTCGACAATAATTTCAGATCGCAATCATTTTCAAGCATAAAAAGCAATGCAGGCGTATGTGGAACTCTCAATTTTTGACTTTCATAAATATGTCAATGATGAATATCTGGTAAAAGGTCTGAGTGCTCAAAAATGCTTCTTCTGGTTCTGCTTTGGTTATACTGTCTCCTTGTCATGGTCGATGATACTACCTTTTGCGATTATCAAACCCTGGCGGCGTCCTCCATTTCAGGCAAGACTGTTTTAGCTCAAGGCTATCAGCTTCAACAATGAAAATATGAGGGCAAATTGATGTCTTTGGACACTATTGCTATACGGAGTTAGACATCTCATTGCCCCAAGATGTATGACCAAAGGCTGTGATAGAAAGCGGGATTGAAATCGCTGCAAAAGGGATTCGATCTTCTGTAGAAGCCAGTTAAGACGTACATTGGTGGTTTATAGCTCATTGCACAACCGCTGAAGCAAGCCATATGACGACTCTTTATAGACTGAAAAGACCTGAGACAAAATCAATTCTTTTCTCTAAAAATTTTGGACCATCATGTTCAAAGAAATTTGCTAACTTGTTAGTTTCAAGCTCAGTCCGATGAAAAGCTCGACGAGACGAGTTCAACCGCCTCACTCTCAACTACTAGCAAAGCCATAAAATGTTTGGTGTGTAAACGAGAGGAACTCACACTCGATCCTTTATATCGTTGTTCAAAATGTTTAGCCCGATGGCATGCTAGTTGTCATAAGCCACGTCCACCGGTTGGAGCTGACGTCACGTATGTAATATCCCCCCTCGTGCTATTCGGCAATTGCTAAAGGCTAAATAGTGATTGGTACTGCAATCATTGTATTAGAAAACATGGCTTACCATCAACAGAGTTTTCGCTGGAAAGACAATCGCTGGGCGGTGTGTGTGAGATACCTGGATGCAACAAGCAGATTTACAGCATGTTGGGTAAAACCAAAGATGATAGAGTCTTGTGTACTCTGCACGAGATGACAGAGAAAAACAAGAGGTCTAAGCTTGCTAGCAAAGCACAAATTTCAACCATGTCAAGACCAGTCTCGAAACCCATTAAAAAAACAAGACTTTACCCTGTTAAGTATGATGAGGATATGCAAGGAATGAAGCGTAAACGAGGTAGAAAGCCTGGAGATTTGAATAATAAGCAAATACCTCCAAGTAGTTTTCCTGTTCAGTCAGATTCCAATGATAAAACACCCGCGAGACCTCAGGAGACTTCAAATTCGGATGGCTCGCTGTCTACTCTAGGACTGCGACCTCCCCGGGCTGAAAACTTGTCCCGTTCTCCCACATCGAGGAAGCTCCTTCAATCACAATTGAGAACAATCAAAGCACCGAATATGAATGGTAGCCGGGATGTGTAAGTTTAATGTATTGAATACTGAGTGAATATGTCTAATATAACCTGTTCAGACCTAAAATCCCGAGTCGAACCATAATTCAACCAATGTCAGAACTCCCATCGTCGCCAGAGTATGAGCCTCCACCGCCAGGTGAAGTCGAAGATAATATTAGCTGCTCGCCAGAATACGAACCACCGTCGCCAGATAAAGTTGACAGTGATGTCAATATTTGGCAATCTGACGTGGAGCACCTCGATGTGGATCAAGACGATAGCCCTGGCTCTCAAATACAAGACGAGCTCAGAGATATGCAGGAAAGTGCCAAAAAATTTGCAATGGTGCCTGGGGATGAACTCGTTCATAGGCACAGATCGTCGTCTTCACCAACTCTACTGTCGTTCACTGGACGACCGCTTGAATTAGTACCAACCTCTGCGGAGAATCACAATCCTGGTAGCAAAGCTTCCCTTCTTGACCGAAAAGAGGTTGCCGAGGAACAATCCTCGGCAACTTCTTCTACGATCCCATTTCTAACAATTCCTTTGATCAGGAAGCCATTAAAGCCTGTATCACCAAAATCTAATTTAGATGCCACAGCTCAAAACATGCACTTCCCTAACCCAGAAAGTGAAAACCGCGACGTCTTACGTCTAGCTCAGAAACAAAAGGCTGAAACTATGGTTGCAAGAAAGATGGCGCCGTCTAAGCAAGTAGTTCATCATCATCAAATCATCAACAATGCAATGGATCAATTTATACCTCTACAAACTACCGAAAATTCTCGCGAGTTGGAGTCTACAGTTTCACAATTACACCAAGAGGGACCGAACCAGGAGGAATTGAATCAACAGAGTCCGAAACAGGAAGAGTCGAAGCACTCCGCGCCACTTTATGGTGATTACAAGCCCAACACTATCGAGTATCAACGTCAATTGCGCTGCTTAACATATGATCCCAGCGTTCTTGATCATTATCTAGGTCTACAGAAGGAATCACAGGCTAGGGCTGAGGTTGAAAAAGAACAGAACATTATGCCCCAATCAAATAATGTCGCCGAAACGCAAATCTGGGGTAGTATTGATCCTAGAGTCGTCTGGCCAAAAGAACGATCTGAGGGTTGGTACGAGGCTAAACGTAAAGAAATCGATGCACGGGGTGGGAAGAAAGCGAATTTTGGGATATTGCTTACGGCACAAGTGAGAAAGGAGAGAGCTGATAGAGGTTGGCATCCTAATCAGAACAAAGAATATATTCCCAAGGCGGACAGAAAAGGTGGTTCGATCTTTGTAGGAGATGATGATAGTCGAGGCGATATCGAATTGGCGATTAAGGGTAGCGAGTTAGGAGTTCTTGTACCGGTGACAGGAAGGGATGGGAAAAAAACTTCGGAAAAGCAATTTCAGCCAAAAGATAGTTGATGGGTGATTGGGAGTAATGGTTGGGATTCTGTTCTCTTGGGGCGTTTGGTTTGGATGTGGGAACGATGATTTATGACTCCCTTACATTCTTACATGGCTTCTAGTTGGAGTAGATAGGAGTGTGGCATAATGGATAACTTTAGATGAGATTGGGAAATTCTTTGCGGAGTCTTTTGGTACTACCCACATAGCATGCATACAAAAGGGTATTAAAATGGATATGCAATGCATTAATAGAATCTGCTGCTTTTGGTGCACGCTGTTGATGTCTATACAAAGTTGATCTTGACTACTACAGTAAATCCGTCAGCAATATCTTCGTATCTGAGCAAGTATTGATGGTCCTATAAATCTATATCTTCAATACTTGAATCGATGGTACTTGACGTAAATCAAGTACGAAAACAGACACTATTGAATGCTTGGATATGTGCAACTTGATATTGCAAGAATAGGAGCCTTTTTCTTATCAAAATAGGGTGGACAAAAGATATGAAGTGAAGGGGGTGGACGAGTGATGAAAGGAGGAGTCAATGGAATTTACGGGAGCAGAGGGAAGGTTTCATGGAGGCGGGATTGCATTAGCCGCTGATATTTAGGGCAAGGCTTTCATAATCATACGAGTCTTTATAACTTAAGATATTTTACCACTTATCAACCACTCACTAGACAAGACGAGATCATAATATTATTGATGTTGACCTCAAAATGATTTTACCCAATTTCCTCACTCCCAAAAACCCCATTCTTTTCGATCTTCCTTTCTCATAAATCCTTCGAGACAACCAATGCACTGCAGAAATGAGGTTCGGATTCTGAAAGCCCGCTCTCGTAAGTACTATCAGTAAGTCTCATGTATCTGACCCTAGACTAAAATGCCCTAATTCTTTGGAGGGCACCAGACAATTCCGTCGAGTCTACTGTCTTTGACAACACAGTGGATAACTGCATTGTTATTCATCGATAATCTTCCCCGCTGTGCCAAGACCATCAAGTTAGCTTTCCCCATCATCGTATTGTGTTTGCAGAAGACGACTCCGTGAATGAAAATAGAAGGAGAAAATGAGAAATTTCAATGTCTCACGATTCCAGGAAGGTTGAATTCCGTAACAAGAGTCCGCTGCGATGGCCAGTCGCCAGCCGAAAGGCCTTGCCAGTCAACGCTCAAACCTTCGATACCATCACCTTGTCTAAGGGCGGCTCCCAAAGGAAGATTCGTTCGGTCGGAGGAGTTGCCGTTCTTCTCTATAACAGTAAAGTAATCCCAAATACGCTTGTAAACAGCCTCAAGCCCGTTTCTGAGGCCAGACGATGTGTCATCGGCAGAGATGTTCACAGGGAGGAGAGCCGAACTGGTTTCATGGCCGTCTTCCCATCGAGTCAGTTTTACCAGGAACCAATCGTTGGGAATATCGTTACTCATGATGAAGCGTTTGATGTTGTCCAAATTCGAGAACTGAAATTTGTTTTTTATTGAAATGAATCGAAAGTAAAATGGGTTGCTAAAATGAAAAGTGAGTGATCTTTTCGAATTGAGTGTCAAAGTTGGTGGTCGAAAGCCCAGAATATATAGCCTCCCAACATTAATACTAATTGGATTGTTCTCCTCTACAACAACAATCATCTTTCAATATCCTCAAAAGGATAGGCAGTGAGGGAACATAGGTTCTTTCATTCGTGTTTTTTTCATGGGCATGAAGCCTGCTTTGTAGCGAACATTCTTCCAAAGTGAATCCCCTGGAGATAACTAACTCAATGGCATTCCAAACATGCATGCACCAAATGCAAGCAGTATTTAGCCATTGCCATGAAAAACTAGCAAGATAAAGATATTATGATCAATCATACTCATCATATCCATTGTCGAAGCGGCCTTGTTCTCTTTGCGTGCTTACGAACTCTTCAGTCATCAGATTGCTGAGCTTTGATCTCTTCAAAGCTTTCACGTCTTTGTGCCAATCACAAGCATAATCGCAAGCAGGCACTTCGTTCTCTCCGAAGTATTTGCAGATCAGCTTGTGTCGACATTCATCAGTTTCTTCGCAGTATGAAACCAAAGCTTTCAAGCTATTAATCCTAGCTTCTAGATTGGCTCTTTCTTTGGCATCCCGAGAAACTCTGTTGTATGCTCGGTCACGATCTTCGCGGCTGTAATACATAATATGTATGCTGGCCTTCCCGTCCCTTCCAGCTCGTCCAGCCTCTTGGTAGAAGCCTTCGAAAGATTTTGGAATTTGCCAATGAACGACAAAACGTACATTTTCCTTGTCTATGCCCATGCCAAAGGCAGTTGTCGCAACTATCACGTCATAGCCCTTATCATTATTGATCCATCGATTTAATGTTTCGGTCTTCTCTTCGTGAGTGAGTCCGGCATGGTAGGCTCTGGCCCCTATTCCGCTATGTCTCAATCTAGACGCGAGATTCTCACAATCTTGCCTAAAAAGAGTGTAGATAATTCCTGACACATTATCCAGGCGTTCGCGCTTCTGTTCGAGTTCGGCCCGACGTTCTGGGTTTTCCATTCGATTTCTGTGAACTCCCTTGAGCCAATGTAAGAAATCGTTGAAATGGTCTGATTCATCTGATTTGAATCTCACTTCATAATGAAGGTTCTCGCGATTCGTTGTCATTCTAAAAACCTTCAAATTTGTTTCTGAGAGACCCATAGTAGCTATAACATCTTGCCGTACTTGATCCGTAGCTGTTGCCGTTAAACAAATAATGGGGATATCAGGGAATGTCTCCCGGAACCAGGAGAGATTCTTAAAGGACTTTCTAAAGTCATGGCCCCATTCGCTAATACAATGTGCTTCATCAACGGCAATCCTAGCAAGCTCTCGCTGTTCATGCACAGTTCGAAGATGTTTGCGGAAGTTTTCTGTAGAGCAATACTCAGGAGTCACATACAAAAGTCTTGTTAGTGGGTGACCAGATTCAAGGTCTGCAAGGAGTCGTTGTCGTTCGGGCCAAGCTGTATTTCCATTAATGGTACCCGCTACGATTCCTGCAGACTGTAAGGCATTTACTTGATCGGTCTAGCTTGATGTAAGTATGGAAAAACGTGTGGCCGATTCTGACTTACCATTAATGAAAGTAATGGCGAGATAACAATGGTTACTGAAGGCGTAAGTATTGGCGCTGAGAAATGAATGGAAAATAGGCATCGAGACTTACTCCCTTGATCGATCACTGCAGGCAGTTGAAAACATAAACTTTTCCCAAAAGAAGTGGCAGCCTGAATGAAGACATCGTGTCCATCCAGTGCAGCAACGATAACCTCTCGCTGTAAGGGCCTGGGGAACTTTAGCTCATATTTTGGAAAATATTGCTCAAGGGGACTACCTGAATGAGGTCTTTTTGAATATACGACGCAATGTAAAGTCAATGTCAACACAAGAATCGGATCTTGAAAGGGTCCTTGACAAGGGCATCTTGTAAGGATTCAGAAGGGGGATCTTGGAGATTTGCGTGGTTTTAGTTGTTTGCTATTGTAGTGTAGCAGAAGAAGACTGATCAGTCAGACTCTCGAAATGTGGACAAACTCAGTGCCTTATTCTTGTCATTAGAAAATATCCTTACTCTCGGTTTCTCAAAATGTCTTTGCTTGTTTTATTTGGTGATTCATCCTCCAGCAGAAGATATTCTGGGATTCTGTATAACACAGCAAATAGAGTGAAGTATATTATGGACCTGATTTGAAATCAAAGACTTTGTATAATCTGAGATCAGTCAATGATTATCGATCATCTGAACAGCCAAGATCCATGTGTAAGGATCAAGTGAAGCTGGAGGAAGAACAATATCAAAATGTATCTAGCAGGCAGGTGTTGTCAAGAACCTCTCTAGCTCTTCGGATGAGATACAGCCAGCAGTGAAGATAGATGAAGACAGATGAAGGAAACCTGTGGTCTTAATTATCTTCCGACTTGACGTATCACCTCCATGAAAGTAGGAAGATATAGATTTTGAGGCTTCACTGCCGTCGTACTCAAAATCCAAGGGAGAAATGCATATTTTATTAAACACATCGGTACCTGCATCAATTTAAAGCCGGCGCTTACCTATTTCGAGAAAGCTTAACCGAAAATCACGATGCTAGAGAAATGATCAATGTGACAACAAGCAGTTCAATTGCGACAGAAGAGAGAGAAGACCCTCGAATATTACCCCTTCTTGAAAATATTACGGATGCATGGTGTTACATAGGACATAAACCCCTCATTATGCTGCTTGACCTCTCTTCTCGACCAATTCTCAACGTTACCGCCCATTTAAAGGCACGGATTCTTAAGTAGTTCCCATCGAATTGATAAGGGTCTGGTCCCTTTTTCGCGAAACAAGAAAGTGTTGAAACATCCTCAGCCACATCTTACGGAAAACACCGACAACATTATTGAAAGGGTTGGAGTGGAAGATATCATGGGTCCCACTGGTCCTCCCCTTGGAGCAGCAATAATGTCATCAGGTCGACCTAAATTCGAAAATGGCATGCCAGGTCCAGGTCCGGGTCCTAGACCACAGAATCTAAGCGCATCTCGACGTGGTCCTCCCCTTCGGCATGCTCAGTCGAACTCTTCGCTATCTTCCAAAGTTCCGCCGTCGCAAGGACAAGTTGTCGCTTTGGTACGGGAATCTATGAATAAGGCTTTGGAGGAAAACATAGTGAAAGCTGCAGAGTCGAGCGCTGTCAGCAACGAGCTGATGCCAGGAGTCACGATTGATTTGAGCCATAGACGTATACAAAGATTTCCAGAAGAGGTTGTCGACATCATAAAAGTCGAACTCGTACGGTATTTATAATCCTTCATTCCTTGCAGGAGGCTTGGAACTTGTCTCACATGTTGAGCTCTTTCCAGCATCTCGGAAATTAAATATATTTTTTAATGATAGCTGATACATATTCGTGGTACAGACTTGCATTGTCCCACAACGAGATCCAAACATTCCCCTCCAGGTTCGCAGAATGTACCTCGTTACGATATTTGAACCTTCGAAACAACATCATTCGAGAATTCCCACCAGCAGTATGCAAGGTCAAGATAGCGTGAGGCAAGCTCAAAGACGCTGACTTTGTTTTAGATATGCCAGTTAAACTTCCTCGAAATTCTCGACCTTGGACGAAATAAACTACGAACGTTGCCACCAGGCATTATAAATTTGACATCATTGAAGGTTTTGTCCGTTCAAAGGAACAGGATCGAGGAACTTCCTTTATGTGTGGCAGATATGACATCTCTTCAAGTCTTGAAATTGGATGGGAATCCCCTGAGATTTCCGCCTAAAGAGATCCTTCAAGCGCAAGCTTTGAACTCCCCTAGCGGCGGTCCCTTACAAGAAGGTGAGATAGACGATCTTGCTGTCACAGCACATATCAAAAGATTCTTGAAGTCCAGAGCCATGGGTCGACCCGAAACCGAATCTGGCGGAGAAGAATCGAGCGAGGGTACCGAGACTCCACGGCCTACTATGAAGCGTGTTGTGAGTGGCCGTTTCCCCATAAAGGTCGACGGCGTTCCCCCATCGCCAGCTCAACCTCGACCACCACCTATACCTTCTAGATCACACCAAAGAGGCTTCTCGCAACAGAACGCAGCGCTTCGACGACCTGGCGTAATGCCTCTCACAATTGGAAGCACAAACGAAAGGGTTCGCAGTAACAGCGAGAGCCTTTTGCAGGCTAATCGTGATCGACCGGACCGCTCTTCAACGGATCGCTCGCGACGAATGGGTATCGTTTCAAGGAAGGCAGCGGAGTTAGGAACGGTTGACGAGACGAACAAATCGAATCGTTACAGTCTTCACAACAGGGGTCTCAGTCATGGATCTGCAATGCAGGGTAACGGTACTGGGTCTAATGGCAATACGATTAGTCCAGCAAGCCCGGCAGATTCGGCGGGCCAGAGAGCTACCTACGTCCGCCGCTTATCAAGCTTACCGGAACGCAAACGAGAATCTACTTCTCCAGATCCTATTATTGAAGGGGCTAAAGGTGTATTGTACGCTTTGTTTCAAGTCCATCCTCTTATTGAAACCTTGATTGGCCTGGTTCGGAATCCTGGCGAGAAGAAGTCAACTTTGGAAAGGGTATTTTACAATGCCAAAACACATGTGGAAGAGCTAGATCAGGACGTTCAACGGTATGATTCTTACTCGGAGGAAGATGAGGAAGCTTCTCCTCGATCAAACGAAAACGTGAAACGTGCCTGTTTGACTTGTGTTGGTGCATACATTCACGTATGTGCTCAATTGTCACAAAATGTCGAGATTCTTCTTATTAATGGCGATCCTCGATATATTCGGACCCTACTACTTCAGCTATACGGAAGCGTAGCAGAAGTACGAAATGCTGGGGCGAGCTTGTTTCCTCCTGGACAAAGTCGATCTGGTAGACACCCAGGAAGTAACCACGAGGCAGGTTATCCAATCAGAGACAAATCAGTTACTCCGACACGAGAGAGGCCTGGCACAAACTTTAGATCGAGAAGTGCGACTGTAATTCAACATTCAAATAATCTACGGGTAGCGATAGATGCTCCCCCACCATTTGTCAGTGGAAATGGGCGTTCTGCAACTATGACAAGCGCTACACCACGCTCTGGAGAATCATTCGGTTCAACAGGCACCAGTGGGCGTCTGGTGGGAGATTTTACTGAGGAGGATAAAATCTTTGAAAAGATATTTCTTCGTCTACAGCAAACATCAGAAATGGCCCTTAAAACTCTTCCAAATGTTAACGCCCATTTCCTCGGATCCATGCAAAAGAGTGCAATTTCAAATAATGCAGACCACGGTAAACAGTATTGGCAAGTATTAATACACAAATGCACGCACGCGTTACACATAGCGGACGCGCTTAAATCTCGTTTATCACAAATTAAATTGAAGGACCCTGATATCAGAGAACAAAAGGGTTTCTGGGAGATATGTTGGGCGATGGTAGATGTAAGTATACCTAATTATGATAACCCACCACTATGTACTAATAAATTCAGTCATATCTCGACTTAGTTACCAAGGTCAGGGAAGTGAAAGGCGTAATCAGCTTCATCCCAACTGAAATTATTGTTCTTCTCAGACCTCTTCAAAAGGCCATCAAAGAAACAGGTTCAATGATTACAGCATCACCGTGGGGTTTCTTGGCAAACAGACAAGCAAATGGTGGTTCGAATGGCTCATATACAACGCAATCGCCTGCCTCCCAAGTCCCCTTGCCGATGACTCCCCAGAGTGCAGCGTTAGGACCAGCGGTTCAGGCAACTGTTCCATCTACCCCACAGAGTGTTTCTTTTGGTGCAATGTTTAATGGCAATGTTTATGAGCGCGCAGATACTTACTTGTCGAATGGATCAAGAACCGGTACCATGTCTTCTCAGTTGGGTGTTAATGATGGACCGACTATTATGTTAAGCCCGTCGCATTATATGAATAATCGGTTTAATAGTAATGGAAAAGTGGCCTTTTGAAACTGAGGCTTATTCCATGAGTCATAACTTTAGGTATCTCAATATTGGATGAGATGCACTATCCTGGTTCTCTCTGGCCAGTGTGCTTGGTATCGGAATATCGGCGGGACTCTTTTATCGGGCATATAAAGACTGAAGTTTGAAATGAATGAATGGATGGATTTTCATATTTAGCGTGAATGGTACGGAAGGATAGGGATGGAAGGTTTACAAATGGATCGAATGGGATGGGATGAAGCCATTGAAGGCAATTTTTCAATCATAGCATATACCACTGTCATTAGCGTTTTGATCATTTAAAGAGTTTTGATTATTTTTGGCACCTTTTGGGGATTGTATGGATTAGATGTTGGCGTGTTTTATATGAGGGATGTATGGATGGGTGTAGGAATACTGGAATTCGACGGGCGTTATTGGTTGGGTGCATGGTTGGGTGCTTTGGGGGTTGTTTGGGTTTGAGTTTTAGCGTGGAGATTGATTGGTGGAGTGAGGAGTGTTGTATGTTAGTTGTTTTGATAGGGAGTGTGGATTTGTGGTCAAGAGGAGGATATCGAGAGGAAACAGGGGAAAGGGGAAAGTGAATATGGGAATTTGGATTTGGGGTGCAGGGTGCGAGGTAGGGGGTAGAAGGGTGGTGCATTTGACTACTGAGGGACTTGGTATGGATGGATTGGGATGAAACAATTCGATTTAACTTTTAAATCCAGAGCGAAGGATAGAAGAAGATGATGAAGCGGAATGAGTAGAAACCGTGGTATATACAAGAGATTGAGCACTTACCTGATACGGAAGTCTTAGGTTGCCGGCTAGATATGTATCTAGATATTGTTAGATGGATTGAATGATTGGGATGAGTTGAGACAAACAAAGACACAGATAAAGGAGAAGGAGAATACGTATCTAGGATTATCAGTTCACGCACTCAGTACAAATATACGAATATACGGATACAATCATTGAATTAGGAATGAGGAATGAGATCCTATATCCATATGTGTGTGTGTGTGTGTGTGTGTTTGGATGGATAATGTGAGAGAATGGGATGCGATTTTAAGTGATGTGATGTGAAGTTTAGAAGACTAGAGTGGAGTGCAGTAGAGTGTCAGAGTGTCAGATAAGACTTGTATACCTAGGTAGGTAGGTAGGTAGGTAGGTAGGTAGTTTAGAAGATGAACTTTGCTAAAAAGTTAAAACTACTAATCAGGCGGATATGGATATGTGTATATGTATAGATATAGTATTACACGTACGTATTTGTCTCTTTATGCGTATCTGACGATTCGGAATCGAAATGAAATCGAAATGAAATGGTATGTCGGGGAACTGGGCAGGGAGAGAGGGAGGGCAATCTGTGATATTGGTTTGAGCGGGAATTTGGGAATTTGGATGATGGTGGATTATGGGGTAGTGAGGGAGTGAATGGAGATGGAGATGGAGATGGAGATGAAGGGGGTGTATAGAGGTAGATGCAGAGAGTAGTTTGGTAGGAATATAGGGGATTAGTGGAAAGATGGTGGAGAGTTTGGGACTTGTTATTTGGGAGGAGGAGGGAGTTGCAGAGGAGAGGGGTGGAGTGGGGATGGGGATTCTTTTTGGGGGTTTTGGCTTTTGATTCTTGGGAGAGAGGGGAGAGGGGACTCATGGAAGGGAGAGGAAGGAGTCTACAGCAAGAGAGCAAGATAATAAATAAGCGAGATGAACAAGAGATATATTAACAAAGGGAGCTATAAATAAAAGAAAGAGTTATTACAAGGAGTAGAGAGTAAAGCGCAAAGATAAAACGCAGGACTTACGAACCTAAAACCCAACTATAAATTAACCAACTGTAAACTATAAACCTCATTCTCTACCCCTCTCCTCTCCTCTCTATTGCGTTCTCCTCTGCGTTCTCCTTTAGCTACCCCCAGAATATAAATCCACAATCTACTATTTACTATCTATATCTATACCTATATCTACAGCTGATATTCTTTTCTAGGTAAGGTATGATATATATATGTATGTAAGCTCGTACCTATCCATATCTTTCTTTTATCTTTTATTTCCTGTTTGGCTCTATCGAAGTTCTGAAGTTCTAAAGATCATTTCACTTCATTTCTCTTCTTCTGATTACATGTTACATTTTACGTTTTGTGGTTTAGATTGGTTCTTGGATTGATGTATGGGTATCGTGTCTATATGTTCATACATCTACATGCCCCCCTCACTCAATCTGCACCAAAGGCAGAAACGTCGGAGTTCCGACGATTGGTTATGAGAGTGATTGTGGTTGTATGATAGAGAGAGAGGGGGCTTTGCAATAATCAATTGATTAATAAATACAGGTATCATTTACATACTTGCTACCACAATCACCTGTTACACCTCGACCCACTTCACCTCGCCACAACTTACCACAGGTTGAGTCAGGTCAAGGCAGATCAATTCAAGCCTAGTACATCGCACACCCATGACCACAACCACCAAATCTCCCACATCTGTTGACTTCAACCGCAAGTACAAACCCCAGCACACCACATATTTCATCTCATCCATTGCAGCATCACCACACCAAACCATATCATCGCACAACACTTGCATACACACACACACTACTCACTACATCCACATCCACATCCACATCCAAATCTACAGCCACGCCTCCCTGCGCAAGCACACTGCAGTACTCACCCAAAGCATGCGGAGCACGTGTTGCACCTACCACACCATTCTGACAGTCCATTGCATACATAGCGGCATTGAGCCTTGATGGCTTTAGACAGGTAAGATGATTGGTTATCCAGCGGGTCTTTTGATAGAAAGACTTTTTTCACGATTGTGGCGATGGGGGTGAAGATGTGGGAAACCGTGAAGTGCTTTTTGTAATATGTGTGGTGATGAATCACAATTTGTACTGAGTGTTAGTTGTCGCAACGTGCATTGTGTAGATTTATGTGGTTTGATGGGATGGGATAGAATGGATGAATTAAGGAATAGGAGGCAATGATTGGGAGACGATGATGGAGCGAGAATGATTGGATGACGATGATCAGATCAAAATGCATCTCGACTAAAGAGCTAGAAAATTCGGGAAACCGCAGGATCGCAGGAAGTTATGTGACTCACTCTATTTCGCCTTTGCATTTAGATACTTTCATGTGATGTGTAGAATGGATTCGTTCACGCAAATATTACCAGTGTATGGAGGCAGGTGAAAGTATGGAACTATCATTCATTCGCCAAGAACTGACGTTCACTCATTTCATCACATCTGCATATCTATTGTTCCGAAATGCGGACTCGAGCCCCGGAGCATTCTATAGGTATTTGATGTTCCTTCGTCTTCTGTCGAGTATCAAGTAAGCCTTTGTGAAACCACACGCCAAGATGAACCGCATGTTCGATTCTGAACATCGCTTGGAAAAGCAAAAAACCATTCGAGGACCAAGCGTTTTGAGTAACACCTTGACTATCTCCGAATTCAACAGAAACTTTGATTCGTGATTCGTGAACCTGTCAAGTATGGAAAATTCCACGTAACCTTTCTGGTGTGTACGTCACATTTATCAATATCGATAATATGTCGTGAAGTATGAGGTTGGCTGGAATTCTTCCGAGTCCGCTCGCGCAAAGTAATATGTTGCCTTGGAATTTATTGTATGCAAGTGCAAGCAAGCACTTAATAATTCATTTACCGCATAGATGATTAATTCCGAGACGTGTGTTTTCAATACCACGACGTAGCGCAAAAATGCAAGGACATCCATTTTGAAACGAAGATGCCTTGGGAAAGTATAATGGGATTACCCTTGGTTCAATAAACTTTTAAGAGAATGGAGTAGATAACAACTGTTCATCTCATCGTCGGATGGTAATGATACCGGTACGAGAAATGAGAAATGAGAACTGGACGATCAAAGCATGCGGAAAACTTCATGCCGTAACTCCCGGATTTCCAATATTGAAATTGCCCCCCCCCAACCTTTGGATCGCTTGGTAATATCAATAGAGCAGAAATGATAAGAAATGGATAAATGGATGGGGATAAGAAAAATCGATTTTTTTAAGATTGATATGCAAAGTGAACCTTGAAATATTGACGGCGATTAATAAATTACGAACAAGTGGTGGCTGGGTTGTGAGCACCGAGAAAGGGCAAAACGGATGAATCAACCAAGAACTTTTTTCAAAGTCTTTGGCGCATTCTTTAGTCATTCGTTCAGTCGTCCAAGGGGGTTGCAGGATGAGCATGTAGGATCTTACCCATCTTACTTTCATCGTCCCGAGTCGCCTCGTATGTTATGGTAAGATTGGTAACCTTCAAAATGTTGCCCGAGATATACGAGTTAATGGTATGATATGATCGTGTCCCTAGGGAGGTCGTACTCGATTGTATACAAGTAGGTTTGAGTTGCTTTGAGTTGCTTTGAGGAATCTCAGAGTCTTAGAATCTGACCACATTGATTCCAAACATCGCGAGACTTTTGGCTCGAAAGACATCCATCACGTGATGATGAGATAAGGTGAGATTGTCCGAGACTCGTCCGTTCCCCTTGTGGCGCAAAATCTCGCACGCCTCACTTTTTGGGGGGGCGGGGAGGGGGGTGAAAGCGTGTTTTTGATTTTGAGTTTTCTCTCGAGTCGATCTCCAAAACTATCGATGTTTGATCCATAATCTTCCATGATGACACCAAAGTTTCATTTTTTGGTAGCCGCAGAAACCCCTGATTGTGACTAGCAAATTATGTTACTGCTACCAATGCATTCTTCGGTAGCCTCGAACCTCTTTTGGGCTGCTTTCCGTTCGCAGGGAGTGGATAAGGCGGAGGCGATAGTGAAAGGGGAGGGAAGGAGGGGGAAAGAATTCGATAAACGAACAGACAAACAGAAGTTGATCTTTCCGCTTCTTGCGTTTGTTTGCATATCGGTGTCATATTAGACTGTGATCAAATAGTAGGTCTAGTAAGGAGGTACCCAGGTATGCCAATGTCCGTCTCTCGTGAGCTTTGCAGCGAGTTAATCTATCGGGCCCATCTCTTATAGTAATGTACGTGTTGAGTACGACATGGACGTGGAGGTTGCAAAAAGTGAAAAGACTTGTGAAATTGTGTTTGATGAGATTTACCTGGTCTTTCTTACGTGTGAGATAGGTGACGGGCGACGGGCGTGCCGATGTTGTGACTACGTTGTGTATAGATTCTTATATACGAAGTAACAGTGTGAGCCCTGCGAGGAACACCAAGTCTTGCAGATGATTTGGAAAAGACGGGAGAGAGTTTTATACACGTAGATATGTTGCAATTCCTCTGTTGTCACAAGAGCCCGCCCTTTCTTCAAGATTTCCCGTTGTTCAAAGGAAGCGGATTGTCTGAGATTACATTCGATTGAATCTATTTTCCGTGTCCCCGGGCGTCTTCTGAATAAATGTACGTAGTGAGACGTGAGCATTGGAGAAGGGGCTTGTAGGATCATGAACAGCTTTTCGCATCGGTCATATTACAGTTTGATAATCGAAATCTGACGCCCCTGGCAACGCCCTACATCGGTGGAAATGACCTGAGTAATAAAATCTTGATGCTCCTGAACGGCGACCTTTGCGAATTCAGCTACTGCTGCATACTTATGTTTTGAGATGGTGAGGCTGCGTGCAGCAATGATGGTGTCCCTACCCGAGTTGGAACGTTTCTTTGGTTGAGCATTGATCCGTTGGGTGGGAAGGACCCGTCCATTTTGGCCACGATCTAATTTTTTCCCTTTCGTAAGCCCTGTTGTGCTGATAAGCTGATACGGGTGTACAATGGATCTTTCAGTTTGTTTCGAAGAATCCTGTAGGGAATATCCTTTCTGAGCTAACAAGACGATAGCTTCTAGAAGGAAATGGAGAGATTGTTGGTAATCGAGCCTCGGGGATACCCATGGTTGCTTGAGTTGAAAAAATGGTGAGCACGAGGCTGAAGAAGAGGGGACAATGCAGCATCCAGTCGATTGGTAGGGATCTAACCTCTTATGACATAAACATGAACCCGGCCACAAGGGCTTGGAATCCCAGAAGATCGGATTGGGGAAAGCGCTATACTCTGTAGAGTCAAAGTATCAGAGATGTGGTTTGGTAGCGGAAGATATCAGGCGAGACGGCTCAGACCGTCAGGCGAGACGAGGGATTGATGGATCAGGATTAAAAAGCGAGAAAAGGCGGTAGTTGCGGGATTCCTAATTGTTACTGAGTCTGTGTGTGTGTCTGTATAGTACATCCCCGACCCCATAGCACGGCTGCAGATGGTTCAAACGAGAAGGAAAAATAAAATGACTCTGAACAAGGGGTTTAGCACATGGAGTCTAAAACTCTAATAATAAGGCCTGGAACAAGCCTAGAAGAGCCTAGTGTTGATCCTGGTTATCCAGGCTGTACCGAGTATAGCTAAAGGATACAGAGTATAGAGTATAGAGTATAGAGTATAGAGTATAGAGTATAGAGTATAGAGTATCGAATGTAGAATGTAGGGTATACGGAGTGTTAGCCTTTGCACTCTTTGCACTACATGCACTACTTGTTAGGTATTCTGGAGTCTTTGCGGAGTTAAGCTGAAGGGTAATATACTTTAGCTGCATCGGTTTCTCCGATATTCATCACTGCTTCTGAGTTCTGAGTTTTGAGTTCTGGGTTCTGAGCTCTGAGCTCTGCGTCCTGAGTTCTAAATTTCCAAAGTTCTCTCCCTCACACTTAATCAACGAGTCAGCATCGCGCATTGGCGTATGAATGCGTGTATCATCAGCAGCATGAAAAGTAATCTTCAACGTCCACCAAGGCTAAGATTAACCAAACTCACTAGAAAGTTTACTAAATCCTTAGTTGACTTGGTATTCCTCTAGGATGTTATCACCTACCACTCACCACTTACCTAGGCTCCTGGGTACTGTATCATACGGGCCACGGCTGATTCCTTCCCTTACTACACCTTCCCGTGTCTTCAAGGTCTGCCTAGGGAATGCTAAGGAAGATCTAATAACCGTTGAAATCTAAGTTTCCAGATGGGGAGTGTGACCTTCAATTTGTCTGCCGAAGAGTGCAATCAAACTCGTGATATCATGGAAATCGTGGGTAGGTATATGTGAGAATTAGATCCTTCCCAGGAGTATGAGCAATTTCACCAATCACCTTTCAAGTATGGGCCGCGCGCCTGCTTTCACTGCCGATGCGAAAGCAAGGCTGCTGCATGGAGCTTGCATATGCACATGCAGGCAATAAATAAATTAATTGGGCGTATTAAAATAACATTAAATATGAGATAGGAGGCGTTAACTTTTCAGTGACCCTTGAGTGTTGGTGTGAAAGAGAATGAAGATTTGGATTGGCGACAGTGACGGTGAAGGCGACGGTGGCAATGGCAATGGCAATGGCAATGGCGATGGCGATGGCAATGGCGACATGACAATGACCAATCCTTATCCTTTTTGAGGCGTACGGTCGGCAATAGATAAAAATAACTTGTGTGTTTACTGTCCATGTAGGTATGTATGGTATTGTATTGTATTGTGTTGTCTAGGTGAGAAAAAGAAAGCAATAGAAATGATGTCAAATCACGCAACTAAATAAACTAATCATGTCGTAGATCGAAGCATACAGACGGAAAGAGTACTTTGCACCGAAACTCTCTGTTGGGTATTCAGTATCGTATCTAGTATCTAGTATCTAGTATCTAGTATAGAGTATAGAGTATTTATCTGCGATGGATTACACCCGGGTAGTATCGCATCCAAGCCTATCTGGTAGTATTGACTCGTGTGTGGGGAGGCGAGGATGTCTTATTGAATATCTGGTCCAGCTGAGTAACACAACACTAAAGGATGAAAAGATTCAGAACTAAAGATGCTAAGAAGTTACCTAGGCACTTCTGACTTTGTACCTCTTTACCCTCTGATGCTCATCCTCTTATCCTCTTACCTCCTCTTGCCTCCTCGTACCTCCTCGTACATATACATACCTACTGCCTGCTCACCACACCTACAGAGGATACGCCCAGCTAGACTATACCTAATATATTGTCGATTGCCTATTGAAAAAGTAACATCGTTCAGAGAGTCAGCTTGCATTGATCGATGTAAAAATTCGTAATTAAAAAAGATCGATATACATTCTCTCTCTCCATCTTTCATTCTCTCCTCCCTCCTCACACATATTATCTACATATTGCATATTATACAATTCGCTATATCATATAATAATATAGACAGACAGACTATTTTGGAAGGAACGATTCCCTGGCTTATTGAATTTGCCAAAGGTCAAGGCGTCCCTGGTTTTCATTCCAAACAAAGCACGTCTGTTGTCTCAATTGCGACCCGTCACAATCTCAGATCCTCTCTCGTCCTCTCTCTTTCTCTTTCTTTCTCCTCCGCTTTTTCACATTCTAATTCTAAATCGAATCTTTGGTCTTTCCTTTCTCTCCTCTCGGTCTCTTCATTCCAAAGAAGGAAAAAAAAAACCAAGAAAAGAAAAGAAAGAAAGAAATAAAGAAACAGAAAAAAAAAACGCTTGCATAGCATTACAGTATTGCATATACTGCAATCCACTGCATCAGCACTATCACATCAGCATACAGCCATTCCAAAAAATCCCCCAAGCCCAAGCCAAAGAACTGCCACACTCGATACTACTCACCACTCTCACTCGCACAATTGTAATAATACACTCCAATTGTCATTCCCTCTCTCAATTGTTTTCCTTCCTTACTTCATTAATACATTTTGTTTTCATCTCTCGCTGCACTTTCCTCTTCTATTAGATTGTTCTGCTTCCAAAGAACATCCTTTGTTGTGGTCATCTTTCAACCTTCTCTCGACTTCATTCATTCAACAAGGCTTTCCAGCCAATTCCTGTCCTTTCCGGTACAACTACCATCGTCGCCACTCGCAATTCAATTCGGTCTGGAAAAATCTGTCAAAAAAAACATTGGTTATCAAATCATTGGGGTGAAGAGGATCTATCAGGTTTCACAAAGAGGTATGTTTTTTGCAAGTTCCCGGCCTTATGCATAAGTACAAACAACTCTTTCGTGTGGATTCGAGAACTCCTCGAAATGGGTGTACAAGAAACTGTTCCTACCCGCAACCGCATCCACGAGATCATACTCTTCGAAGTACAGAGCTCACTCGTTGTTTGCCCACACACATTAACTACACCTGGAAGCCCAAGCCACTAGAAAAGGCAATTACTAACACGGTACTTTAATAGTTTGACTTTTTGCACCTTTTGCAACACGGCGCAGTTCTTCTCTAATAATAACAATTTGATAATCTGAAGACAACTTGTGCAGTAAACATCACAAAGTTTGGTTGAGAATCAGGGCAAAATGGAGCACGATGCAGGGAAGAGACAACGTGGGAATAGCATCACCACTACCCCCGAGAGACCGGCGAATAATGATGGGAGAGCTGTACCCGAGGCTCAGGTAACAGAGAGATCGCAAGAATCCAGGGAGATCAACAGCCACAACTCTCAGGGATATGGTCTACAATCGACCAATACATTCACAGCTAGTAGTAGCTCACCACCCACAAATCCGGCCCCCAGATATCCTTTTGAACGATCTACAAACTCATCTAGCCAAGAAGCTTCCGATGTGTCAAAGAAAAGTACACAGACCGTGGTCAAGCCAGCATTAGAACCTCCCGTCACCAAATCAACATTAAGTGAACTCGATGTGAATAAGATAGTACACAACCCCAAACTCCGACACGACATTAACTTCGATCCGGATTTACACTTTAGGCCCAATCTCGATGGAGAAAAGGGACGCAAGAAGAGTCAGAAGGCCAACGATTTCTGGGAAACGATGCGATCGCAACTTGAAGGCTTTTTGATGAGTAAAGATCGTGAGCAATTCGAGAAAGATTTGGGAGATGCGGAGTGGTGCTTGCCAGCCACACTGAAAGCCATCAAAGGCATTCTGGAAACATTAGTCCCACAGCGGGATCGGTCATCGGTCGAGGAGACCTTTAACGTTGATCTATTAATGCAGCAATTCCGAAAAGGCGTTGCTGATCTGAATAAACTTGCGTTGTGGCTATCACAGCTTTTGAAGTGCCATTGTGCGCCAATGAGAGACAGTTGGGTTGATGAGATGGTCGTTCACTTGAGTGAGGGTAACCAAAACGGAGATGTGGCAATGTTAGTCTCCGGAATGCGAAATCTGCTGGGTGTCTTGGAAGCTATGAAGCTCGTAAGTTCTATGCGATATGTACCTGGTAGACGTTTACTGATATGTGACTTAGGATGTTGCAAATCATCAGATCAGGTGTTTGCGCCCGCTGCTCATCGAAGACACTGTCCAATTTGAGCAAAAATTCTTTGTGAGGAAGATTGCAATGGGTAGAGTAGACGTCGCTTCAGCCCATGATTGGTTCAGAAGGGCATCAAACTTGCCAGATAGTCTTCCCTCGGATGCATCAACACGAACTCAAGGAAACACGTGGGACTTCATGAAAGCACTGGTAAATCTAACTCTACCATCGAAAGCCTTAGAACCTGTTCCTCACACCTTCCTATTCGATGAGGAGCGCCTTGTTAAACTTCGTGCGGATATGCTGGATCTAATTAACCTTGAGATTTGTATGTTCCTCTATCACAAACTTGATGCGGCATCCAAATCGAACGAGGCCCGATCTGTTCCACAGGATGATACACCTACTGCTTCGTCTTATATCTCCTCTCCTGCAGATGAAGGTGTACTCTCGGCGCCGACCGTGCCTTCGGAGAATGACTTTACAGCCAAACGCAAGTATAATCACATGGCACAGGAAAAAGGTCATTTCTCAAGAGAACTTTCAGGTCGACAAGTATGGGTACCAAATCTCGAAGACGAAGCTATGGAGTCCCTATCGTCTAGCCCAAGATCATCTCCATCAACGACTGCATCTACGCCCGAGACATATCCTGTAACGCCACTTTACCTGTCTATTCAGAATTCCGACTCTACGTCACAAGTGCGCACCTCTCTACAAGCTCTCCTGGCTTCTTCTTCGTCACAAGATAGGTGGGCCGTATTATCCTCGAACATTGCTTTGCAAATTCTTCGCTCAACACCAACACCTATGGCACGCCTTCCAGTATTCGAATCACATCTCCAATTTCATCTCTCAAATTCGCAATCCAGGATCTATCAAGAAGCAGAAACGTACATAATCTCGAAACTTTTCCCCAAGTTACAAAAGCTTGTCGAGTCGTATACTCCTTTGACGAGTCTCCAGATATTTGATGCTGCCACGTCGCCAAAACCTACGAATGGACTTATGAACCTGGGTACCCAAGCAACCGGACAAAAGGAGGAGATTTCAGATATTGCAACCAGAATTGCCCATATCGGTATCTTACACTGGCGGGTTTGGGCACCATTAGCATATCTTGTTAATCCTGATGCTGAGGATGAAGTCGACGTCAACATGATTCAAGATACCGATCTGCCGGTGGACGAGTCTTGAAGGATTGGCGAACTGCATATTTGCAAACATCAATCTTTCGAGGGTGCATTTTAACAGCAGAGCCGAGCCATAAAAACAGCATTTCAAAAGGTCCACTCACTCGGAGTCATATTCAAGTCAAACTCCGGATACATTATTGCGGCAAACATTATATGAATATGAAAGAAACAATATCTCCAAGAACGGCTGGAGACGAACTACTTCTATCACATATGCTAAAAAGTTTGGAAATCGCCACATAATCTTTTTTAACTTTACTTACCACATCTATTATAAATTCGCATTGTTCTTGGAGTCATTTGGGGCTGGGCAAGTCGGATCGGATTCTAGTCTTGCATACCTGCATTTTTCTTCAATTTTTGAAATTCTGATACCCAACGTCTGTCGTTTCCTTCGCGTCAATCGACTACAAATATCTGTACCATAGTTGTCGAACCATGATTCATGGTTGGTGTGTTTATTATCTGGGAAGCAACTAAAATCCACGCATCACTTAAGGGGTTCGGTTGGGGCCAAAACTTGTTTTCTGATCATTTTAAATGATTTATTTATCTATTAGAGACACGTTTGGAGTATGCGTGTGTGCGTCTTTTTTGCTTTATTTTGCAACCAACCAATTTGGCAAGGTACATTGCATGTCAGTATGTTTGGGTATGCGAAGTTTGGGATTTCAATTGGTGTTTTTTGTTTTTTTGGGATATGCCGGAATGGGATGGGATAGGTTGGGATGACAGGTGCATAATGTTAGATCTCGTCTAGACTTTCAGTGGGGGAAACAAAGGTTAAGGGATGAATTTGATTGTGATGAGAGGAAATGGCCTGTTTGAATTGCGAGGATTGGATTGGATGTTTGGATTGCGTGGTTGGTTGTATATTTTGGTAACTTGACAATTGTGTGCCAGTAAATGAATAAAATGGAAAATATTAAGAATTCAACATTGGGATTTGCGCTGGTTGATGTTGTAAACTTGTGAAGTGTTGAAGTTTTTGTCTAATGGTGGCAAGTGCCTTGGTTCATTTCCATCGATGGATTAGATTGATAGCCGATGCACACCTTATTGATGAAGTCAGTCACTGATGGTGAAATCTTGCAGCACATAGTGAAGTGGTCGCGGAGTGGTATAGAATGATTGCAGAAGGAGAATTTTCATGAAATGTCCCTTGTATATTATTATTGACTTTGACTTTATATGGTCATATTTGTGAATGATAAATGATGTATATACGTATCTATATAAGATAGAGACAAGAAATGATATCAATTCATGAGAATGTAGACGGGAATGGGGAGTCAGTTGATGTCTTTAGAGGAAGAGAAGATAGTGAGGATCTTGCGGGTAAATAGGGGGTACTAATTGGGAATTTGGCTGAAAGGGGAGGTGGACTGTATTGGTTTATGATGAGGATTGAGAGTGCAGGTGCAGGTGTAGATGTAGGTGTAAATAAGTTGGGCAGAGAGGTAGGTTCGTGGATATGATATAATGGACACAAGAATGCAATTGGAGAGTAGCGATCCGTTAAGAGACTCATTGGAAATTGGGTATTGGGTAAAGATATGTTCACAATATAATAGAGTGAGAGAAGCTGGTTTGAACTCAGACACACTCATCCGTAATTATTATGTTGGACTCGCAGTCTATCTCTAGAGGCAAGAGGTATCTGAAATCCAGATCTTTCTAACCATCTCAATGTTTGTTTATTTAACATTAATTTCACTCTCTCGCTTTCATCTCTGTTCTCAAATTCACCCTTTTCGAATCCATTCATCTGGTTAATATCATCTCATTCACTACCATCAACCATAATTCTCCCTACAATTCTTTACTCTTCCATTCAGAAAACCTAGGTAATTAAACTTGCTCTCACATTTTTCATTCATACTGCCTCTGTCGAAATTTCCAACATTGCTTTGGTCTTTCACTTTGACCTTGATGGCTACGATTCATCTCCTTCAGGTTCGGTTTCTGTCTCTTCATTTATCTGCTAGGTATCTCTCTCGACCTTTCGACACGTCGCGTAGGATTGGATTTGGATTTGGATTTGGATTTGTGTGTGGATAATTGATCATTGATAATTGATCATTGATAATTGACTCGAGAAACGCGACATAGACAGGATTCTCACTTGTCGAACTCATTCACTCTCACTTTTGATAATTCTTGGTCTTGATCTTGCTTTCTAAAAAGTTTATAACATTGTCACCTTTTTGATTGATAAAGAGGAGAGGAAGGGTGAATGGAAACAATCGAATCGCTGATAATTGCTAGAGAGGGGCTGGGCTTTGGGTACTATAAAGGTATGTATGTGTGTTGATTTCTGTGAAGCGAGGGAGAGAGAGTGATTTACTGATTGATTGATTAGAAAGATTGTACTTCTCAGCTTTGTTCAGTTTTCGCATTGAAAGAGTGCATACAGTTCAGTTGTAGGTTGAAGTTGATTCGAGAAGTATCTGGGAAAATATTGTACTTCTACTTTTACTTTCAAATTAATAAAAAAACCACCAGAGAGAAAATATCACAGCACCCATCCGACCCATCCTAACCATCCGACCCTCCTCGACTATTCTCGAACTCAAAACTCAAAATTTAACCAATAACAAATGCTTCCTCGAGGAGTACCTCCTTATCCGGGTCCCCTATCGATGACGCCAGAACAACAGTATGAGTTGGTGGAGGCGCGAGCGTTGATTACGGAGGAGGGCGATCGCATTCTGTTCGAAGAGGATATCACGCTCAATGTGGATTTTGGGACGGGGGTCGAGGAGAGACATGTGGAGGGGTGTGTGTGTGTGGTTTGTGGGGAGGTTGAGAGGGGGATGGGGAGGAGGACGGTTATTACTGGGGAGATGGGGTGGGGGGTGAGGATTCGGAGAGGGGTCGGGAGGGTGAGGAGAGTGGTGAGGAGGGTGAGGGTGGGAACTATGTTTGTGCTGATGAGAAGAGAGATGATGATCATGATGACAATGATCATGATGGAGAATCTTTATTTGTCGGCACGGGAAAAATGTCACAAGTAAAGATATCCAAGCCTCTGAGTCCAAAATTACACAGGATGAGAAGAAAAAATCAAGCTGGTTCTAGCACAGCGAGTATCTCGACCGTCTCAAGCATGTCAACCATTCATGCGGATGACTTGGAAAAGCGCAATGCATCACTTGAGCACGATGACGAGTACCAAGTAAGCGAAATGGATAGTTCTGAAGAAATCGAACATGATTCTTCTGGAGTTGCAATCGCTTACGCGCATGCGCCTTCGCCATCATCTGGTTCTGGAGAAAATTTTCTGCTCGAGAGAGGAAGGAGTGCGGGTCAGGATTCGCACGCGACTTGGGATTTGCAGGTCGAGAATAAGGATTGCGGGTCTAATAAGGCTAGAGGCGGGGCAGCAAGAAGTCTTTCCAAGGGAAGTCTATTAATCGGTAGAAGCAGAGATAAGGAAAAAGGAAGCGACGGCAGTGCAGGTTGTAGAACAAGCAAGGCATGGAACTTTGCTCGGAGTCTCAGCAGACGGAGCAATAATTCGGGACATTCATCACAGACAATCCGACCTGCAGAAGGTGATCATGCCATGCTTGGAGCGCAAATGGATGGGAGTGGATTCCCAGACCAGCATTCTTCTTTCGAGGAAGGAGAAAGTCTAAACATGAGCTTTCAAGGCGATGAGGATATTATGGAACCTCGAGGTGGCGCCAGACCATTTATTGGCCCGCGACGCAACCCCGAGATCCACGATTTCCCCAGATTCGACCCCGAACAATTTACTCCGAGTAAGAATAGGCATGCGACTTCCGATAAATCACGGAGAAGATCAGGCTCGGTATCCGACGTTTCGACTGTGGGGGCGCAGGAAGCGCGCTCACCATCTCCTTCTCTGCGATCGCGTCATTATAGTTGCCGCGGTTCGTTCTCACTCAATTGGGATAATATTTCTTCGGATACCGTGTATCATAAGCATGCGCGACGCTTTTATCAGAATCCGGCGGCGTACGGCGCGGAGATCCCGGGGTACAATCCCGAGACGGATAATCCGTATTTGGCTTATGATCGGTATCAGGAAGTGAGTGAGTGGGCGGATAGCACGGAGGAAGCGGATCCCGATCATGTTGTTGCGTTGACGACGAGGGAATTGAAGAGATTGTGTGGAGCGGAGATTCGGGTTCCTTTTGATTTTATTCCCGAGGGGTATGTTAATCCTCCTACTTCGAAGGCGGGAAGCGTGGTGGGTGATGATGAGGATGTTGCTTCGATTATGGAGATGGAAGGGATGGTGAAGAACTGGACTGGAACCGAGACATAAAAATTTGGTTGATCTTCTGGGGATGCCGGGATGGGCCCATGAGTGGGAAGATATGACGAAGATGCAGAGACATTTTCATATTGTTGCGGCGGGAGATTGGAGAATGGGCCCGGTGTTTGATGTTAAGAGTAATTATTCGGATTATTTTGGGGTACCGCTGTTTGAACCGAATGATGTGGGTCTGAATGGGGTTCATAGGAGAGAGGTACGTGGATTGGAGATTCCAGGTTTGAAGGAATTGGAGTTGAGGTTTAGATCGGAGGGCTGTGAGGGAGAGGATGGGTATGAGGAGAGAGATCAACGGAGATGTTCTGATGAGGATTTCAAGACTGGAAGTCCGACAGAATATGATAGTGATGGGTTTCTATATGATGATGATAAATGCGGAGAGGTTACAGGAAATTTCGATGCAACAGAATCGACAGCTTCCGAGGCGGATCGATTCTCTCGCCATCTTTCTGAAGTATCTCTGAGCAATAGATCTGGCGATGGATCCGAAGGAGATTATGCGGGTTCTATTGTCGAGGGATATGGCATTACAGATGAACATCGTACTGGCACCAACACCAACGTACGCATCGATGATAGTTTTCGAGGACGCATGGCACGTAGCTACACCTTCAACAGCAGATTCGGTCAAGAGATATGTGCGCCCTCTCATGCAGATAGTCTCATCAGCGAAGAACCATACGATACCGACGACGACGAAAACTACGAAAGCGACGATGGGGTATCTGCCAATTATTCTTTCGGTAATTCCTCATACCATGGTACGGAATGTCAAGAAGACTACGCAATCGGTACATCGAAATTCGCACCTCACGCATTCCAACTCTATCCTCCGTACGAAGCAGCTAATGATTGTACCACGATTGGTATTGCGCCTTCGGAAATACAAAATGCGCGTCCTGCGTCCTGGGATGCGGATTTCATGGAAGATATACTCGGCTATTCCGTGCACGAAGAAACTCACAAACCTCATGATCCAACTGCTGAAATGGTAATAATGAGTTATCTCGATCCTGTTCCCACATCAAGAAGATCTTCAACCGATGCAAAATCGAGATCGAGATCTTCGACAGGTTCATTAACACCCGTTCCGTCGCCTACAAAGTCTGCAAGAACCACTAAATCTTTCGTTCCAACTGTAAAATCACTTTCCCGAGCTTTCGCGAAGAATAGATCTCTCCCCTCAACACCAGAAGACGCATCATGCGAAACCTCTTCGAAATCCGCATCCAAGAGCGCAAGCTCCCTCCGCAAACCTTCACTCTCAACTGCCAACATCGCCAAACTCAACAACCACAAACACAAAGAAAGATCCTCCCTTCCCAAACCTCCCAGCCACAAAACCAAAAGCATACGCTCCAAAACCACCCTCTCCAAGATCTCCATCAAAGCCAAATCCAAATCCAAACCCATCCTCCTTTTCAAACCCCGCAAATCCAAGATCCCCGCCCCACCCAGCTCCACCTCCTCCAGCAACTCCAACACCTCCTACGTCGATCTCACGCGTTCCGGATCCGCATATGCAGTGCCCCCCGCCCAATCCCTGATTCTCTATCTCCACGGCCGCGGATTAGGCGCAGATCATATTGCGTATGTGATGCAGTCGCTCGATGAGAAATTTCTGTATGATTCGAATTCGAATTGGTGGCCGCTGGATTATGGATCTTTTGTTTCTGAGGCGAAACCTATGAGTTATTCGCATCCTGTGGGAAATCCTACTGTCGATATTCCTCTGTGCGCTAATCCCTCTTCGCTTCCTCCACCTTCTTCTCCCCAACCTTCCCTCCCTCCAAAAACAAACACAAACCCCAACACAACACCAATCCGTTTCCCATCGCACACACTCTTCACCCCCTCCACCGTCTCCCAAATCCTACAAAGATGCAAAAGAGAAGAAGAGTGGTGGGAGCCTGTCGACGCGCGTGATCCGGATGGGAAAGTGTTACCAGAGAGTTTTCGCTCTTTGAAAAAGGGGATGAGGGTTAGGAAGGCGAGGGGGCTGGTGAGGAAGACGGTGGAGAATTTTTTGTGGTGGAGGATTGGTGGGGGTGTGGGGGTGCCGCATGGGAATTTGATGAGGGGGTAGCTAGGGGAGATGGTAGGGGGAGGGAAGATCGGTGTGGTGTGGTGTGATATGCTGTGGTGTATGTGGAGATGAGACGAAACACGAGGTATCGATTCTGGAGAAAGATCGATCGATGATATTGTTCTTATTGTTTGGATCATATCTCGCGACTTGTGTTAGATGACGACGGCGGCGGCGACAACGAATTTGATGCTGTCGGATTTACATTTCTCATATTCCCCTTTCAATTTCGTGCCGAATATCTGTTTGAATGCCCCTCTATCTCACTTTCCCCCTCTCCTTTTCCCATTTTCTTTTCCATTTTCATTTTCCCTTCTTCTCTGAAGCGACAACTGTTCTGTTTGTTATTTGGGATAGCTATAGGAAGTTTAGGGCGGTTTAAAATTACTGAACTTTGATGATTTCTTTGATTGTTGATTCATCTTGATGATTTCAACGATATACTTTACTTACTTACGGCTTCTAGGAAAAGAGTGTAATTTGTAATACCTACATATTAGTAGATAGGAATACTATGCTATGCTTGTATAAAAGATTTAAAAAAGATTGCAGATAATAAGAAGTTGTGTGTTTGTTCTGTTGAGTTTTGCATATTGATGTTGCATACATACACACATAACAAGCCATGCAAATGATTTTCCGATGCCTAGGTAGACATAAAAGCTATTTACATTTGTGCATATGCATTTATTTGTTTATTCCCAGCAAACATAACCCTACCTATACAACGCCGAACGCTATGCTTATACCTGACTAGTAGCGCGTATTTTTATAAATGACCCGATGATCTTATGCCAACCCATGAGTGCTTCATGAAAACAACCTGCCCATTACTTATACCATTATGCATCTACTTTACTTTCTTCCACGTGTTCTTCAACACACCAAGCTTTCGTAAGTCCATCATCACCCGTCGTAATAACCATTTCTTCATCTGGGGTCTTCCTGCCATTGTCGAATCGCTGACACCATGTAACATGGTTAATTTCATACGGACCATGAGCACCTTCTAGAACCGTGAGGACCGTCCATTCCTTCTCAATAGTACCGCCTACACTATTTCGTCCCTTGGTTTGTTCCTCGTAGATGGCGATTTTGCCGTCTCCGCCGGTGGATACTATACGACCGGTTTGTTTACTCCAGCTAACGCTGTAGATGGGTAGATCGTGCACTTTGGGAAGCGTGGCCGTGCATTCCCAGGTCTCGTTTTCGGGGCCGGGGCGCATGGTACTGGGGATTCCGGGGTTGAAATAGGAGGGTTTGTTCTGGGGTGGTGGCGTGGGCACTTTGGACCAGATGCGTATGGTCATGTCTGCGGATGAGGAGAGGAGTCGTGGGGTAATTGGTGCGGAGGATTCGTCGCTAGACTCCGTCTTCATGAGAACTTCGGGCTCCCAATCTAGATTCCATACAGTGCCTTCGTGACCCTCTAGTGTAGCAACGGTCTCCCAGTCTCCCTCGCCATCTTCCCGGGATAGTAAAATAGTGTCGTCATAACTTCCACTTGCAAGAACCTCTCCATTGCCATCGTCTTTTCTCCAACAAACACATTTAACATCGGCCTTGTGATCTTGCAAAACTGCAACTGTTTCAAATTCATCTTCACCCTCCTCTCCTATTTCCTCCCAAATCCATATCGTCTTATCTCTCGAACAAGAAGCCAGCCATTGTCCACTGGGCGAATAAGCCACATTTTTAATCTCCGAATCATGCCCCTCCAACACAATCGAAAATTCCCAATCATCCCCCTCATCCTCCTCCTCTTCTCCTCCTCTTCTCAACTGCGCTCCTTTATTCACCTCCCCATCCGCTCCAATCTCCATCTCCAATGGTCCATCCCCACCATCATTTCCATTCCCATTCCCCGCATCCTCCTTCCGTCTCCAAATCCCCATCGTCGCATCAAAACTCCCCGTCGCAATCGTCAACGCACCATCTCTCCTAACCCCCGGTTTCCACGCCGCAGATCTCACACTTCTCTCATGGCCCCCTTCCAGAGTCGAATGCAACGTGAAGTTATTGAGCGAATAGACTCGGACCGATTTATCAGACGTCGCGGTTGCGATGAGAGGCAGTCCGTTGGGATTGGGAATGGATGCCCATGCGCGAGTCGCGGCTTGGGCTTGAAATCGGAGAGATGTTGGAGTCGCATTGTTGTGGTTGCGAGGAGGGTTTCTTGGGGTGGGAGGGGAAAATTTTATGGGAGGCTTTGGAGGGTAATGTTGGATGCGATAAGATGTCATTGGGGATTTGTTGATGACAAATAGTTGATATCGCTCGCGATTGATCGAATAGCTAGCCTGTAAAAATGAGAGAAAGTTCTAAGATGCCTCTCCCTCGAAATTGAATATAAATAAATATGTTCACATGTTTTGATTTTTTTTCCATATTAGCGAATGAATATGAGTTCTTGACAAAATGTTATTATCAGAAATCCAACAGGCAAAAGACTACTTTGCTGTTTTGATATTGAATTTTGATCAAGGTGTAGAATTTCGGTGTGTATGGTTACTGATCAGTGGTGCTGGCTGTCTTACACTTGTCTTTGAATTTATACTTGAGGATATGATCTCGAGACTCATTCTCACCAATGCAATCAATCCTTCAGGTCAAGTGGTTAATACATACTCATTCATCTCAAGCTGCAAAATCAAAAAGGTCGGTTAAGATAAATAGAAGAAAAGTATGGCTCTTGGTTCTGCATAGGAGTAATGGACATCTCATCTGGAGCTTGCGATCTCACGCATTTGCAGTTGTATCGAAGCAAGACGAAGTAAAAAGTACTGATATTGAGTAGTATTGGCTGTATACAAATGAATTGTGCTGCTAGTGCACACAATATTTCTTCAATAATGTCGTAACGCTACAGGAATTCCATCAATATCGAAATGGATTGCTAGTGCAGACGATCTTCCCACGCTGATTTCCTAACACTGAGGAAATTTTATCGAATTTTCAGATCTGACCTTAAAATTTTTGATTTCTGATATTCCTGTTTGCTATCTATCACTTTTGTCAGAATCAATCATCAAATTGGACAAGATGTTCAAAAAGCCGTCCATTTAAAGACAAGGCTTTCCACGTACTTCTTCGAATATGCAATTCTCCCATCTGTTGAACCGTTGCCGATTGTACTCTAACAGTTCACCGATTGCCTTGGAACGTCTATGAATTATCAACATCTGGAGGTCCAGAATAAGTAACAGTGACATTGCTACCTGGAGATAATGCACCACTTCCTAACTGAATGGCATTTCTTCGTCCACGATTCCTCATCTCCATGCGGCGGTCCTCGCCAGAAGACGCACCATCCATTCCTCGACGAGATCCTGAAAATCTCGAGTAACGATTTGTCGATATTTGAGCATAAATTTCTTCCCTTGTAAATCCACGTAGATATGGGTTGTCAGGAAACAAAATTGCAGCGTCAGAGTCTTGATCTTCGTCCCTTACTCCTTCAACGGCCCCAGCTCCCTCTCGACTGTGGTGCAATCTGGAATCATTCGGCCGCTCTTGCTGAGATGATGACATCGATTGTCGCTGTCGTTGGATCAGAAGCCGGAACTCACTTTCTAAAGCGTCCACTGCTCGAATAGCCGTCAACGATTGTGCGAAGATTTGTGCCCCACCCGAATTCTCAACTAATGCAACCGCAAGTCCTGAAATTTCTATATTGGCGGGTAAACGGGCATTGCCCGATTGGATCCAACGTCTCACCGTTTCGCGTTGAATTCCACCTGCTTTGAACAGCCCAGAGTAGAGCCTCACCAAAAAACCCGCGGTTGTTTGATGGGCAGTGTCGGTAAGACGGTCGACGGTAGCTAGCTCTATGATAGCTCGATTGACGAGAGCTTGATCGGCGGCAGCTTGATCGGTAAAAGGAGCAGCAGTTTGATCAGAGGCTATTGATTGATTATCCAGTGTGAAAGAGATCTCATTTATGCTGATATCAGCATAATCCGAAGGGTGCCACCCCCTGAGAAATTCATTCTCTGCTTCAGCAATTGTCAACATCTGAAGAGAGAGACTCGTAGTGGAGGGTGCCATTGATTGATTGACTGTAAATCTGACCGGCCTCTGCATGGCGGCAGCTTGATGGACGGGAATCTGACTGGCTATAGCTAGCACAGTGGCAAATTCATTGACGAGAGCTTGGTTGATTTGATCAACAGTCAAAGCTTGACGAGAGTTGGAGATAACTTGCTCCGAGGCAGTTGGGCTGGCGACATCTTCATCGGGAACAATTGGCACTTGAACAAATGCATAGGTGCGAGGTCGGTTTGGGACAGCTTGATTAGTATCATCTTGACGGGCAGAATCTGGAATAGGGACAAAGGAATAGTTGCCGGGATTTCGGTATGTGGAAACACCTTGATTGGGAGCACCTTGAATAGGAAAATATCCATCACTGGGAGATAGGTTTGGGGCAGCCTCATCGAGGCCATCTTGTCTGGGAACAGTTGGACGAGTAGACCCGTCCACAGGTGGTCCTTGATTTTCATTGCTCAAATGAACACTTTTTCGATCATGTTGAGAACTTGAACAATCTAGCTTATTGTTGATGCATCGCTTGGCTCTATCGCAGAGCGACGAATCGTGAATAGGTTGACCCATGATCACCGCAGTAAACCAGGCGGGAAGTAAAGAGCGTCTTTGCGAAGTGCGAATCGGATGTTTTGGAAGAGGATGGCAGTGCTAATATTAATGTCAACGGCGGTAGGATGACCTAGAAATAATAGCTAGAATAGTCTTCCTGGTTAATAATTGGATATCAGATAAGATGAATGATTATTGTATACGGCAAAGGTATGAATGTTATCGTATGCGGCAAAAGTTATGCTATGCTGAGACGAGACGAGAAATAATTTGCTGAATGGTGATATAATTGACATACTCAAAATGCGACTGTCGTGTCGAAGTTTGTTGTAGACAGTTAGCTGCTGCCACGAAGAAATAAACATCCAAAGACAAAAGAACCTATTCACTCTTGATAGAAACTGGCAAGAGCGAGCCATTTTTCCAATACTAGATAGTATCACTACGATTTTTACCTTAACTCTCTTGCGGGTATAGTCATATGAGATATTTCAGTAGGTTGTGAACATGTATTTGGAGTCTGCGGGTTGTTTGACATTGTGATATATAAGTGTCTAAATAAATATACCAAAGATTTAACTTCATCAATCTAAAATGACCTCGGCTGCAGATTTAAGACTATAAACCTAAGGACTACGATCTGAAGATCTATGTATACATAATCTTCCACCTACAATCTACACGACCGCCATCACAGCTTATGACCATATCTTGAACTCCAACATGCTCATTGATTGGATGTATAAAAGGGGCACATTCGATACTCAATTTCACAGATTCACAAAGCAACGAAATACTCTTGCATAAAAAACTACTGTATAATGTAAATGGTTATGATAATCTATGTACTAACTAAGAAGCCAGAAAGTATATACAACAACCGAATTCAACCCAATCCCCCAGCAACATAATGATGCTTCAAACAAAAAAAGCCGAGAACCGATTCTCTAAACACATGCGAGGATCTAATTCTAAATGAGCGACATGAAGTAAACTAGCTAACGGGTATGATTTCATAGCCCTTTCGTCGTCCCCCCTTTCCTCTTATCGCCCCCACCTCCCACTCCCTGCTGCCTACCCCACTTCCATTTCTGTCGAACCCTGAATCTAAGACCCCCACCAACAAGCATCTGCTTTGGGCTTCCCTTTCCCCTCCCAATTGCCTCTTTGGCACTCATCACACTCTTACTTAGGTATGCCCCGCCAGGTCTACCATTTGTGTATTTCCCAATCTCCACACCGACCAATCGCTCCTCGTCGTAAACAATCGTTGAATTGACTGCCTCCACATCTCGGTAATACAATTCCGTATCAATCGCATCATTATTAATGTCCAATCCACCAAATTCAAAAGTCTGACTCGTGCTACCATATCCGGAACTGCCGGCTGAAGTGCCCAAGTAATGAGCTGATCCACTTTGGATAGTTGAGAGCCGGGTTCCCGAGAACCCGGAAATGAGAGAAGCAGAGGAGGGTAGATAAGCAAACGGTTGAAGTCCGGATGGGAAGACTGAGGCTCCGGATATGAGGAGGTCGAGACCACGCGTTATGACGGCGTCAAGGGTGAAGTTTGTGGAAGAAAGGACTAGATAGGTTGTATTCACCCAGACGGGGTACGTATATTCGGACTTATATTTTGTGGAACTTCCTATTATGGAGGCATCGACGCCATGGGTTGTTGCGTTGTTTATTTGAATGGCGCCGAAAGCGGTGTATTGACCATAGTTCAGAGCGCTTAATTCCTGAGTCCATGTTGAAGTCGAGGTACCATTTTCCGTAACGACGGTAGATGAAATAGATAGCGAACGCTGAACGTTGGTTGTATAAGTGAGTGTTTCGTTTGCGCCAGTTGCATTTTGAGTGAGGAGTTGTGAAGTAGTGATGATAGGAGCTGGAAGCGAGAGTGTGGGTGCAGTACCGGTAGTGACAGAGTCATTGGAGTCAAGCCATATAAAGATTTTGCCTGTGACGAGCCAGTAACTACCTACTGTATCAATCAGGGTACCACTTCCCTCACCATCGTCTATAACCCCTGCAACTCGGATCTCAAAGGTATGTTCAGATCCGTCACAGAGGACAGGAAGCCAAGGTGTGATGTCGATCTCGTGTTCACGTAGATCGAAAGCATCAAGTCCTACAATTGGTCTCCAAAGTCCTGGTACGATACCACCAGTAAAGACCACTGGAAATGGCCATTGTACACCGGCCAATTGACCATCGATCAAAACCTGGACTTCACGAAATGGTGAATATCCATAAAGTGTCCCATCGTAATCCTCAAATGTTGCGACGTCTGACTGGAGCACGTTGCCCCACCAAAATTCCTCAGTTGATTGACCACATGCCGAGATAGAGAAGACGGCACGATTGGCGTTCTGTGGGAAGCTAATGGTGTTTGTGGCGTTATCGCCCGGTAATGTGAAAACACTCACAGCATCTTCTGCACCGTGCCTTGCGGAGATTGGAAGAATCAGATCAGCCGGCTCAACAGTTTCTTGGCTTGTGAAAAATGTAGCTGTAAGCGTGGTATAGTAATAGCCAGTGTAGGTGCTATCAATCAGATTTCCAAGATCGAAAATGAGTGTTTGGGGGGAGTTCCAAAAATAAAGATACTCCGTCATATCCTTAAGATATTCCCATCTAATTCCAGCCGTAGTTGGTTCTGCGGTAGATGTTCTCCAAACTTCAGAGTCTCCAAAATACATTATTGCAAGACGATCGAATTGACGACCGCTTGAAGTGACTGTAAAATTCATAACAACTCTATTGAACGTGCAGTTAGGTGGCGTATAATTGCCTGTAAGATCATTAGCTGATTGGCAATTGCAAGATTTTATATTTCAATTCATACCAACAAATGGGATGCCATAGCTGTAGCCAAAGGTATGTTCCATCAGAACAACCTTGCAGCTTGTAGCAACATTCGTTGACGCGATTATCGACGTCTCCTCAACTCCATCATATGATGCTGTCTCATCAGACACACCAGGTGGGATGAGAACTGGTTGATAAACCTGAAATACTTCAAGTACTGCGGAAGTGGGAGTAGCAGAGGGTGCTGGTGCAGCAGAATATCTGACCAAGTTAGATTTTGGTGGAATATCCACCACATCCTCTAAAAAGCACGATCGTAACAGCCATATCATTGACAGAACGCAGCTGATTAAAATAAGAAGGAATATTTTGATATTTTTGATTGTTTTTCGATTTTTGTTGTCGGGCTCACAATTGGTGTCAATCGGTCGAAGATGATCACCAAAATAAGTGTCTCCCTTTGAGTCAAACAGATTTTCTGTTCCTGCTGACATTGTAACTTCTGAAGTTGGAAACGATCCACCGGGGAACAAGGGTGGATTAGACAAGGTAAGGATAAGGGTGCAGTAAATCGATAATCAATTGAGCCACTGTGGCACCGTCAATTGTGGCACTTCTCAACTGTGCTGGGAATCCCAATATCTCTTTCGCGCTGCTGTTGCGAGTTCAACACCTTGGAATCGATTTTGAAAGTAATTGAAGACACCGAATTCTTCGCGAGTCATCACATATGTGGTGGGTTCTTCTTGTAACTTCCTCCAGATATTGTTGATTGCGACTTCTAAGACACCGATGACGATTGGATCTCTAATTTCTTCCTCACTGTCTCGAGCAATTTCCAAAGCTTGAGATACTGAAAGAGTGCCGACAGAAGCTTGTCTATACGCCTCTTGGCTGGTTAAATGGCCGTTCATAATTGCATGGAGCGATAAGGAGGGGTCGAAATGATCCGGGTTATCGAGGTGCGTCTTAGCAAACGACGAAAGAGGAAGGTGAGAATCTTGAATGAAAGGCATGGTGGCGGAGTAATATGTAGTAAACGGAATGGTTTTATCGAGTTGCATTAGCTGTCATATGATAAGTACTCGAGTACTTTGTATGATCTCGATGTGATTCGGGCTTTTGCCTGATTGCGGAAGCACTGCAGCTCAGCTTGACCGACCAATAACTCTTCTGGGAAGGTAATCGTAGATGAAGGGATGGATTCGACGCTTTTGTATATCTGCTTGGGTTTTGCGTGGTGATCTTAAAGGAGTGGATTCGATATGATTTCGATATGTAATGGTAAGAGAAATTCTATTGGAAAGAGTGAAGCAAAAGCAGAGAGACTGGCTTGAAGAGGTTGTGTCCTATATAGTAAGATTCAAAAAGTATAAGTTCATGACTTGCGCCTGATAGGTCTCCAAAATCTTATTACAGACATTGAACCCTGGTATCGTGGAAAGTATAAGATCCAATTAAATTGGAACATTTCCGCGCTCTGTCACAGGAAGAAAATGCTTGTAAGTGCTTGCGGAGTCAAATATCAAAGCTCCTGGGCCCTGGGGACAACAGGGAATCAGAACATCATCATTTTTCAGACCAAATTTAACTAATAGGTCGATTCGTCGAGTCAGTAAATATGGAGTTTCAACCCAAAGTTAAACAGTTGAACGTCTTATGCAAAATTGCGATATTTGCTTGAATCGAATTCATCTCGTTTCTCCCGTGTACCGACGGTAAAAGTAAACTCTGACACCAAGGTTTTTGCATACATCTGTCTCTTAGCATTCCCATACTTTTACCCGACTACTGTGACCTGCTGACTGGTCCATCGATTTTGAACCTACGACTTTTGTCCACCACCATTATAGCACCAAGGTCTCTGTCGTATGTAAGGTTTGACTAGATGATAGGGTTTAGATGCAGCAGAGCTGCAAAAAGACCCTAATTTAGCAATCTAGACCAGGAATGCAAGACCGGAGCACAACGCCTAAATCCGACTGCACAATCTACTAGTAATCAGATCTCGATCCTTCCTCAACGTACACACGTACTTGGTTGGCCGACTGGAATCCTTACATAAATCCAACACTGATTGAGATATCTCAATATAAAATTTGATATGACATTGACTCATCGGAGACTTTATCCCGGCGGCCAGACATTCATGCTAAACGAGCCTCCGAAGTGTTCTAGTGGCAAAAGAAGCAACGACATGGAATTCCCTAGGCTAAGACGGAGTGCAGAACTCTATAACCGAAAAGAACGACAGATATTAGAAATTTGGAAACCACTTCGAAAATTAGAGCTGTATAATTTTAGCATGATTAATAGCTTCCTCAGAAGCACGGAGCAACTGCCACTTCAGCCATAGTCTGCTGCTAAGCGAATGGGGAACAAATAAAGTATAATCGTCTCCCCTGCGATTTCAGATCATCTCGCGCTTCGCTCTTCGCACATCAACCTCTTCATGGCTCTCTTCACCATATTTGAATTAAAAGAGAGTTTCCATCCATGAATCAATCCATGACCGATCAATGAACAGATATTCAAAGCTATAACATAACTCGTAAGTTGTTTTAAGATTAGGGGGCTGAGGGGGCGAGGGGGGTTCACAGATACACCGTTGGGACGTATTGTGCACATCCAGTACCGTTCAACATCTGATTTCGATACTGGGTCAACTTGGGTCACGAGGAATGGCGCCACCGACTTGGGAAAACATCTGCTCAACCATAAGCAATCCCAGAATCAGTAACAGTCAAGGCATAAAGTCAATGTCTCGTGCTGACTCAGGTATTTATTGGCTGAAGGTTAAACTTCGCTACACGATTAACTTTTCCAACAACTACAGAATTTTTCCAATTACTAGATAAATATTCTATTGAGTTTTCACGTCTGGATTTCAAAGGAAAGTATCGTTCTCGCCACATCACCAAAATGTTGGAGCAAACTCAAATCTCATCCCCCCTCACCCCCATCCAAAATATTAAAAAAAATTATGCCTCGGATCCGACGATAGCTTCGGACTACGAGTCAACTCTTGGAATTTACATTCCACAAGTTACAACAATGCATTTGGTATCTGAACGATCGTTTGTATCAAGATCCAAATGATGATCTCCGTCTTCTCGGCTCATCCATTCGCAATTCTTTCCCGTATTCTTTCCATCTCCGTGCTGCATTGAGAAGTCGTCCCGGATTTCTAGAACTCTAATCAAACAACAATTTCCTCATTTCTATCCCGGGTCAAAAGAACAGGACAGACCTTGCCATATTTCCGCTATATCCGCAGCTGCCGCTCACTCAAAAGAGTGCAGTGACATGCATTTTCCTTGCCCAGAATTTTTATCATCTTGGCTCTCTTGGCCGTCCCCTCCTTCACTATCCCCTTCACATGTTCAAGGATACTATGGCCCTTCCCTTCCCTTCATGTTTTCAAGGGTAATATGGTCGATCTATCGACTTGTAGTTCGTGAAGCATCTGTAAATCAAAATTCAAAATTTCGCCCTTGACACACTAGCCACAAAATTCGGAGATTTCGAGGAATCTCGGATTTGTAGCCACAACGACAGGCAGCCAAATCCAGACTTTCTAATTGATCGACTCATTGATTGGTGGAATACTTCCGCGCTGCAGAGGAGCTCAGGAGTCAGGGAGCATCATCCAAAGGATGGCCCCCTCCCGCGCCCCGCACTTTTGGGAGGTCAGCGACCCTCCCTTACTTCTTTTTGACATATCTCCGTCCCTTGAGTGCTTCATGTATTTAATCTCCATATTATTTTAAACCCGGCACTTGTTATATCCGTTGGTCTGATAAGAGAGAAGCCGTTTGATGCACGCACGTCGCACTCCTGGTAATTACTACGCCATATTTTACTGGGACCTGGGAAGAACCCTTTTATTCAGTAGCGAACTTGGTGCCTGTTTGATTACTTCCAACAATCAGCCTCATGTTCACAGCTGTCAACTAGTGAATCCTAATTCAACATGCAATGCAAAACATACGGTACAGATTCCAACGCAATCTTTTAAACTTCTCGGGACAAGGTTCCGATCCTAGTCTCAGAATGTCCAAAACTTCTTCGCGTAGAGTCGTGGTTGTCTATAACCGAGCGGTGCGACAAGTGCAAAGTTTAACTTTGTGCCCCTGACTCGCCGTCAGCACGTGCTCAGCTCATGATTAGTGGTTGTACGCAAATAATACTGCCGAGTTGCCTTGCTGACAGTCCCGGCAATACTCAGCACTAAATGAAGAGTTTCCAAATCCTGAAAGAGATAGATCTCCACTAGATTGGTTCATATAAAATATGATACGCGTACGGAGTACGGCAATGACTTTATGGTAGCTCATTTGTCATCCGCTTATTTCCCAAGCCCTATCTCGAGCCCACCTTTTGTTGGCCGACTCTCTCAAATTTACTATGTCATCTGAAGTTCAAATAAAAGTATGTAGGTTGGACTTCGGTTTGGGGGGCGGGTTCTCTTCGGACAGCTCGAAAGAAAGACAAAATGATTACATGAAATCATCGTGGCCAGCAAGTACGCGCGCGTTGGAGGATTCACCCCACCAGTCCATGTATGAGTGATGGATTTAAAAGCAAAAATCTTACTTTTTCGACCACATCAATTTATTAAACTTTGTTATAAATTCTGTTATCCAATTGCAGGATTAACTCCCCGAGTATAGGTATATGCTTGCCAAACATTTTGTCATGATTACTGATCTCCGCGACGGGAGATCAGTGGAGCCTCATATTGTACAAAAAAGATACAAAACATTGATGAAGCCGACGAAATCGCTTAAATCGGCTGTGACGGAGTTGAGATTCAAGTCATTTCTGGAAATTTCGATGTATTTGCCTTGAAACAAACTCTACTTACAAGTAGTCCACATAAGACCGAGATTTGCGGCCTCATTCCACTATTTGAGCGTATCCTCTACACATGTTCGTGTCGTCGATGTCATACACCTGAACTTGAAAGAGCACGCCTTGACACGTCACACATGTATATTTGGGGGACCGCCATCAAAAGGTGCCAGAGGTGGTTTTTTCTAGGGGTGTCAAAAAGCTTATTTGATCTTCCTACTTCAAATTTGATGAACAGACATTAATTGCTAGTGTGAACCTTACGTCCCAAAAAGGGCAAAGCGTAGGCGAGCCACAGGATTCCAGCCGCCTTGCCACGCGCCAACAATTTTATGCTTTGCTTTAGTCAAGCTGCACTAATGGTATCTTCCTACACTAGATCTCAACTCAGCCGCTCAGGCTTGAGAAGAAGCGCTTAGTGTCACCTAAGGAGTTGACACTAGGCACCTATTCACGTTGCTGCCAAAGGGCCCTAGATTTGCCGAGTAGACTTGGTAGAGACAAAGTATGATCTGCTCATGAATCGCATCAAATAGGATTCAATGACTCTTTGACCTTTTTTTTTACGTGTGTAGGATCTTTTAAGTTCATGTTGTCGTGATTGCGTTGATTGGTTTTTCATGTCACCCTTTATACTCTGTGGATGACACACATCATCAGGCAGTAAAATGACATGTTTCAGAACCCATTCTCCTGGATTGAAGTTTCCTTCTGGGACTGCGGAAGGTTTAAACATCGAGCTAGTGGCTCCGATCATGTGCAAGACACGTGAGTCTGATATTTCTTCTTCAACATTTTCCACTTTATGGATAGGATAAGACATTTCCCAATGGAAACTTTGTTCTGCAGAGACACTTCAACATGATTTGTCTGCTTTACGAAGCAACCAAACTCCTCTCAAACTTTACTACTATCTGACTTTTCCCACGAATCTCACCGTTTTTTTCTTTTCAGACAATTTATACCGGGGGGCAGCGAAAAGAACATGAAGATTGAGGAATAAGGACAAACTTGTCGATAGAAAGTTCCTTGGCTTCTATTTACGAGTAACAAAAGTATCAATTCAAAGTTCGTTTCGAATATCTTGTTTCGCCTGAACTTGCAAACTTTGTACCATTTCTTAGGGCATGACGATTAATGACGTACTAGGTATGTCCGCAAGACAATCTCAAATTTTTACGCTCAAACTTTGAGGCTTTTTCATATGTATTGCTGTCATACATTTTTGACCGCTACTGGCCATGTCTATTCCAAACACCCTTCATGTCTATATTGCTGTCCCCAAAATGCGGGTGCAATTGATAAGACATATGATGTTCTCGATAAAAAATTATGTAGTGTCCACTATTTTCAGTTCGGTAGGCGATCTTTTGTAGACAGTACACTAAAGTGTTAATCATGACGTTAACACCTTCCACACAACTTGGGGTTGGCAGTGGTGACATTTTTAGCAATTTCCAGCTCGTGCATTCTGTGTCCCTTGTCTTCTTGTCTTGCGAATCATCTACATTGCAAGTTCTGCATGTCATTGGGTTCGTACGCATTTGTGCATCTCGAAAGTTATAGTCTCCACTTGTATACTATCTATAATGTTTAATTCTACCCTACATACATTTGCAGTCCTACTGCTTCTGCTACCTACAGTTCTTGCAGCATCAAAAGCATATGTAGAACTGGTCAATGGAACACCATACGACTGGCACTTGATATCTAATGAAACACATCACATGAGATGGTTTCCCAATACCACGATTCCATCTGGTATTCAAGCTACGTCCTATTCCTTATGCGCAGTCCCAATTCTAACAAAACAACACAGGCACCAGCGCCGAATCCTGTATCTCATGGATTCTATATCTACGGGACGCAAAGGCTGAAGCAACATATCGTATCGATAATCCTTCATCCCCTGAATCTTTCACCGTCCGAGCCCGTCGGAATCCAACCAAAATCGAGGTTGTCTATCATGAAAACCTCTCCTCTCTCAACAATCCCAAAAATTCAATCATCGACCTGGTTTACAGCAAAAATCATCCGCATCCATTCATTCTCGCAGGAAACGGTATCTCAACCCCCTATGTCAGCTCTAACCCTCCAATCCCCTGGATGCAAAGTACGATTTCCACTCTCTCCTCAAGACCTCTCCGTCAAATCAGTATGCCCATGGCTCACAATGCGGGCGCTAATATCGTAAGCGATTCACTAAAAGGACCAGGCACATTACACAACACACAAACACAATTCAATTCCGTATTTATGCAACTAATTTTCGGAGCCCGCTGGTTAGATATACGACCTGTGTTTTATGAAGGGAAATGGATGACTTACCATAGTACATTTGCCTCAGGGAAGATGTGGGGTGCCACGGGTCAAAGTATCGAGAGTGTAATTGAAGATGTGAATAGATTTACAAAAGCACACCCCGGAGAACTCATCGTGCTTGATATATCACATGATGCAAGCAATGCGTGGAAATGGAGGAAATGGAGGAAATTTGATGCGATTGATTGGATGAAGCTTTTTGAGTTATTGAGTGGTATTCGTAATGCGTGGCAGGAACCACGGAGATTGGGTTGGGATTTGTCGCTTTTACCTTTTGACACTTTTGTGACGAAGGGGGGTAATAGTACGGTTCTGGTGAGGATTCCTTGCGATGCACAGATACCGGTTTCGATGTTGCCTGGGAGGGGAAAAAGAGATACAAATACCACCCTGGCAGCATCTTCAGCTGGCTGCGATTCTGTCAGTTTTGATGATTATCTTGCACCCTTGAACACCACAGGTTCGCTCGAATCACAAGAGTTGTCTTCTTCCCCTATTGATAAGCGGAAAATATCTAAAATTCCTGGTGGCATTCGTAAGTATTGCTTGTCCTTTGATATTGCAGTTCCTAGCTTTAAAGTCGATTTGAATATTACAATCCATAAAGTCTTCCCTTCTGCATCCAGTCTCAGATCCTTAGCTCCTTGTACATTGCAGCGTTTATATCGTAATCTCACTTCATCTTCACGTCTTTACTCCCTTAAACATATCATTTCTATCAATATCCCCCTATAAAATCCCGACCGCCTTAAACTAACCACTCAATCCAGTGCCTGACCCTCTCTCCCGCCGCACCGACTACAAAATGACCTTCACTCCCCTCCCCGCGACCCGCCTCCCCGTAACCGGGCACAACTCCGCCACTGACTCTCCTTCCCATCTAGCCTCCTCCCAACTCCACCTCCTCTCCCTACACAAATCCTCTCCCGCCATTACCCCACAAACCCCGCACAAATGCATAAATCATCCTGGATTCTCTTTCAACCGTCTACGTTCCAGGCTGATGTCGGTAATTGGTGGAGTTCTATACTTGGGTACGCGATATTGGCGCAGCGGAGCTTGTTTAGGAATTTTGGAGGACTTGTACAGGGAAGAGGGAAATCAGGAAAGCCGAATTTGATTGAGGTGGATTATATCAGGACTCCGGATGTGGCGGCGTTGGCTATGGCGGTCAATGTTTGGGAGGAGTAAAAGAGGGCATTGGGAGGGAAGAGAAAGGAGATGTCATTTCGACGACTCTATGAGAATGCGGGAGAGCTAGATGGAGGCTAGGGTAAGGAGGAGGCCGATACTGTGTATCACATAAAAGCACATTTTCTTTTAATGTTTATTCTGTAATATCTAATTGTTTAGTAAATCGACCTATGTTTTGCATCACAACTTCGCATGACTAGAGTAGAAACAAAAGGTGGTTGATAGATGCAGACGCTACGGCCAGATGCATTTACAAACATGACTCCAATCCTCAATGATCTGACTCGGAGACCTGCTAGTGTGGTTGGTGTAACGTACTTGTGAGAATTAAGTCGCGCAATTCTACATCACTAGTCTTCCGGAGAATGATTGTAGCATATAGGGCTTGCCTGCAGCTTTTGTGTTTTTGTTTCCTCTTTTGTGAGTAGTGCCATACCATCACCACCCGAAAGGATGATTTTCTTTTTCAATGCAGAATGAAACATTCTACAGATGGGTTTTAAATAACCTATGACGAGTGAGTGAATGCGGGCTTGAAAGAGCTCATGGGTCTGCAGTAGCATTGTGATTGTTTCAGGATCATGGCAGGTAGAAAAGAGAATTGGGTATCTTATTGGCTAGGAGGTATTTGCCAGGACAAATGTAAATAGCAAGGTCATATAAGAATGAAATATACCCATCAGGCATCGAGGAATGGTTGGAATGTAAGTGTGCTACTATATATACATTGGCAGTATTGATATCAGTTGAAAAGATATACAGTACTTAGTGATTACCATGGCAGTAGTCCCCGGGTAGCTAGCGGAACGTCATATCAATTGCTTCTTTTGCATTTTTGTGATAATTTTCGATATTATAACTGAGAAATATTAGATGAGGCGTTATCACTAGGGAATGGCATGTTGCGCGCTTGAGCGTTTGGGAGTACCGAGTGGGTGGAAATTCTGAAGTCAAACTACACTTTGCCACTCGTCCCAAGCCCACGAACATCGACTCGAGACGAACAACCAGCCATCATCTCGAATCCATTTCAATCTCCCAAATATTCATCACACAAGAACCATTTTCACGAACCAAATCCGTTCCAAAAGACAAATTGATGGTGATCATGATCAATGGAGGTATTTCATTCCCAAATGCTGCAGGTGTGAAAGTACTATGCTCTATATGTAGATTCTGAGCCTAGCCATCGATCGTCGCGACAGCAAAACACCATATCCCATTCCCCCCAAGAAGCAAAATCGTTAACATATTCGTTTATGATCTTGGCTTCTCCTTCTTCTCCTTCCACAAAGCAGACAATCCGACACCAGAGACCTTGACGACCTTGAAACGAACACCAGGAATATCTCCCTTGGCCTTTCCCTTACGACCGAAACCAGCGAGGAGAACCTCGTCGTTCTCATCGACAAAGTTAAGACAACCATCGTTAGGAACTGTAAAAAAAAAAATGTTAGTATCTCTTCTTCATTTTCATTTCTGCAATTCCTCCAACTGCCTTGAATCATCCGTCTCTCGACCGCAGATCTTCAATTTATCCTCCACTACGTCGCAGGAATCCCATGATATAAAATAATCCACATACCGAAAGCAGTGACCTTCTTTCCGTTCTTGATCAACTGGACTCTGACACACTTTCGGATAGCGGAGTTAGGTTGTTTGGCCTCGACTCCGACCTTCTCGAGAACGATACCCTTGGCGTGGGAGGAACCTCCGAATGGCGAGGACTTGAAAGCGGTACCCAAAGCACGCTTCTTGTAGGACAAATCAGACCATCTTTGCTCGCGACGATGGTTTTGAAGTTTGCGAGCGGCGTTGAGACCTCTTGGCTTTCCTTTACCCATGATTGCTATTGAGAAATTTCGAATTAGCTGCTGATTGAAATTTATTGAGAGTATAAATCGTAGAGAAATTGGGTATGTACCGAATTAAGGCGATAACGGGAATTGATGGGTTATGGTTAGTTGTCGATATGTCGTTGCGAAAGCTGGAGAGAAGAATTTCAAAATCACAATGAGTGCGTGAAGCTAAAATGCGCTAAGCGAACAAATGAATTTCTGGGCAGAATAAATTGTGGCCTGAAAGTAGTCAGAATTGATTTTATTTTAAGGCATCCGCATTGATGCAAATTGTCGGCGATAACAATCACTGATAAGAAGTTCGATGTCTCATAGCTCCCGGCTTCTCCAAATTACTTCCATACAAATATACAATCTTTTCGTTCCAAGGCCCATCATGGATCAATCACCAAAATCAAAACGACCAGTTCGTGATCCACCTCCAGTACTCTTTACTACACCTTCTCAAAATGCCTCTCACGTATCATTAGAAGGTGCTCTAGCACCTGCACAATCCAATCAATCATCAACCTTATATCCCACCACTTCTAGAAATTCTCTTGTCCGTCAAAGATCCCAAAGGTTACCATTGCGAACTAATCTCGATGGACCCACCGATACAGCTCCCATAGCTTCCCTTCCTCGCGCAGGGAAAGCTCCTTCCGAAGGACAAAAACAAGCTGCGAGAACCGATGCATTATGGGCTGAAATGCAGAGTACATTAGAAGAAGTTGAGCTTAGTGCTGTGAATGCGACACATGTATTTGGACCTGAACATAGTAGAGCTCTAGAAGAATTACGGAAAACACAAATAGCTTTGGCGCAAGCGTGGGCTAGGAGTGAAGCGGATGATGTGGTTGATGAGGGACGTAAGGGTGATATTGGGGGTGGGACATTGGGAAGTGAGGGGAAGAGTGCTCTAGATGGACCGGGAATGACGGCGACATCTGGAACGGATGGAGGAAGGAGTACTACCACAAGTGGGGTTCATAGTGGAGGCGGAGAGAAGATGGGTAGTAAATTGGAAGAGGACACAAAGGCAGATATTGTATTGGCAAGGAAGAGAAGGGAGGCCAACGATAGGTATTTCCAAAGGGTCAATGAAGGAGTTCTTGATGTGGTAGCAAAGTTGGAGGAAGTTGCTTCTGCAATGAGATCTGTGGAACAAGAGAGTCGAGATATTTGGGGTGACAATGAAACTATGGATACTGCCAGTATTCAAAGTTCAGTGCCTTGAACCATGACGTAAGAGCTCTAATCTCGACTTTGAAGGGTCGAGGAACGGTCTTTACATCCATCTTAGCACTTGTCTTGGTTGTATACTATATATGAGCATTCGAATGGGTATTAGCGAAGGTGTTTTGGTTATTGAAAATTGGAGACTGGAGACTGGCGCAAAGGAATAGCTTCTGCAAGGAATGCGTGGATGCGCAGGAGGGTAAAATAATCTGGTATAATGTTCGATTATGCGTATAATGTATTATCATTTTGGCTCAAATGCCACCTCTCACAACGTTTCAAGCACACCTTCTATGCCAAATGTCGTTGAGATCCAGACCTCGATTTGACATAAATTCATCCCCCCTCCAAACGCCATGCAAATCCCCTCTCCCAAAGATTTAGTTACCAACAAATAGAGAAACCTATTGTCATTCATTAGCAATTCTCCAATCTAGCCAAGTAGAGTACAACTCACAGCCATGACAACACAGCAGACACTTATATAAGGACTCAATCGCTCTCCTATCCTCGCACATTTCCAGAACAACCCAGTAAAAGTGCTAGTTTCCATCAGTATTCCAGTTTCCAGCTTTGTTCACAACAGATGCTATCATACCCTTCCTTATTCCGATCCATAATATTGGGAAACAATTGATGTGCGTATGCGCTCGTACATATGAGGAGAAGGAGCACTAGCAGCGCTGATTGGAAATTGAAGAGAGCTGACTAGACAGCTTGTTAGTACTTTTGCGCAAGAGGAATTCGCATACGCAGAGTCCTCAACTAAAATTTCTGGGCTTGACAAACCATTTTGTAGGGTAATAGTCGAAATCACAGGAAGACTTTTAGATGATTGGAGTGTTCCTCAACATATAAATCTGTAAATGCCATCTATCAAACACATTTCCATTCACATGCATACATTGGGGAATCGGTAACCGGACTATCTACACACCCGCTTTCCGGACAAATTATTAATCGTAGTATAGCTCGCGGAAGCTCTGCGACTCTACTTTAGATCAAAGATTCGATTTCCTCCCAAAGTGACAGACAATACCATCACAAGAAACGTGTCAATAGATCTACTTTATAGCACTTGATACTTGCGCTCACGGATTCATCGATCCAGAAAGTGACTGAAAATACAACTATTTACCAGAACTACAACGATCAAATTTGGGAACATACCAATTATTAGTATCAGACTTCTTCTCTACAAAACGCGCGCAACCCATCACATCATACATCAGCTATTCCAATCCAAATTTCATATTACCTCAAAAAATGTCTGAACCAAGAGCTCGCGCAGCCAAAAACCGCGGTCAGCAAAACTTCACCGAAGCAGAACGTACGTTTCAATCTTTCCCTACGGTTCTTCCTCTTCTATTTCTACCAATGAACTCCCAAACTAATCCAACCTATCCAGTAAAATCTTTCCTCCACGCTCACGGTGACGTCCATCATGCCCTTGAAACCACGACCAAAACCCTCGATGAAATAGTGACTGATTTCATCATCGAGCTCTGTTTTGAAGCTTCTCGCGCAGCCCAAATAGCTGGCCGACAAAAAGTTAAACTCGATGATATTAAATTTGCTTGTCGAAAGAATCCTGCATTTCTGGGGAAAATCACAGAGGTATTTGAGAAGAAGATGTTTATCGACGAGGCGAAGAAAACTTTTGATGCGACGGATGATAAGTTGACGAAGAGTAGTGGGGGGAAAGTAGAGACCTTGGGAGAGGAGGATGATGTGGAGGATGTGGTGAATGTTGTTAAGGGTAGGAAGGGGATGGGGAGTGATTAGGGGACCATGAGGCCATGAGATATACTTTGGGAAACTGGCATTTGGAGTTGGATAGGATAGGTTGATACCCATATTAGGAGTTTGTTTTTCGGAATCAATCATAATCTTTTACGTCTTTTGATTACTGACTTTATTGTCACCTCCTTGTACATATTTGATCACTCATGAAATCGGTATTCTTGAATCTTGGCTCCAAGTGGAAGCAATTATTCGACGTTACTTGTCGATGTTCCATATATTCAAGCGATTTTCTTTAAGAGACTTATAATTAGGTTGGAATTCCAAGTCCGATTAGTCCATAAGAAGAGAGGTCTATGTCAATATCTCGATTTCCAATTAAAGCTGGATGTGCTAGCTCTCGTCCATACTGTGATACATACATTGTATACTCCATGATGAAAGGATGCCACTATATTCTCACCACACCGAACAATATCTCCTCTTCATTTTACACAAGTAGACTATATCAATCTTAATATGTTCTGATAATCATCTCTTCTCAATTTTACCAGTGACTGTTTCTAGAAGGCCATTTACATATCGAAGGCTTCGAATCATTTGTTAGTTGCTCTCACCCTTTGTCTTTATACATTCATTTCTTCTTTCCCACCACTGCAATCTATCTTGACTGGATTCGAGATTACTGCCGCATTCATTCTTCCTCTCCATTTATTTCTTGCTCTGCTACGAAATTATACACAAGATGAAAGCATAAACCAAGCCGTAGATTCTATCCAGATACTGTATCTATCCATGAAATCGATCGATTTGTTCAAATCAAGAATCAACTCCAGACCCAAAGTCTCGGCTGAAAGCGTAAGAATTTAGCTATCAAGAGTCTGTATTGTTTTCTGGATGGAATAATGAGTATTTCAGGAACGCACATACCCATGGTACCTTTATTCCAGTCTGTAATTGATTTTGGATACTACGATTTGTATGATTTTCCAAAAAAATTGCTGCACGGAATGATTTGCTTGCAGCTATGATTGTTCGTCAACGTCTAAGATCGTGTGAAGTTTCTATCCTACAGTATATCTGCAGAAGATATATAATCAGGGTAATTGGAATTTGGGCTGTTTGGTAGAGATTGATGGTATAAAGGACAGATATGGATATGACATGAACAACTTTACTTGCCTAGGTATTTTTCAGTCTATGTCAAGGATGTGATATTGAGATCACATACTCCTTTGTATGTAGCTAGGTAATATTCGTATTCAAATAATTGGTATTGATTAAAGGGGCGATAGAGATGAGAGGGTTCCTTTCATAGTTTCGCAATCGTGTTGAGATAAAACCTCTTCTTCTCCGAGTCTCTTAAGGTGGTTTTGTAAAGCTCATCTGAAATCGATAGGGTGAATTGTGATGTGATTTGTCTCCTATACCACATCACCTGCATTATCGTCTCATCGTCTCATCGTCTCATCGTCTCATCGTCTCATCCCAATCTGAATCTCAAGGCATAATACATACCAAACCATCTCAGCATGAAACCATAAAATATACAAACACAACACACACAGATGGGTAAGATAAGTTCACCATAAATAACGACTAGTAACCCTATATCTTTTCGAAATGCAAACATTCAATTCAATATACCGTTAGTGAAGTACCTAGGTAGTATTATGGAGTTGAACTATGTGTATTTATTTCTCTCCTTTACTTGCTCACTCATTTTACTCAACTTCATATATCAAATCCCGATGGATTATCCTCTTCACTGTAAGGTAAGATATAAATGGATATATGGAAAACTTCTTGGGGTTGGGGATAGGATGTTCTGTTCTGTTATTTTATATGAACCTATCTATCTATCCATTCATTCATTCATTCATTTATCCATCCATTCCATATCTAATATCCCAATTCATTCTTTTTCCTTACCCTCCCTTCCCTTCAACCATCCACAAGTACTAAATCTCAACTTCTCTACCTAGTACCTGTATACTGTATACATTTCAATCAGTTAGGAAGTTGAGTATTGGTCGTGTATATCATATCGTAGATATTATGCTACGTGGTATTCGCGAGCTTTTCTTTCGTGTTTCTATCTGTATTTATATCTGTATTTATATCTACATCTACGTCTACATCTTCCCTTCCTCTTCCTCTCCTTCTCCTCCTTTTCTTTTCATTTTTCTTTCCTTTTCATTTTTCTCTTCCTTCCTCTTCCGTCCCCTCCTTCCCCTACCATCTATATACACAATCTCAAGAATCAAAATGTGCGTTAGACATCTACTTGAAATAATATTCTCATCTCTTTCCCTCCCGCCTTCTGTCCCTTCACTCTGTTCCATGTTCCCTTTCTTGCGTAGCTTGGTCTTATCTAGTTTAGTCTAGTGCAGGCATTTTCTATCTCGCTGTTGTGTATTTATCTTCATACACATCTTCATACACATCTTCATACAAATATCCACATCAACCCCAACCCCAACCCCAATATATATCCACCATCCTCCAATAGAACGCTCCCTCTCTTCCCATCTCTCTATAACACACATCTCCCTCTCCCTCTCCCTCCCTCTCCCTTCATCTTCCTATCTATCCATATCTCATCCCCAATCCCCAATCCTCAATCCCCAATCCCCAATCCCCAACTCCCAACTCCCAACTATCAAACCCCAGTATTAAATAAACCCAAACCCAAACACCGGCACCAGCACCAGCACCAGCACCTAATCCCAATCCCAATCCCAATCCCAATCCCAATCCCAATCCCAATCCCAATACCAGAATTCAGAATTTCGAATCCAAATACTCAGATCTTTATAATTGAGAAAATTAAATATATACACGTATATATATACAAATTTCTAATGCTCCAAAAATATGAGAGGAAGAGGAGAGAAGGAGGAGAAAAAAAAAAGGAAAATGAGGATTAAAGCGAATGAGTTATTATTGAATTATTCATTTATGACCGGAGGAGGAAGAGAGAAGAAGAAGGTAGAGAGGACGAGGAAGAGAAAGAGAATAGGAGAAAGGAAAGGAAAATGGGTGTCAACATCTACATCTACATCAACATCCCAGGTTTTCAAAACACAGATCAACAACATACTATAAACAAAACATTTCAATGATTATATCTTTTATATATCCACCATGCATCTGTCCATCCAATCGACCTAGTACCAGTAATCTATTTCATAATTCCCATTTGAGCAAGCAAACAAGCAAACAAGCATACAAGTCTCCAACTCTCCAAGCTAGATAGATATCCAAAACGCCATTCCATGTATACAATGCGAAGCAGAGCAAAGCAAAGCATCATCAAACCATCCAGATATCAAAGGTAAACCCCCACTGATATCAACAACAATCATTATACCCTCTATACACATTCACGATCCCAAACCTCCACACCACATCACAATCCAAAGTACATAAAACCCAGTACACCCATCACAACCATGACTGCACTTCTGCCTATCACATCCAATCTTCCCGCGTCACTCGTCGCCGAACTACCACAACATTCTCGGTTATAGGTAACATTATTCCACTCAGCGGCGACTTCAAAAACACTTCCTTGTCCCACATTATAGAAATCTACATTCAGGAACTTTGGTGGGAATCCCCAATCTTCAACACATTGCTCGACATTCATTCCCAATGATCCATATCCCGTGACATTATTCGTCTCATTCAGCAAATTCTGATACGGGACCAACAGCGAGATGCCCAAGAGATTGATATCATAGTTCAAATTATGATTCGTCATGTAGATATGCGATTTCGCATCAGCATCGAGAAGATTGGGTGGGCGTTGTGGTGTACATGGGAACGAGCGATTAGTGGGATCAAAAGGTGTTTCCCACATTTGTGTGAATTCGTCGAGAATCCATGGATAGGCGGTTTGGTTTGCTTCGTAGTCCATGAAGAAGACGACTCTCTTTCCGCTGAGAATCATGCTGGCGAGGGTGGGCCAATCGTCTAGCGCCATGGGAATCTTGGGGGGAATGTATGCGTAGTTTTGGAGACCGGTTTCTTCAATGAAGGGAACGTATTTGTCGACTTTGGAATAATTTCCATTGCCGAGGAGAATGGTGACGACGTCGAAGGGATGGGCTTGCACCCAATCGTAGACTTCGCTTAGATAAGTTGTGATGGGACC